TATTTCACAACAACGCTTTCCTTTGTTCTTTCTGGTCTGTTCTACTAAGACTAAATTACCCAAGACCGCCTCCTCACCTCCATCAGCCTCACTAGAAAAAAAATCGCCATGTTTTCAGTCTACATTTTCAAGCGTGCTCTCGCGTGACTCTACGCGATGATCGATTCGAGTAAACTTGAATCATCAATTGAAAAACACTTTACTGTTCTTTCGTTGAGGATTCAAAGTCAAATTCCTCGTCAACCTGGAAATTTTCAGTTTAGATTTCTGCCGGTGCATATCCTCGGATACCCTGTCGTTGTTTCGATCGAAGGATCCCGCACCCCTTAAAAGCCCTTCCTGGAACCATAGTAAAACGATACCGAAAACGGATAGCATAAATAAGAGCCCCAGTATTAATTTACGTGTTTCATTGGAAAATCTGGGAAGTAAGCCATTATTAGTAGGAATTACATATGCAAAAAGATCACGTTAAACATAAAAATATCAAGAAACGCCCGCCACAGCCGGTTTTGTACACCACAGGAACCCCATGCTGCCTATTCACATAGACCATAATGCACCTTGTTTACACCCCAAAATTATCCATAACCATTGTTTCCAATTTCTCCTGGGTATTACAGTCGTCCCAAGAGAAATCGAAGGAAAAGGTTATGCGAAATTTTGGGGGGTAAACAAAGTGCGTTACAATCTAATGTAAAAATGGTGAATATCCCTTGGTTTATTAGACTGCTTGCAGACCGCCTTTTCACTTAAAATCCGTCCAGTTCGTATCTCATGCAGCGCGATTGCAAACCACGATGTTATTATTTAGGGATTGAGACAAGACGAGAAAAGACGTGCTTACGCCCTCGTTTCTCGCGGCTCGCGCCTTCGCCGCTCGCGTCCTTAGGTTTCGCGTGCAGTAATTTTGCAAAGAAAAATAAGAGAGACTGCTCGCAGTCCATGATTTATCGGAGGCCAGGTCAGTACTCAGTTTCTTTATATGACGAGGAAAAGTAACTGGGCCGAGAACAAGGAAACAGATTTTAGTCTTTGAACTTGAAAATTTATATAACAGACTTTGAAATCGATATTAGTAGATGCTCTCTTTTTCTCATGGGAAAAACTGGTTATCTGGTTAAATTTGACATGTTCCAAGGCCCAAGACTCAGTCAAACTTGTAAAGAATTTCATTCAGCGGATTTTCATGCATTTGATAGTGTTGATGTAATTTTTTACAAGTTTATACAACCTCCCCTGGCCCCTCTTGAACACGAGAAGAAAAAGCGGAATGTATGGACAGCAATGAATTGTAGACGTAAACATAAACATAAAGATACAATTACTATTTGCGGAAAGGTTAACTTTTAAAAAACGGTCAGCAACATAGTCCGCGACCATTAATCTTTACATCTACGGAGGTTAATAAGGGGGACTGCAGTCGAGAAAATTACCAGGTCAGTAATTTTTATTTTGATAAATTCAAGTCTTTAGGAAGAAACCTTCTTCCTAAAGACTACAGAATTCTTTTCTGCGGCAGAAGCAATCAAAAGTAGGTTTCCATTAGAGAGAGAAAGGTTTATTCAAGGGTGTTCGAAGTCTTGTATTCAATTAGTCTGTTAGTGCGGGATGGCTTATTTTTTTTAGCGCCCAATCGATTTTTGGAATATTGGCTTCTCAACATTCCAGTTCAAGGCACCTCTCAAGAGTTTTGTACAAAGTCTCGTCCAACTACTCACTCTCGAGACGGTCGGAGATTTGGTGTTTACTCTGAAAGTCGAAAGTACTATGATAACCCAACCAAAAGGCGGGTTATGTTACTTCTAGCAAGTAAACAGATCGCGGCGCTGGTCGAAATACAAACCTTTAAAAGCTCATCTAACATAACTGCTTCCTTACGCCAACATTTAACTCTCGGTGTTAAATATAGCTATTGTTTTTTTTTTACTCCTATCTAGGCAAACCAGTCCTAGCCGGGTTAACATATATGTCAATCAGTCTGAGGACACTGTACGTGTTTACTAGTTCGGTATTTGTTTATAATAAATAGCCAAGCAGATTCCCATCAGAATTGCTATCTTGCTCCTAGTCGTGATTCAGTCTTTCTTTCTTTATTTTGTTCCGTTCCGACATTTATAAGCCTTGGCCATTCATCTGTATCCTCAGCAAGAGTAGGAGGATAACGATCGGTTTGTCGGAGACCGACAATTGGTATGCAAAAACAAGTGATGAACTCTTTAGAATTACGTATATTCTTTTCTAAGCACAATTCTTTAGGATCCTGAAAAAAAGAGACGAGCAGAAGCTGACCTGGGGTATGCAGCCCAGTTTCGAGAAAGGTTCTCGGAAAAAATTGCACGAGACAATCCCGAAAGGTATTGTGGGTGATTCTGAATTCAAAGAATTCGAAGTTTGAAAGAATGACACGAGAGGCCATCGACGTATGTTTTTAAATTTGCGAGTGCTAAAAGAAAACAACAAAAGTAGGTTGGACAGCTACAATGTCAGGAATGTTGCATTGATTATATCCCATATTACATAAAGGGCTAGCTAGGGATTGTCGTGTGCACATTTTTCCGACAACCTTTCTCGAATTTCTGTACTGTATGGGTGTCACTCAGTCTCCTAGAGTGTAGGCAGAAATAGTTTATTGGGCTGACTCCTTCCAAGTGGCGGAGAGAAACCCGTGGAAGATACCCGCGGGGTGAGCTGGGAAGGATGGAAAAGCGGGGAGCCGGATAAGGAGGGATGTGGGAGAATCTACTCCTCGACTTCTCCTTCCCTCCTCTGCTTCCCCCCAACCCCACTACCTAACTCTACCCCAATTAACTCGTAAAAAGTGCTAGTTATCACGCGATCACGTGGATGGTTAATCACGCGCTCGTATGACTGCTTTATTGTTCAGCCCTTCAGATTGATTACTGATCATATCTACCCTGGTAAGAGGCTCCTGACCCTGGCTATTAATAATGTCCATATCAAAGATAATCTTGTTTCGTGGTATTTCCTTTGGGTTTTGTGTTATGTGCTTCGGGTTTACTTTAAAATTTCTAGCTCGAGGTGTGGTCAGTTAAAACGAAGACAAAATAACATAAACCATTGACAAGTCCACACATGCATAAAGCGTAGATAAAACTTAACGGTTCGTTCTTGCCGGATCTCTCCGTAACGTAAAAATGTTAGCCACAGCAGTTACTTTAAAGTGTAAATCAAAACCAAACTGCCAATGCTATGGGAACTCTATGAATAACGCTCATTTTTCATAGCGCGAAAGTCCTACTACCCAAATTTTCCCTAAGTTCATAATAATGAAAGGGTAATTAAACACGTGAGATAAGATCTGCATTATTTCATGGGGCTGACTCTGACGTTTTCTTTGAGGGGGTGAGGTGGGTGATTTCATTTGGGCAGAAACATTTTTCAAGCCTACCACTCGAATCGGAATTTTTTCAGTTTTTTGGTGTAAATATAGAACTATTAACTCCATGCAATATTTTTATTCCTTCCAATTTTGTTTGCAGGATATTTTATTCCGAAATTACCCAAAGGTCTCCAAACCCTACCCCGCAAAAGTCAGATGTTCGTCGGCCCTAAAAATATATTATCAAATTATCCATTTAAACCGGAGACAGATCTCATGCCTCCTATTGTGATATAATCAGCGAAACTGCATTCAGCCTTTTCAAAATGACAAAGAAAGCGTCGGCATGCTTATTTTGCTTTTGTTTACAGTGTCTAGTAGACTGTTGACTATTTCAATCCTTATCTTATTAATCTAATTGCAGCCTTCAAAAAGATGTCAAAGATAAAGTTACTGGCAGAATGATTCCGCTCCAACTCATTTGGCGCGCCCCAAAATCGGATCTTAAACGGAAATATTTAAAATTTTAAGCTCTGCCTTTGATTTTTTTGTGGTTATGAGTGAAACAATCAAGATTCTCTTTTCGTAATAATTTTTGGCTAGAACAAATGGTTTATTGTAGTAAGAGTTATAATTCTCGCGTGATTAGGCAAAACGCGCTCAATCAACCTTGTTCAGTTCCTTTGTCTAAAAACATCAACTTCGTTAACGTGACCCGCAGAATTGAAGAAGATTAATACGTTTTTCCTGTGTCCAGTGTGAGACTTGAAGATTTTGTCGTTTTGCTTCCCTTTCGACGGGAGTATTTCAACGTTTTAAGGTTGAAACTGTGTTATCTTGCATCTCCTTTTTAAAACGCCCATTCGCACGTAAATTTAATACGCAGAAAATTTTATTGGTGCATTGTTGGCCGATATGAGAAAATATGGAGTCTAAATTCATTCTAATTGCGAATAATAAACATGTGAAAGCCGAAAAGAAATATCAGTTTCCTTGTAGCCTCGTGTGCCAACCGGACGCGTCAGTCAAGCTAACAGGTCGAAACGATCATTAAGGTTGGTTCCCCTCCAGCGATGACAAGAAATTAGCCCTTAAATTACCGTGGAACACGTACTGAATATCACGCAAATAAAATTTGTCCATGCTGAGTTGTCTCAAAAGAAAAAATCATACCGCTGAATTTCCTGTCGTGAAAAGGTTATCATGCGATCATTTCAGCAGTGTGACTTTTTGTCACAAACCGACTGCAGTCACACTAAGTCAAATGGGTTTAATTACTTCCGGTGGTCGAAAAAACGAATCTTGTTGGCCAATCAGAGAGTGCATCGGCGTGTGAATCTCCCACCCACACGTGTTAGCAAAATCATCTAGTATTTTACCTCATATCCCGTTGTCACTGTGACAAAAAGCTCTATGGGGTTTTAAAAACAGTTCAATCACTCCAGTGGGAAAATTGCTCCACTCGCTAAAAGCTGTAAACATTTTCATTGCAGATACTATTGAGGGAGTGCTGTGATTTTTTGACCAAAGGGAAAACATTAGAAGAAAGGAAGAGTGACAATCAAAAAGAAAGACAGGTAAAATATAAATAAACGATGTGATTGTCGTAGCGTCTTCAAGTCTAGAAAATTTACGTAATATATGCTAACCGGCTAATGTGCATGTACACTGGCAATTGGACAATTTTTTAATCATTATCCTTATCTCCTCTGTTTTAAGGTAAAGTTTTTAATCATTCCGGTGTTTAGTCGTGTCAGCATGGAGAGGGCAAGTTTGGTCGAAGATAAGTTATCTTGTCACTGTGCTTCCCTGGGAAATAATAGAACGCCATGTGACAACTTGGATACAGATAAAGTGATTGCAAACCAAGAACTTGAGTCCACACAGGATTGTAATCTTCGAATTGCTTTGGATAGCGAGACCTGTGACTCTGATTCGCGCTCTGAGCACTGCAAGAACGAGTCGATCGAAAACCGGAAATGTGATCGCTACGAGAGTATAGCGAACCCAGCAGTGACTGTGCGAGGGGACGAAACAAGCGGTTCTGTGTCCATCGCTGTAAACGAGTGCCGTATTTGTCAAAGCAGTGGAGATGAGGCTTTGATCAACCCTTGTAAATGCTCTGGCTCTGCTAAATGGGTCCATGAAAGCTGCATGGTAAAATGGTTCCAGATTTCTGAAACTTCTTCGTGCGAGCTTTGCGCTCGAGACGTTTTGATTAAGAAGAAAACCAAACCTCTCTACCAGGTAATTACCAAACCTTGAAAGTTTGTAGCTTTTAATTTTGAATTAAGCACATGGAATCCACGTTTTTGACTGACTTTGTTTTGCTCTACAATTATAAACATCACATGGCCGGCTTAAAAAGTACGTTCTTAGCGGTTGTAAATTTCATTGTTTACATCTGCACGCACTAGTGATTCCAAATGATTCGCTAAAGTAGGCTACTTTAGCACCCAGCAGAAGAAGTATCATGAATTTCCTGCCTAAGAGTGCCTTTTCATATTTTATTTTGACTACAGGAATCGTCTATGAATATAATATTTTTAGTGGTATCGTGTCAAATTATTTTTAGACGCGGCGTTCAAGTGCCTGAAGTATATTCCTGAATATTTGCTCCGTACTTCAATCTCCACATGAGAATCAGAAACTTTAGCAAACAACGTTTTTCAGTATTGGATTCTGCTCATCAAAGCCGCGTGAAAAAAAAAAAAAATAATAATAATAATAATAATACAAATAGAGGATTATATTGAATTGGTATTGAAATTATTTACTGATTGGTTTGAGTTGCACACTGCCGATCGGAAGCAAAAGCTGAAGGTATCCTTTTTGCAATTATCATATTACGGTCGGCCGATTTGTGCACTAACCTTTAAAAAGTAAGCATTTTAGAAGGGGCTGCAAAGAATCAAGGTCATGGTATTTTTTTTTAAGTGTTATCAAAGTATTTTATGGCGCTAGCAAGATTTTACCAATCGGATTATCGACTGGCAATAATACTGTAAAAAAAGCCACAAAACAAAGGGTGGACTCTAATAAGGCCATTTATCAGCCTTTTACAAGACCTAGACAGTATGATAATTTGGCAAGATTATTTCATTTGCATTGGCTAATTATAGTATCTTATAAATGTTTAAAATCATTTCAAACTTCGTTTGCCAAAGACCAGCTGAAAGACGCTGTAAGGCAATTGTATCATTTGTTTATTCCTAAAATATTAGTGTAAATTTATATTGGATTTTTTCGATATTCACTTGACGGACGCCTTCTTGATATGATTGTTTTGTCTTGGGCCTAGTCTCTTGTCTTATCCTAAAATCGCCTTTGACGTCGAGACCTCCCCAACGTACAGGAGGAAAACATGAACAATAACTTGCCTAATAAATTTATGAATATCCTAATGCTCGAGACGCCGTATTTATACATCATCCATTTGAAGTTTAGCATCATAAGAAGTTTGTGCAAACAATTTTTAATGTTTTGTCAACAGTCGATCGAAAGCTCGAGAGAATTTTTCCAAAGGATCATTGGTAATAATCAGTCATGTCGTTCTTTTTGTCTTTTGTGAAAAATGTCCTAATTCCTCCAATTTCCAACCCGTTTTTTTTTTCTCCTTTGAGCTTTCGACAGTTTCTAGAAAGCACTGAAGCAGATGAACGATTGAAGTGGTATTGTTCCGGCTTTATTCACCCCGAGAGGCCAAGGCCACTTTCCCCGGCCATGTATGCAAAATTACGCCGGGTAAAATTATAATTTGTCATTAGCGAACAGAATATAATTTGACCAGAAAGAAAAAAAAAACAAAAACTTGGCAATGCATAAGAGAATAGCACCAAAACGGAAATAATTGTAATTTTGTGGGTTTGGGGGTTGCCAGGAAACAACAGAGTGTAAAGAGAAAATTTCTAGTTTCTTCATGATCTACATGGAGACATTTTAGCCGAAAAATTATTTACAAAGAAGTTGATATTAGTGCTTGGAATATACCATATTGGCGCTAAGCAACTTAAGACGGTGATGAAAGACAAAACTGTGTTCTCGAAGTATTTCGAAACTTCCTTTGTTGTTGTAAGCATAAGTGCTTTCACGCAGTAATAGTCACGTTGTGGCCATTGTGGACACCGCCCACAATGTGACTGTGGACCGTATTTCAAAGGCAGAAATGACTAATTAGCACCTACAATACGGCAGGCACACTACCTTTTTGAAATCCGAAATAATACTATCTATTTTCGATTATTTGTCACGAGAAAAATACACTCACCTAAGCTTCGTCGCCAACCTCGTCGGTTACTGCGCGTTGCATAAGGAGAAGAGGGGGAAATGACACGCGCGATCATCGCGTTCCGCGTCTTTTCCCTTCTCTCCTCGCCAATGACTGCACGCGCGCGTAGGCGCCGTTTTCTCTTTTACTGGATAACAGAACTTCGCTTTCGGTTTTCTTTCTTCTTTTATCTATAGCACTAGAAAGAACAAGATCTGTCTTGACTGTAGGTCACATTTCGTAGCCTCCGACCCCTTCTCCGATTTTTACTGAGGGGAGGGGGGGATCTTTACAGAGGCTAACATTTCGCTTGCTAATACTTGCTTTTTCTTTCCCACAACAGTGGCGCCTTCCCCGCGGTGATCTGGGACCGTGTAGCAAAGTGGACCTTTGGTATTTATTCGTCACGATATTCAGTATTTGCACCATAGTTGGCTTTGGAATATTTCATCTGCTCGTCAAGTCAAAGGAGCCTGAAACGACAGCCGTGTTTGGCGCCATTTATGCTCTTTGTGGTGTAATGATCTTACTGCGAATTCACTACTTTTACATGTGGTTTACAAGGCGGAGTGCCTTTTGGCGCAAGTGGAAGACAATGAATAGAGTTTGGACAGTAGTTTCTCCGAGGGCAGTGTTAAATGCCAACGGGGATGTGTCAATTGTTTAGATGAAACATTCTGAACCAAGTGAAGCCATTGGCGGAACCCGAGGGGATGGGCTCGGGGGGGCTGGGCCCCACCTTAATCTCGCAGGGCTGCGAAAAATTATTTTTGAGATTCTCTCTGAATGAGCGCTGCAGGCAAAGAGGAAGAAAACATAACGAAAACGAAGCTAAACCTCAGACGAAGAAAACATACGCCGTTAAATGAGACCCCCGCCCAAGACCCTCTGTTCCGTGCCCGCAAAACTGCTTAGCTCGCGGGATCAGAGTGCGTGAGTGCTTTAATAAGGTGGAGCCGCTGCGCTTGCATTTGTGGTCGATGTGAATTGTCGTGCCTGATGGTTTTGAATACAAATTAATAATTGATAATAATAATTTTTATAATGTACTTTAAAATATCTTTACAATTATTGTAAAGGCCGGTATTTTTCTTAAAATACATTATAAAAATTTTGTTAATTAGAGCGGTTTAGGATCATTACCTGTTAATTTTCCAGATCTGTATTTACAATATTTGGTGTATTTATTGCATAAAGTTTCTTCTAGGTACATTTCAAGAAATTAAAGGTTTGATTTATTTATACTATACCTCCTTTCTACACAAACGAACTTAGTCTTCGCACTTGCCGCATTCCTGTACAATTACAGTTTGACAAGAGTTATCAGTAGGATTGCTCAACGGACCACAACGCAACTTGACATTTTCCATAAGCAGAAAGAGATTTTCTCGTGTAAAAAAAGAGGAAACAACCTCGTTCCCAGGGTCCTCTGCAAACTTGCAATCCTGGGAACGAGGTTGAAGGAGAAACCGTACGTGGGTGTTTATCACCTACAACAAAAATTCATCGCTAGGCTTTATGTACATTTTTTTAAAAAAATTAAAGAGATAGTTATAAATTAATGCAATATTATGGATTTAAGATCGTCTATTTTAAATGGTAATTGCCTGATAGCAAAGCAATAAATATCTGCTATTCTTGCTATTATGTAGCTTATTACATCAGCGTACATATCAGACCTGTTTCAGATGAGGTAGAGCGGGGGGGCTGGGGGTTGGGGGGACACAGTTTGTGCAGGGATGTGCTATTGGGGCTTTCAAACCCTTACCCTGTCTAAGACAAGAACCATCCATTTCGATACCCTGTATATGAGACCTGTTTCAGATGAGGTACAGCAGGGGGTGGGGGCGTGAGGGATGGGGGACACAGTTTGTGTAGGGGTGTGCTATTGGGGCTTTCAAAGCCTGACCCTGTCTAACACAAAAACCATCCATTTCAATACCCTGTTCACACACCTGTTTGGCACAAATTAAAGTGACCCCACCCAGCGAGGTAAAATGTCAAAAAAACTGTCTAAAGCGAGCGTAAGAGTCTGGGGAAGGTCTGGAAATGTATGGATATCGTTCGGAGAAAATTGGTGTTGGTCACTAATAGGACTTAAAGCGTTAAATGAAAGCTCAGTAGGCAGCAGCAATTTAACCCCCCTCCCCCTCTCTCTGCGGGGGATTTCCATATGAATGCGATGAGGATGGGAGTGGCTTTAACAATCACATAAGAGCTGAAGCATTTTTGTATGCTGTGGTCAACACAGTATGACGGCCCTTCACTTGTTTTATGTACATAATTCTTTACGCGCAACCCTAACCGATAACTGTATGAGTAAAAACACGGAGACCAAAATCCGAAATTTTCACCCCGGGAAAATTTGAACTTTCTGAATGTCAGAAACGGCGGTTTTCTTGTAGGCTGTTTGCGTTATAACAAATTCCGTCACTGAAAAATTTGAAGATTTTTTTGGTGACCCCCCTTAAACCCACTATTTTTCTTTTCCCCTCCCTATCCCTCTTTAAAGCCATATTTTTTTTCCTCGGCCCCCCATTCAAATCCCACCAGCGCCACCCCCACCCCCTACCTGACAAAATATGAACGGTCCTTAGTGATCAGAATGGGAGATAGTTTTTAGAGTACTGACGATTTTACGTTGATTTCTTCTTTGCTTCGCCGAACAACTAACAAAACAAAGAGCGGGGAAATATAATCACGTGGTCATCTCTGCCGTTTGCTGTAAACGTCATGTTTATTATTTTGCCTTTGTTGAAAGTGTTCTTTAGTTGGATTTACAAGGTGTTACTGCAAGTTAAATAGTGCAATAGGTTTAGACTTGCAAAACAATAACTCTGCAAGTACTTCACGCTTTTTTTTTTTACATTTCTTTGCCGTCACTGCACGACTACGACGTGAAAGAGCCTTATTTCACGTTTTGTGGAGGAGGTGCACTTAACATGAGACAACGCTTTTCTTTTTCCTTTCCTGAACCTCGATAAAGTCTTAGAATTCAACTCCGGAAAAATTTGCCAACATTTGACGAACTGAAAAGAGAAAGAAAAAACGCGATAACGTTTGAAGCAGCACAAATTCGTTTTTTAAGTGACGTTTTTGTCGCCGTTGCCGTCCCTAATGACACAGTCCAACGTCAGTCACATCCATCTTCTTTGTTCCGCGGTGTGGCATCAACTGAGGCACTCCTAGCTCTTCGGGTTTCTGTCTCAAGTAACAGGAGTGCTTGGTAAGCTAATGTCTTCAAATCCTCGGGTAAAAACCCTCGAGGGCAGGGTGCCCTGTGCATCCATTCTTCAGCTTTTTTGACCGAGAGGGTCCACTCGGCCTCAAATTGGCACCTTTTGCGATGAAACCAGCTTAACGCAAGTGCAGTGGCCCAGAGCTGTGAGCTGTTGTCGCATTTGTCGGAGGTCATTAACTCCCGAAGATCTTCTGCGATGTAAACCGAGTTGTCAGCCAGCGGTGATGATGCCTGAATTTCGGGCAACGGAAAGCCAAGAACTTCGGCGAAAGAGCAGTCTAGGTTCCAGCTCCCCTGGGCAGACTGTAGACTGATCATGCGCACAAAGGACAAATGTTTCCTCGTGCCAGCCTCCAAGTAGCTATCAAGACTGTTACTGGACGTGAGTAACTTGGCTCTAAATTTGGACGGATTTTGTTGCCTTTCTCCCAGGACACATCTCGTAGACAAAGGTGGGATGTGCTTTCGTGGGCTTTTGCTGGGAGAATTTGTACAAGAGTCGACTTCTTTTCGCGATCCAGCGTCTTCACTTTGACTCTCTGGTGTGCCTACAAAAGAAACGGGATTCGCTTTGAAAATTAAAGCTCAATTCTTTGCATACGATGAGGTTTTTTTTACAATGCCTGCCTATGTTCTAATTGAATTTTGCTATTCAACTTTCCATGCAGATTGTCACGTAGTTGCAGTTGGAGGTCGACGGACCAGTTGCAAAAAATGTAACGTTCGACATAACTGCTAACCTTTGGTGTTAAAACAAGGACGTTAGCTGACACGTCCGACGTTACGTTTTATGTAACTTGAACTAGAAGGTCCAAAATAAAAATTAAAACAACAACAACAACATAAAAGCACACACACACCTAAAAAAACAAAACAAAACAACTTCAGATTCTCAAAAGAACAAAGCAAAACAAAAAAACAAGACAAAATGTTAAGATTCGGGTAGTTTTGCGCTTTGAAGTTTTTGTTTTTGCACTTCATTGTACACCAACGTCTCATTTTTGGAAAAATAATTTGACCTTAGGGTTCTTATGTGTTGCTTTTGTGGCTTTTAAATTCTCTCGTGTCTTCACTTCTCTGTAGAAGATTAAAGGAAATTTGAAGAAACGTTTGCTTTTGTTGCAGCCATCTCCTCCCAGCTTTTGGCTTGTACCTACGTGGGTCAAGTACGGTCTACAACATCAGCAGATCATGAGGACCTATGATTATGCCATGGTATCAAGTCACGTCCTGACACACTACAAACTATGAGGCAGCTGACAGCCCCATGTAAGAGAATAAGGATTCCGGATACCGGGAAATTTTTGCTTGTGGAAAATGAAATCCTTGGCTTTGGAATCCGGAATACAGCTCAAGGAATACGGAATCCCACTCACGATTGGAATCCAGAATCCAAGTTCCACGGATAAAGAATCCGGTGTCCAGTACCGGGAATCCTGAATTTACGGCGTACAATCCACAATCCAAGACTGTCTTGAATTCCCATTACATGGGTAAGACAAGTGAACAAACGGATAATCTGCCAAGTATATGCGTTACTCACCAGTTCGTTCCAGACGATAAAAATCAACAGGCTCTTCTCCGGATTCGACTGTAAGGTCATTACCACCTTCGGCAAGATATGGCGACAGGTCGTGATCACTTCCATCGGGGCTGGGAAGCCGTCGACCCAGGCCCTCCGTGAGGCCAAAGCCTCGCTCTGGGACATATACTTTCCGGTTTCTGTTTAAGGAAACGATAAAACAGTTTAGTTTAGTTTCACAATCCATGCCATGTTAAGTTCATAAAATAAATCAAACAGCTTTGGAATGCCTATTACACTAAATTAAAAAACACTACTGATTATAGAGCGGTTTTCACTTGACTGTCGAAAGGGATTGGTTTTGGTTTTGGTTTTGGTTTTACTACGCCCTTTAGTTGGCTAGTGTATTTACTTTGGTTTTGGTTTTACGACAGTCAAGTGAAAACCGCTCTATATAGCTGATTCAATAAAGGTTGCTTTGGGCATTGGGAATTGGCTGTTTGGCATTGGCGCGTACGAAACTCACTGCAACGATTTGCCACAGTGACCTCCAAACAATAGCTGTCCAGAGCGCAATTCCCAATGATCAAACGATGGGGCTGGCCACGGCAAAGTCTCATTTCGAGTTCCAAGTAAACACTACGAGTCGACCACCACCTTAAAGAGTTTTCAATGCAAAATGGACATTCTATTAAATCTCAGTCTCTTAGCCAATGATTTCCAAGCGCACTTTAGAGGGATACAGTTTGAGTCAGTGATTGTAGGTTTGACCATTCGCCACTTTAGAAACGAGAAGGAGACTGGGCCAAGTTAACTTTTTCAACGAATTCTGGGATGTTACGAACGAAAATGGAAAAAAAAGCAAAATAGCTGAAGGGCGCGGCCCCAATAACCATCCCAGAAACAATTGCGGGACGCATTTTGGCTCCAGTCCCCTTCTCGTTCCTTAAGTGGCGAATGGAAAACCGTACCTGTGGAGCGTGCTTCACATTAAAAAATTTACGCCCTATTCTCGCCAAAGTTTAAACAAGTTTAAAAGCTGTTCAGTTAAACATGGTTTAAATTTGTTTTCTTTATAAAAGCTGTTTACTCCACTTTCCTTGATTCCAAATTTACCGCAATTTTGTAACATGTCTCAGTAAATTTTAATTCCGTGCAAAAGCCTTTGTTTAAGTTTTCTGTTTTCATTTCTTAAAAGCTAGTTTAATTAATTATGTTTAGTTGGTGTGAATGGGGCATCAGACGCCTAGGTAAACAGTTTAAATGACAATACAGAAATAGCATAAAAACTCACCCTAAGCCGGGGAAGGCTTCCTTTTGAGGGAACTGAAGAGCGCTTAACACTTGGTCGTCATAGCAATACTGATCCCGTGCCACTCGTGCTGTGTGCCTGCAGTGCACGCCGGACAGCTGACTAATCCTCTTTATAATCTCGATGGAATCAGAATTGTGGGAATCAAGTGACGCCTGCAGTTCCCTGATCAGCGATCGCGCTAAGAGTTGGTGGATTGTGGGACGCTTGGAAGAACCACCGCTGCGGTTGACCGGAAATGGAATGACTTGTTCCACTTCCTCTTCTCCAACATATCCCCGGATGTTGACGGCACCGAAGTCAGCTGGGACACCTAGTTGCGAAAGAAATTCGCTGTTCTTGTAGATACGAACAGCAGAATCTCTTTCTTGATCAAATTTATCGGAGGCAGGGCTTTTGCTATCACGGGACCAATCATTTGGCTCTTCATTTACAGCCGACTCCATTTCAGCCACGTCCTTTTTGCTCTCATCTGGACTCTTGTCGTTTTCGTCAATGCTGAAGCCTACACCGCTGTCCCTCTCGTGGGCTCGGACGAGTTTCGGCGACCGCTGGCCATGCTGCTCTTGGGAATCACTGGAACGTTGTAAATCTTCACTCTCTTCAAACTCTCGTTTTATGTCATTGAAAAAGGCGCCAAAATTTAACTCGAAAGCTAAGTCATCTTTCATAGGAGAGCCGGGAGGTTTGAAATTTTTTGAGTACCTAGTGTTGTTATTTTCTTTCTCTTTGCCGGCACAAGGAGTAGGGCTTGGTATTCCTGTGTGGTCAAACCTCTCCTCTTCAGATAACTTCTCATGCAGCTCGCATGATTGGTCGTTCTCCACTTGAACGGAGGGCGCTGTCGTCTCACCAAGAGTTTCTTCATTATAACCATTGCAGATGTGACGCAAAAGTCCATCTGCCATGGCTTCTATTGTTTCGGACTCGGGCATTCTTTCCATTGTCGCGTCAAAGCTCTCTTGATCGACAAGCTTTCCTTCCTCAGCGTCCTCTTCAAAGTCATCTTCACTTGGCCTTAACTCTTCACCTTCCGTTTCCGCTAGCAGCTGGTCCTCCGACAACAGATCACATTCGTCTTCGAACCAAAATACTTTGACCGAGCTGTTAGAGAAGGATCTCATGCTCCAATCCATCTTCCGTTTTGAGGGTGTTCGAGGAGATTCCTTTTCCTCGCTAGGTGGTCGGTACAGTATCCCATAAATCACCAGTCGCTGATTGCTCTGTACAAATGGCAGAAGTTGTGGCGTTTGAATGACGTCATAACCCTCTGGAAGGTGCCAACTGACCTCGATATCTGTGATCGCGGGCTGAAGTGCTTCTGTAAGAGCCTCCATTACCTAATCATCAAACGGGTAGAATAAAATGCTGTACATTAATTGCTGTACATCTGCCTCGAGCTATTAATATCAAAGGCCCTCTGAATGGAATACTTAGAGGATATGTCACAAATAATAGAAAATAACGATCACTGGAGCTTGACAGTGGATCGTCCAACTGTAATATGATCGCCACGTGTGTCTTCTAGGAAGATACTCTACATCTTAATTGGCGTTCATCTTCGTCCCCGTTTGGGAGGGGTGGAGGATTTTCCGCCCTCTCCTCCATTTTCTAAGGGAAACGCCCTTGGAAGAGGTTGAACTGGCCTGGCGTTTTCTTATCATGTGGTCCAAAATGAGCTTGATGCCATGTAACATAGCGCCGGAATAAGTCGCTGGTCCTTGTAATTTATCCGCTTCTTCTGAAGATACTGTTTACCTTGACAAGTATCCTCTCATCATTGGCTATAACGTGGGCATGACTTTTGCCCACACCTGCCAAGCCCTGGGGCATATCCTTTCAACATATATATCCCTGGGATAAGTCCCTGGTCACCGCATGTCCTTGTAGATACAGTTTACCTTAACTGGCATCCTCTAATCATCGGCTATAAAGTTAGCCTTTCACGTAGGCGTTTTTAGGGAAGCTCGTATTTCGTCCCTCCCAACAAACGCCAGCTCAACCGAGAACAACATTCCTTTCCCAAGCTTGGCCAATCACATTGTACATTCCAAATTCTGCAAGGTTGAACTTGACCACAGGGTAACCCGATAATTACTCGATCTGTATGAAACTCTGGGAAAGCTTTATGACCTCTGTTATTAATAACTGTTAGACTACGAGATTTAGTCAGATTTTAGAATACTCCGTGCACTGCATAACCTTAGCGGAGGAAAGAAAAGAAGGAAAAAGGTATCTCTAGGGTCACGTTTTTACACCATCACGAGCTTCTGAGTCGTGTTTAGCCTGTCAACACTAAATTTCAAAACTGTTAAAACTGGTCACTTACCACGCGAATAAAACAATGGGAAAGAATGTGTTCTCGGTTGAGCAGGCATTTGTGGGGAGGAACGAAAATACGAGCTCCTCTGAAAACGCCTTCAGGGTAGGCCACTATAAAGTGGGCTTGACCTTAGCCCACACCTGCCAAGCCTTGGGACATATCCTTGCAACACATCCCCGATATAAGTCCCTGGTCCCTGTAACATGCCCGCCCACCGTATCATCCCTGAAGATACAGTTTACATTAAAACGCCCTGGGACAAATCCTTACAACATATCCCAGGGATATGTCTCTGTCCCCTGTAACATGCCCGTCCCCGCGTCTTCCCTGAAGATACTGTTTACCTTAACTGGCATCCTCTCATCTTCAGCTATAAAGTGCGCTTTATTCTTAGCCGCACCTGCCGCGCCCTAAGACAAATCCTCACAACATATCCCAGGGATATGTCTCTGTCCCCTGTAACATGCCCGTCCCCGCGTCTTCCCTGAAGATACTGTTTACCTTAACTGGCATCCTCTCATCTTCAGCTATAAAGTGCGCTTTATTCTTAGCCGCACCTGCCGCGCCCTAAGACAAATCCTCACAACATATCCCAGGGATATGTCTCTGTCCCCTGTAACATGCCCGTCCCCGCGTCTTCCCTGAAGATACTGTTTACCTTAACTGGCATCCTCTCATCTTCAGCTATAAAGTGCGCTTTATTCTTAGCCGCACCTGCCGCGCCCTAAGACAAATCCTCACAACATATCCCAGGGATATGTCTCTGTCCCCTGTAACATGCCCGTCCCCGCGTCTTCCCTGAAGATACTGTTTACCTTAACTGGCATCCTCTCATCTTCAGCTATAAAGTGCGCTTTATTCTTAGCCGCACCTGCCGCGCCCTAAGACAAATCCTCACAACATATCCCAGGGATATGTCTCTGTCCCCTGTAACATGCCCGTCCCCGCGTCTTCCCTGAAGATACTGTTTACCTTAACTGGCATCCTCTCATCGTCAGCTATAAAGTGCGCTTTATTCTTAGCCGCACCTGCCGCGCCCTAAGACAAATCCTCACAACATATCCCAGGGATATGTCTCTGTTCCCTGTAACATGCCCGTCCCCGTGTCTTCCCTGAAGATACTGTTTACCTTAACTGGCATCCTCTCATCGTCAGCTATAAAGTGCGCTTTATTCTTAGCCGCACCTGCCGCGCCCTAAGACAAATCCTCACAACATATCCCAGGGATATGTCTCTGTTCCCTGTAACATGCCCGTCCCCGTGTCTTCCCTGAAGATACTGTTTACCTTAACTGGCATCCTCTCATCTTCAGCTATAAAGTGCGCTTTATTCTTAGCCGCACCTGCCGCGCCCTAAGACAAATCCTCACAACATATCCCAGGGATATGTCTCTGTTCCCTGTAACATGCCCGTCCCCGTGTCTTCCCTGAAGATACTGTTTACCTTAACTGGCATCCTCTCATCTTCAGCTATAAAGTGCGCTTGACCCTTGCCCGCACCTGCCACGCCCTGTACCAAATTAGGACATGCTTCAGGCCCAATCCCAAACGTGTAAAACCTGACAACCACAAACAAAAAAACAGTAATTCTTGAGATGAAAACTAAGTACATAAGATAAAAAAACAAACACCTAAAGCATATATGACATAATTATTTTGTTTGTATACTTATACCTGCTGTGCGCTGACAAACTATGACGCAACGTAAACAGAAAATATAGGATACTATTGGGAGTGCTCACCAGAAGCTAGTTACTGGTCGAGGAACAGATGAGGCCAATGTATGAACTAGGAAGAGGGCTCAAAAACGTTCCGAAAAGGGGACTAGGGTTTAGACGTCTTCTATAAAGAGCTCGTACGTGAAAAACAGGTAAATTCTGTCCCGCGTTCAGTTTTACCAGTAGACAGCGGCCGAGTAGTAGCTTTGACAACATGCCTATTCAGCCTTCAATTCAATTACAAAGCTGAGGGGTCCCTTAGGTGAACATGGTAGCCAGTTTATGCTATTGTGATGTTATACCACAGGACTGAATAAACAAAACAATCCTTTTTCTTCCTGGGCTGTATATCGGCCCTCTTCAATCAAGAAAAGGCGGGAAACGAGAAAGTGGTATCAATTAGTCGGCAGCTGTCGAAGGCAGTTCGATGCGTCACAGAGTGTAATTCACTTTGCCTCAGTCTTAAAATTTTTCTCTTTCAAAGAGAGCAAGATTAGTTTCTTTAATTTAAGAAAGAAAGAAAATATAATTTAAAGAATACGGCGGGTTCAAAGAGATATGTTGCCAACACATTAACAAAACAAAATTATTCACCTATGAAAATGGCCGCCTTTAATTATATTGTCTGATCTTTCAGTCTGTCTTTTCACGAAACTCTGGAAGAAACTTTAAAGCTCAGTCTTAGTTTAGTACAGTTTTATTTCTGGTGTTTTCGCCTTTCCAGACTAATTGTTTTGTCACGACAAATTTTAAAAGATCAGTCGTAAAAGAACGAAACAGTTGGCTGTAATTCCAAGACGAGTTTGATGGAAGAGTCGTTTTAAAGTTTACATAAATAGAAAGTATCACCTGTTTACTGTTGTACAAAATATGGAAATTATTCAAACAAGTATTTAAATTTGAAGTGAGTTTATAGGTAGCTCTATCTCCCTTTCAATATACAGTGTATAAATTGCGAACGAGCATCTTTGTGGTCTATTTTTTAAGATTAACATTTCCGGATTTTAATTTTCATTCTTTTTTGCTCAGTACCTGAAGTAACCACCTGTCAAGCTATTTTTCTTTGTTTGAATTGATTGATATAGAAGTGTCAGCAAAACACTTGATCTGACGAGATCTTCCCCCCGCCATGAACTTCAAATTAGTTCTTGTTTCAAGCACTAAGCAACACACAACCAGAGAACAAAAATATCTCAGCAAGAGCAAACATTTCGCTTCATCGAATACAGTATTAATTACAAACTCATGCATTAACTGTCTTGTTTAAATGTTTTCTAACCGAGAAGTCCTCCTACTGTCGAATTCCACATTACTGAGTGGCTTTTAAAGGCCGAAGCATGACTCCATTTTCCGGCATGTTTTTATGGACGATTTTCGTGATTTAAAATTGGTATTAAAGCAACGCCGAACGACTTTTTTCCCATGATACGGAGCAGTATTTTTCATCACTTAGATATCTCCTAGGATAACGCTATTATTTAATACTCCTTAGTTGTAGCTGTTAATCTGGCGCGATAGAGTTTCGATGTAATTCACGTATCTTGATCAAATTCAAAGTGTTTGCACTAAATGTCGGCCCATACTTTAGAAGTAGCTCACTAAGTTCACATTTAACACACTTTTTTCGTTTTCGATTTGTGGAAATGCAAATTCAAGAAATAAACAATTACGACGCAACAATCTTCGCTAGAAATTACACCAAAACTGTCCTCCGGCTCAAGCCGTGAGGAATTAACTACAAGCGAAAGGAAAAAAAATATGAATAAACTCAGGTAGACATTTTTCTTTAATCCTATTGCTTTAAACCGCGGAAATAACTAAAATAAAACTTGTGAGTTTGTTCAGCCGATTTAGTTCCTAAAATCTGCGGTACCCCTAAAATTAAGGATTTTCAATGGCAGAAATAAATTGCCCGGCAAAACAACAAATTGGCTTTTTCTATTTTAAATCACCCGTCATAATTAAAAATATACTCCGTGTGTTAAATACAAAGCAATCTTTTCTACGCGAAACAAGGCGAATATAAACAATATTTCAAAGTCCGTATGGATATCTAGTGTTATGGCAGAAAAAGAACTATATTTCGCTAATAGACGATGTCGAAATAACGTTTAATAACTTTAACGTTTGAGGAACACACTGTTTGTGAATTTTGTACTGAAAATACATATGGCGAAATATTCATCTGCGATAATAAGGAAGGTATACGTTGTATGTTGTATGTATTAAATGTCCATGTTTGTTCAGGAAGTACGTCTAATCGTAACTAAAACGATCATGTTTTAGTTAATGTTTTCTATGCAATCTTAGGCTAATTTTTAAAACCCAAATATCGAAAGAGCATCGAATAAACCATTCCACTTCATTTTGAACCGTGCAAGAGAGAGGTATTCTTTAAAAAAGAAAAAAAAATGAACGAAGTCAGCTACATATCTATAATGTTATCAGTTCAAGAAGTGACGGTCTGTCTGTTTTCTTGCTGTTAGTTTATCAGGTATTGCACATTATGGCACAACTGCAGATTGAAATAGTTCCTAACAATGACATTATATAATTCGCAAAAACTTTGTTAACACCTCTAATGCAGAATTCGCTCGGTTAAAAAAACTGCTGTTTAATTGAAAAAAAGTAACCATAAAAAAGGATCACAATCAATACTGTGTAATGAAGAAAGTCGTATCTGCTAGAAACAAACGAACCCTAAAAGAATTATTCAGATAATAAATAGAAAAAAGGATTTCAAAAAGAAACGAAAAAGTAATATAAAAAACTTACCGAGTGGTATAGGAATTTTGGCGAACAAAATCCACAACCTCTGGTGTGTTAGACACGCCGCCATCGGTCAGCAGAAATACTGTTCTCCCGATTCCAGGTTTTGTGGGCTTTTCAAAGATAAACTCCAAAGGGAGCAAGAGATTTGAACCGCCAAGATCAGCCCTCATTTTCTGAACGTACGCGCAAGCTTTGATTAGCGTCGATTCGTTATAGGCTTGACTTTCTTGGAACAAACTTCGATAATATGATCCAAAACCGATGATGTTAAAGTGACAGTTTGTAGGTAAACTCTTGAGGCAAAGTATCAAAGTTTCTTTAACATGAAAAATGTGGTCGCCACTCATACTCCCACTGCGATCAACAAGGAAGATGTATTCTCCGAGAGCGACAAGGTTGGTAAGTTTAGGAGTGTAGTTTATCATGATCGCCGCTTTCTTGTGAAAATCTTCAATCGAGTCGGACTGGTTTGCGCATTCATCCATTTTATCGTCCAAGTGTGAGGAGTCGAAATCCTTTTTGCCCTCCTCTATCAGCACGTATGGGTCAAAGGGATGCGCGAGGTGAAGAACAACCTCTAACTCTCGATCATAAGTGTGCGCTTCGGCCGTGGTGATATGAATACGCGAAGCGTTTACCGCCCGGCAGTCCGCGTCCACTTGTATCGCGTGCGTGCGAGACGAGCAACCGGCTAACAAACAAGGCGCGGAGACTTCTAGTTGAAGCTCAAAGCTGTAAGGTTCCTGTGTCTTGCGTGGAATGTTGGAAATCAGCATTTGCGAGCCGTAAATATCCGATTCTATGTCTTCCTCGCTGGCGAGCCGCGGCGTAAAAACAGACGGCAGAATAAACAGCGAGCCACCAGTTGGTTTGTCTGTTCCTAGTTCTGTAATGAGAGTCACTTGAACAAATACTGAGGAGAGTGGAGGAATTCTGCCTAAACTCAACGAAAACAGATCATCATCTCGCTCTTCTAAAGCGAACGAGTGTTTCTCGGAGGTATGAGTGATAACTTTGGAAACTTGCGAACTCACATGACGTTCTTCCACAGTCGCTTCAAATTCGACCACTGTTGCTCTCTCGTCTTGCGGAAAAATAAACAAACCTTCGATGTTATAGTCGCAGTCGTTGTAGTACGTTAGGGTCGCTAAAACACGCGCTGCAAAACCGTTTACTTCCGCAAATATACTAGAAGCTTTAAGCTGAAGATTGCAGTTCGTGTGGCGATTTACGAGTCCCGTCATTTTTAAAATTCACCAAATCACTCGTGAGCGGTCAGTTTAATTTCGTCGCTTTTCCCCTCAAGCAGTGCAAGCTGTTTTCAGATAATATATTCGCAAGTCAGATTATTTCGAAGACAAAAGAGGGAAACATACAACCGAAACGCGACGAGGCATTTTGTCAAGTCGAGATTATTTCCTCGACTATTTAAAAAAATATATCCCCTCTCATTTTCATAAACTCCAGATGGGCATATTATTCTAATTTTCCCGGTACGCTTTGAGTTTTTGACTTGAAAACAATTTATTGCCTAAGAGTTTTTTGAGCTCAACATCCGTTTTAAGCTCGCGAGCCAATAAATGGAGTTCACACGCTAGTCAATTAGACTGAGAATCCATTCAAATGCATAATTTTTTTTGATCGAGCAATTGTGAGACCTACGATTCGGCAAATGCGCCAATGAGAGCCAAGGAATTAACCAAAAATATCTCCCTCTTTGAAACATTGACCAATCATATTGCGGTTTTTCGCAGTGGAGAACGATTTTTGTAATTGATAAACAGGAGTTTAAAAACATTATTTTGGTTATAATTCAATTCTAAATGTTTCTTTTCAAAGACCTGTTGGCTTATTTATCGCTTATCTCGCATTCACCAAAACCTGGTCCTTTATTTTCATCCAGCGAATTTTGGCATTTGCAGTTTTCAGAAATTTTTCATTTCATATAGGCCAAAGGGATTACAATAAATCAAAATTTACGATCACCAGCAATGATTGTCGAGTTATTACTTAGGTAAATTGATTTTGTCATTGTAAAACGCCAGTCGAGAAAAACTACAGCATATACAAAACTGTTTTAAAAACATCATTTCGGTCGATGAGAAACTCAGAATTTAAATCATACTGCAATTTTAAGACTCATCTCCCGATTCTACTGTCTATGTTTTAGTTCAGCTAAAATGCCTGCAAGTTTCAATTTGCTGAAGGAAATTTCACAAGTATACTAAAGACTAATACGATTTATCTCGGTTTTATTAAAACTTTATCGCCTTTTTATCAGTTGAAAGAAATTTATTAGGATTTCTTTGGCCTTTATCAAAGCGATCAGCAGCAGCGTCGAAACTGTTTCAAAACAATGTCAAAACTGTTCTCTTACCAGATAAAGCGAAAGATAAGTCGGAAAGAAAACGATCGCTTTAATAAAGTTCTCTGGTCTGAGAGGACGACGCGCCAGTAAATGGACGTGATTTAGTGCTTTAAAATTGAAGGAAACCGGTTTTCCTACTTGTTCCTCGAAGTGCTATTATCAACATTCAGAGTCTCCTCACTGCTCTCCATAAATTTGTTAGGTACTAGTAAGGAAAATTCGTTTAAAAATCCACCCTTAAATAGTTATTTCCTACATTCCCACAAACTATTCTTTATTTTGTAGGAAAACTATACAAAGAGAAACTTTAATACTGCTTATTTTCAGGGCTAAGGTTCAGACTCAGTTACTTGTTACAAAATAGAAAAAGAGAGTAAAAAACTGTGATCAAAATAAAAAAGGTCCTGTCTTTAACACATAGGTTTACAATTTTTTATCCACATAGTACAGTTGTTTTTGCATAAAGAGTAAATCTCTGGCCGAGGTTACACGATAAGAGACCTTCTAGAGACAAAATTACATTTTTACAAATAGTCATTTACTAAAAACTAGCGCTCTTTTCCTTGAGGTTGATACTACAATTCTTCTTCGATGCAGGAGGGTAGAACTTTCGACAGAGAGAACTTCTCGAAGCTAAAGGTTACAATATGTGGCTGGGCACAAAAATGGCGGGAAAAAGAAAGAAATGGCAGGTAAAAATGGCGGGAAAAAGAAAGCAGCTGGCGTTAGACACGAGACATTTGACACATTAAAGTTCAAGTTTCCTTTCGCGTCACCTGCATGACTGGCTGAGCTGAAAGACGATACCCTGCTATAACGCGGTTTATCTCATGAAATCTTGTGAAGAAATCCGTGAAAAGACTAATAGATAAACGCGGCAAGTTGAAAAACCTCTGCTAGAAGAATAACATGAAACAAAATATTATTCCAGATATAAAGAGGAGAAACAAGAGTTTCAGACGAAAGTCTGACTTTGAGAGCGCTTTAATTGTGGGTTAAGGAAATTTGAGGAATTGTGAGATAGGAGACCATTTATGTAATTCACGAGGTCAATTGTGGCTAGAGGCATGCACACAGAAAAATCATTGTAAGCAACCTAGCTATGCATATTTTAAAAGCTTAAAAAGCCACTTCGTTTGTTGGTGTTAATTAAGCTCAACATTTTTAATAGCTTAACATTTTTGACCGATTTCGCCAATGAGCATTAAAAGCGAAACACATTTTAAATTCATGTCTGAAAACTTTGCCGGCTACGTATGTAAAAAAAAGAGAAAATTTTGGGACCGACCTGGACGGAGTTTGACTAGAGCCTTTTCCAATTCTTTTAGCGCAGGATTTGAGCTTGAATATAATACAAGGTTAATGCTAAAATCAACTTTGTTTTGACATTATAATTCTCAGGTGAGAGGAAGCTGCGAAAGCCAACAAATTCTAACAGTTTTAGAACCGTCAGAGGATTTTTAAATGAAATTTTTAAATTCCTTTTGCATAGCGTACTGAAAGCTTTTTCTATCGCCTATAAGTAATTCCCCAAGAGTTTACACGTCCCACTATAGTGACGCAAGTATTTTGTAGTGAAATACAAATGCGAACAAATTGCACTGAGAGAACTGTCACCGGTAAGATAAGGTTGACGCAAATCGAAAAGAAAGTTACGTCAAAGAATCTTTTCAACATCGGCCCACTTGTTAATGGTTTGGAAACAAATGGAGAAATGCATTGAACAGAGCCGAATTCGATTCTCATCCTGAGTAATTAATGAAATCGCGTTAATGTGTTTGGCACGGACTAGCCTGTAATACAAGCGTCTCCTCAGGTTCGCACAATGTGCGAAGGCGAGATTATAAACAAAAAGAGGCACTCTAAACTTTTAGGCATTTTTGTCTTCGCCTCAACTTACGCACTGTTGTTTTTTGGGACCGTATTTAATTGCAATAGTCTTCCTCACATTTGACTTGAAAAAAAGTTAGTCAGAAGCAAAAAATGTGACGTAACCGTCTTGACAGTATGGAGAAATAAAAAATCGCAAGTGAAAACATCTCTCTTTTTTTACTTAGGTTAATTACAGATCCTTGGAATTTAACAAAACAAATTTAGGATTCTTCCTGTTATGCTAAGGCCACACTGGGTAAATGATGAAAAATAAAACTCTAATTTGACTTCAACAAATTATAGCTGATTTTAATTTATCGTGACCCAAACCAAAAACGAAAAAGTGTTAACCTTTCGATAGTCATCAAAGGTTTGAAGTCCGTGATATTAAATCCACTAAACTCAAAGTTGTTTTTCATCTTTTGTTAATTATGATAGCCGGTTGAAGGTGATATTTTCCCGAAACGATTTGCCTGGTGTTTATGCTTAATTGCGACTTCTGTGGAGATTGTTTTTCCTAGTTTCAATGGCTATGCCACAATTGTGATCATGCCCTATAAAATCGACCTTCTTGATTTTTCTTTCCTCTTTTAAATCCAAACGACAAATCTCTATTTTTCAAAAATTCCACCATGCCAATTAATAATTTTAATCTTATTTTTGGCCCGTTTAGATCATATCCGCGTGGAAACGGAAGGAAAGGTTCATTATATAACATCTCCGGCGTTTTTTTTTTTTTTAATAACGACGACTGAAGACAGCTATTGTTGAACGAGGCTTTAAACAAAATTTCAGCTTGATCCTTTTGCTTAACATCGGAGAAAATTGTCTTATGCTAGTTGGAAACCTCGTGGCCTGCGAAAACATCCGTTTCTCCTCGCTCTTCGCCGCCGGGGACGTTTCGCGAGGAGGAACGTCGTTCCTCCGCGCGAAACGTCCCTATCGGCGGAGAGCGAGGAGAAACAGATGTTTTCGCCGGCTAGAAACCTCGACGCTGGAACAACATTTCACCTTAATCTAAGCACCTGCTGTAGGTTATAAGGAAAGAACTTTTTGTCACCTTTCATCTCCTTCATTCAGTTTAATTATATATACATTTGATTTTGACAACTTTGTGCTCCATGAACGGATGATTAAATCTCTTATCTTTCTAAATAAAAGAAGGATGGATGAACAAAATTAATATTAGATGAACGTGAAATTTTTATGTATTAGCTCTACGTGATGATTAAGAAGGAAATATAACGCATGTTAAAAAACGATTAAGCGATACGTCTGCTTAAAAAATGTAAAAAAAAAAAAAGATGCACAAAAAAATGAAGAGAGAAGAATCCACAAATCCATGTCCGAAAATTCCGATGAAAATCTTGTTCCACCATCCGCCTGCACTTCCTTGCATCTAATCCTACGATCCTAAAAGCTTTCCTAAAAACCTATGCCATCAAAAAAAGCCTCGTAGCAAATGCCTAGCAAAAGAAAAAAACTGGACAGAAAAGGGACTGAAGAGGGGAAAAGAAAAAGCAAGAAGTTAAAGTCGAGTTTGTCTTGTTACTCATGTCTTAACTCCAACAGGCCCGGTCTTTGGAAGCTAATACATGCATATTGCATCTGGGACAAAAGGCTGCGAAATTATGCTCGACCTATGAACGGTTTGGGCAGTTTTTTTCCCTTTACAGCCAGACATTGATCGGAAAATGGCTTGACTAACTTCAAAAAGTGCTTCTCAGCATAATTCCCAGACGCAAATGGGTTCAACCACATTGTTATAAGAAAGGATAAACCGTGTAAGGGCAATGAAGGTGAAGTTGTCAGAGCAAGATACTCCTTTATTTGGGAACGTTCACATGATGTTTTGAGGGGGGGGGGGCATGAAAAAAATGTGGCTTTAAAGGGGGGGAAGGGGGGGTAAAAAAACATAGTGGGTTTAAAGGGGGTCACCAAAAAAATTCTTAAAATTTTGCAGTGACAGCACTTGTAATAATCTAAACAGTCTACCAGAATGCCGAAAACCAACGTTTCTGACATTCAGAAAGTTCAAATTTTCCCGCGGAAGCATGCTCTCAGACCCTCTACTCTATTATGCACAAAAAGCAATTCTATCCCCCTAAAATATAAAAAAGCATAAAATCATGCCAAGTAGAATGTTTCATAAGGAAAAAACAACAAACTCAGTTAGGGGGAGTCGTATAACAGGAGCTGCCCATTGAATCCCACCCCTCCCCCATTAAAAAGGAACTGTCTCTTAGTCAGATGAATCATTCTTGATATTCCTAGGCTTTGTATGCGTTTCCAAGTCAATAGCATATCACACCTGACAAAACTGGTTGAGCCACAAAATACATTGGTGGTCATTGTAATCAAATAAATATTGAACAAGAAATTTATTACATAGAAATTTTAAATACAAAACTACTGTTATCCAATTTTTATCTTCAAGTAGGGAGTTCTGGAGACAAAAATAACGGTTATTATGTAACCTTTGCATCTTATCATCAGTTGACCTTTGATTAAATAACTAATTTCATCATTATTAAATTTATATAAAAAAACATTACAAACTTTTTGGTAACAAAATGTAAACTCTTTAAACCTATGACTGTTTAAAACTATGAAAGTAATTTTGGATATTAACAAGATAAATTATTTTTAAAACTATAATATAGCCATTAAATTCAAAGTACCCCAAAGTTGACGCATAAAATAATAATTATGTAGGTACTATTATCAACTTATGTACAATTAAACATTACTAGATACACTACTTAGCTTATCAAACATAATTTATAATAAACATCTGTTTGTTCACTTTCAAAACATTATACACAATGTTAAAATGGCAACATTTTTAAAAGAATTTGGTTCAAATTACTGGATAAACTAAATGTAACTTTAAGTAATCAGATTAAGAAATGTGTGGACAAATTGACTGCTGATGACTGTTAAAGTTCAGTTAGAATAGAAGTAAAAAAGTGGAAATATCTTGGTGTTGTAGATGGTGTTATCATCAAAATAATGTTTGAAAGTGCAAGAGAACAATAGCCACAATCTAATCACAGGAATGGATCCACACTGGGTTTCCAGCGTTTTGTGAAAATTGGTCAGATTTTACACAGATAAATATATTTTTGATTAAAAAAATTTTCAAAGTTAAAATCTGGCCAATATCCCATCTGAATGACTCAGAAACCCAGGAAGGGTGACTTAAGACAGTTAAAATCCAAGCAATAATTTTCAAGGGGGTTTCATGCCCCTTAATCCCACTAGAAGCTTGTTCCTTTGGCACTCATTTAGGAAATTGGCCAGTATTTATCCTACATCTGTACCCGAATCACGAATATATTTTGTTGCAATAAAAAGAAGCTCTTAGCCTTTCTACAACCCGATAACATAATGTGTCAATGAAAGTAAACATATTCAATTACTATGTAGCAGTGTATATCCAGGTTGTCATTTTTTTTTCATAGTGTTTGATCTGCATGTTAGCTCTGATAATCTGTCATGCTCTGTCGAAAACTTCATGTACATGTAGGCCACCCTGAGAAAAAAGCCAATATTTGGTGACACCACCATGATAGTTTTCTCTTAATAATGTCTGAAGAACAAACACTGGCAGAAATTCCATACTGATGACATGAAACTACTCACATCTGGGTAGTGATTCTGATTGGCTGAAAACAAAATATGCCTTAACCAATCAGAACTACTACCTAGATCTGGATAGTGATGCATCAGCAGTGTAGAATTTCTGTACGCCTTCCTCAGGCATCATTCCATGGGGAAACCATTATGGTGTCAAAAAATGTTGTCCATTTTCTCAGCCCCCATGGAGGGCATTTTTGGCTTATAAAGATACTTGAGATCAATATAATATCTTGAATTAAGCCACGCAAACAAATCTGGTATTATATTTGTAGACATTCACTACATGCAGTAAATGAAAAGAGGGTGTGGGATTGCTAAGTACATGGTTGCCTTAACAACAATTTCTTACTAATTTTTTTTTTGTTATAAATTTCAAGAAGCTAACTTTTTTAGTTGATCCCAAAATAGCAGACTCAAAATGGTATGAGGACCTATTCTGAAGTAATGTGGACCCAGACCCTTGAAAAATCCTGTTATCCCTTCTCGTTTAGATATTTTAATAAAACAGTCAACGAATCCATTGTAGAAGAGTCCCTTACCACTAGCGTTGGTTCCTTGATTATAGAGGCGTGTACTTACAACATCAAATGGTGTCATAAAGGTAACCACAGCAATACTGCTTACCATGCTAGCAGATGCTGGAATAAGCCAGCTGCCTGGATTGAAGAAACCCATTTGGGCAATCTTTAACTTTGTTGTAGAGAAAGTAGACAACTGAACAGCTGATCCAACTGCAACACGAGCCAACGCTCCACTTACACCTCTCCAGAGTCCAGTAATCCCAAACTGTTTGTAGGTAGTGCTTATTGCATGGACAAATCCAGTGTGATGGTGTTGGTGACCTACAGCTATGATTTCCGCCGACTGTGATTGAAGGTGAGTCTTGACCTGGTAAATTAAAGTTGCTAGATAAGTCCTAAACCTGTCTTTAAGCTTTACCAGTCGTGACTACGGACAGTTAAGACCACCACTGTCAAGCCTTAAGGCAGCAATAAGCAAAGGATACTGCAGGAGATGAAGCTAATCTTCAAACAGGGAACCTGCTAACTGCACAGGCTAAACAGTGACTTCCACCTACTTTGAGTCTCACCACAGGCAACCCAAGAAATAATATTAGAGTTCTATTGGTAATACAGGTTAAATAGATCAGCTTAACCTTCCTCTTTGAGTGTTCAGGAGTGGTCTTGGATCCATCTGAGAATTAGGGCTATTAAGGCCTAAGCCTAAAATGTTTGGAATTTTACTCAAAAATTAGGCCCTTTCAAAGATGTTCGATTAACTTAAAAAGTTGAAAGTACTCATAAATAGCCTGGAGAGAGAGGTTGTGGAGGGGGGTGGGGGGTGAAGTGAGAGAAGTTGCCTTATGTATTGTGGCATTGTGTTGGGAGGGGGGTAGGGTTTTCAAGTAAACTTAAAGTTCCTGGTCCAAAGCAAGTTAATCTGGGATAAAGTAGCAAGTACAGGATCCCAGTGCGCCCCCCCCCCCCCTTTACCACCCAGCCAAAAATTCAGGGTACTGGTCCACGGCCACGTAGCCTATTTTAGGTGTATTACTCAATAAACACAGCATCCGGTCACAACCAGAAGGTTGTGGAGGGGGTGAAGTGAGAGAAGCTGCCTTATGTATTGTGGCATTGTGTTGGGACGGGGTAGGGTTTTCAAGTAAACTTAAAGTTCCTGGTCCAAAGCAAGTTAATCTGGGATAAAGTAGCAAGTACAGGATCCCAGTGCCCCCCCCGCCTACTCACCCACCCAGCCAAAAATTCAGGGTACCGGTCCACGGCCACGTAGCCTATTTTAGGTGTATTACTCAATAAACACAGCATCCGGTCACAACCAGAAGGTTGTGGAGGGGGGGGGGGGGGGTGAAGTGAGAGAAGCTGCCTTATGTATTGTGGCATTGTGTTGGGAGGGGGGTAGGGTTTTCAAGTAAACTTAAAGTTCCTGGTCCAAAGCAAGTTAATCTGGGATAAAGTAGCAAGTACAGGATCCCAGTGCCCCCCCCCCCCCCTACCCACCCAGCCAAAAATTCAGGGTACCGGTCCACGGCCACGTAGCCTATTTTAGGTGTATTACTCAATAAACACAGCATCCGGTCACAACCAGAAGGTTCTCGCTGTTTCGGTGAATTAAATAAGCTTGCGATTGTATTTAGGAAATCTTCATTCTACTTTTTAAAGTTCTATCCCTTACCATGTATGCGGGACTTCCTAGAAACGCCCCAATGCCTCCTGAAAACGCACCGGCAACTAGACACCGCCAAAATTCGATTTCCCCTTCACTGTTTGCGGTCAACTTTAAATTGGTCAAAACTTGGTACGATCCCAGGCGAAAACCATTCATGACTGCCTGGTAAGCTAGAGCAGGAACAAGGCCACTTTGAAGTGATCTCAAACCGTCGTAACGGGCGATGGTGTAGAAGGCGTGAAAAGCGTGTCTGTAATGTCTGGTGTACGTTCCGCGCGCTCTCAGCTCTCCCTGTAACTGCATCCGCGTTTTCACCACTTCAAGAGGATTTGAGAAAATGCAAGCACCACACGCTGCTCCCGCACCTAAGCCAAATTCTTTTAACTGTGCTAGCATTTTCCCGAAGACGCTAGGAGAAAAGAAGGAGGCCCGTACAAAGGCAACTTTTTTTTCGGCTTTCCTTCAGGTGCTCTTCAGCTGAGATTTCAAAGTACTCTATTTATTTGGTCAGCGGTAAAACGAAAAATAATGGTATACTACACCCGTTTTTATTGGTCAGATTAACAATAAACCAATCAGAACAGCTGTTTTAATTCAGGCTTGTCGGCCATGTTTGATACTGAGAAAAAGTTAGCAGATTTTCAGCTGAAACGATTGCTGAGAGAAGTGTAAAAATGCTGCAAGTTAGGCGGCAAATTCTACGCTTTGAAAACCTTACAAAGCTATGTGCTAGGTCCATGGGTAAAATGGACCAGTTTAAATGGAAACGCCCCAAAGACAGGCCAAACAAAAAACCGAGATTGTCCATCATTCTGTTGGAAAAACACAAAAAGTTAGGCAACGCTGGTCAGTTGGTTCCAGTCAAGAGAGGCTACGCGAGAAATTTTCTGGTTCCTCAAGGCTTAGCTGCGTATGCAACGAAAGAGAACATGAAAAAATATTTAAGAGAAGTAGACCCCTCTGATGCGGCCCCCGAATCTCAAGTTTGTCCCAAGTTTATGGCATTTCTGAGAAGAACACATTTGAAAATTAAACGAAAAGAAAACGAATTCTTCGAAGTGACAGAACATCATCTTGCTTTAGAATACCAAAGACAGTATCAACTGTATGTGCCTGTACACTGCATCATAATTGAAGAACCCATAAGGTCTTTTGGACAGTTTGTGGTGAATGTTGCTGTTAGAGATGGAGTTGTTGTGCCCATGAAAGTGTCTGTGGAAGAGTGGAGGCCTTTTGTTCCAGATCGGTTCAAGGATGTTATGAGTTCTGAAGATTACATAAAGAAACAAACACAGGCTTAAAGGACTAGCCTTGATTTCAATGCCATACCACTCATAAGCAATAACTAAGGACTTTAACCATTTGCCAGAACTTGCTGGCCAGACCAGTCCTGTCTTCTGGAGAATTCCACTATTAACCAGGATTATTTAACCAGATCAGGTTAATCTTAAACAGTACGTGGGGCAGTGATGGTTTTAGTTAAAATTTCAAGAAAATACTAATATTTTATTTTCAAAATGACCTGTCTGGCCAGCCAGTTCTAAGTTTTGGATAGTGCCCTTAGTGATGAATTACCATTAATGACCTAACAGATGCCCACTTCCAAATAAACGCCCCCCTCTTATCTATTAAAATTGTATTAGATGCTCCTCTGCAATAAAAGTCCCCTATGAGAATTACTCCAAAATACTAGTAATTAGCCAAAAGGAGCAAGATCATTCAATTCATCCAGTTTCTTGCTTGATTAACAATGTTCTGTGTATTTCATCTTGTTCAGTATCAAGTTCAAAGTGAGGATAGACTAACGATGGCAACACAATGACCCTGAGCCCCGGGGTACTGCCATATATGGGCTATATGGATATGTGCTGCTGTGAAGGGTATGGTTTTCAAGCAGTTTACTCTAGGATAGGGTATATAAATCAGAGCGTTTGGGTCTAGAATAGGGTATCATTTTTCACGAAACTGATCAGTTGGTTGAAGATTTTATCTAGACTGGGGAAACAGGTACTCTAGGATAGGGGGATTTTGGGAGTTTACTCTAGTATAGGGTAGCAAAATTCAGCTGAACTAGCTCTGGTATAGGTCAAGGGTTCCACAGTCCCAGCAGCACATCCCCACCCAGAAATTCCTAAAGTGCCCCGGGCCCTGAGCGAGGATTCTGACATCAATTTTGGGATTTGAAAGTGTGGTATGGATCTCTAGATGGCCTAGAAGTATCAGTAATGATGGATTGGATATTCTGCTATCTTTAAACTCTCTTGATATTTTTTGCCGAAAGTATATTAGTTTAACAATTATGAGAATAGACTCCTCTCTCTTTTTAGTGCCTCCTATCTAATACACGCCACTGCTTGGACCCCTAAAATTAAATAGACGCCTTGGGCATTTGTTAGGTCATTTACGGTAAGTATCAGGCAAGAGTGGCATTTGAGTCAGTTTGGTTAAACAGACAAAGCTAGCATTTATAAAAAAATAAAAATACAAAAAAAGTCCAACTGTTCTTAATCTTTGGCAATATTTTAAGCAAAGGCTTTTTGCGCTGAGCAAACAACTGAAACTAATCAAATAAAACAGAACAAAGGCTGGTAAGAGGCAACTTGGTGGTTATTCACGAGTGAGCAGTTAAAGGGGCTAGGTCAAGCTATTTCCTGCCTTTTTAAAAAGCTGAGACATCAACTGAATTCCCAAAACAATGGTCCAGTTTTTTGTTATTTATTTTTATATCAAAACAGTTGATTCCTACATTGATCTTGACCAAACCTAACCTGCCTTCGTATACGCTGATGTGATGATACCGCCAGCTATGCAGGCTAGCTTATGTGGTCATTTACTTTGCAAGATAAAAAATGAGCCAGTAGATTAAATAAGTCAAATTAGTCCAGTCTTTTAAACTTTCATAGGAAGTGCAATGTTTCCAGACATATTTTTGAAAAGGCTTAGGAAAATAAAGTGGTGTTTTCATGACACTGGAAAAGTTCTTTAGTCGCGGTGAAACAGTAGATCATAAAAGATGAACAGAGAGAAATTCTACATGCTGAGTGGTACTTAGATACTAGTGAATTGAAATTATCACTTTCATGTGAAAAAAAAGAAATATTCAGCCTGACACATTGGGCCATACAGGGTGTAAGGTTAATAATTATGCCCTACGTACTACAAAGACATCTCTGGAGACTTTGATTTCTTGGGCAAAGATTTAGATCACTGCTAGTTTTTGAAAAAGCAAAAAAGATGTGTAAATTTTGCCTCATCAGTAAATACCCCTTGCCCATTCGAAGTTACCCCTGCCTTCCCTCCCATTGACAGCAAGATTATGCGCCATCAGTCCTATTCGTTAGCGAACGTTGACATCCTAGGTGTGATGTGATTGGTAGATCAAGCTATGATGGCGGAAATTCCAAAATGGCGGACTACTGTCATTGCCGTTTGAAAAACAAGGCAGCAAAAGTTCTGAAACAAAAATGATGATGGTTAAGAAAAGGTAAAATCCGATGAGAACATGAGTAGGAGAGTAATTTCCCGGGCGTTGCACGCGAGTTCCTCGCCCCAACACACCTTTGAGGTGATGCAGCGCCGTTTGGAAATGGCCGAAGAAGAAACTAGGAAATTGGTGGATCAACTTGCTGAATATGGCTTCAGTAAAGATCGCGTGGACAATCTTGAAAGCAGTAAAAGTGGAAGGATAGAACCAGTTCAGCCGTTTAAGGCTACAGGAATAACTAGCCCTCAAATTGAGATCTTACAGCGAAATTACGAGCAAATGGTATCAAGAGTTTGTCGCGCTGAGAGCACAATTCAATCTTTAAAACTTGCAATGTGTAGTCTGGAAGCCGAAAAAAATCTGGCAACGATAGATAAGGGGCCAGAAGTTATTACGTTGCCCAAAGATACGTATGAAAAGGAAATTAAGAAGCTTAAGAAGGATGTACAGAATCATAAAAAGGAGTTGCAAATATGTGAGGACGGTCGCAAGGAAGCTCAAGATATGGTGAAGCGCCTTGCCACAGAACTAGACAAAGCTTCTCAAAGCAGTGAAGAGAGTAGGTTGAAAACAGAGGAGCTTAAACTTTCAAAACAGAAACAAACCAAGAAAATAAACGAAGTAAGTATTTTTAAAATGAAAAGGGGTCTGATTTCAGAACTGTCAGAAGGAAAAAACTACTAAGGCCTGGTTCAGATGCCGTACTTTTAATGTGCCGAACCTAACTGAATAAGTTCGATTTTCGAGCAATACTGGCACGACATCTGATTCAGATGGCACACCATGTGTCGAGCCTAAGTTAAGTTCAACAAAAGTTCGACAGACTCTGTCAAACTTTTGTCGCACCAAACGCTTTTGCCACACCCAACTAAAACTGTCGAACCAAACTGATTCAGATGCTGCTCTTCTGCCTTACTTAATTTCAGTTAGGTTCAGCACATGAGTGGAGCAGCATCTGAACCAGGCCTTACAGGAATAATCTTCAGATAAATTTGAATATCTCAAGAAAGCTTCATCAAAACTGAATTAGATAATGATGCATTTGCATTGTCTAAGTATGGGATCAAGATAGCTGTAAAAAGGATTGACATAATTTTCCAGTCATCTTGATGAAAACAGCTCAGTTAATAAAGTATTTATATTTACATTACCCTGGCTTTAGAGGTCTGTTATTGAAATGCGTAGGATGAAATAACCCACGCGCAAGGTTACAGGCAGTCCCAGCTTTGCCATAAACAATCAGGAATTAGGAAAGAAATAAAAACCTCTGGCACCCAGGGTACATAGACAAAGTCAACCATGGTTTATTTACCCAAGAAGAGCTCAGGAGTTGTACAGTAATTCATTAAAATGTTCTCCCGTAAGTTTTACTGACCAAAAGAGAAAGTTTTCTCCTGGAAAAACCCAGAATTCAATTAAGACAATTGCGTACTGTTTTTAAGCGCATGTTTTGAAAAAAATTAAAATACAAAATGTGCATTGTATCAGGAAAGTAGTGGATTTGACCCTGTTTGCCACAGAGTTCCAGCAGCTCAGTAGAACTTGAAGGGTTGTGAGTTCAATTCTTGTCTGAGGGTCAGGAATTATTTTCTGTGCTATTGGTTCATCAAATTCTCTCTTCTTTAATTATGAGACTATTTTACATGCAAGTTTCTGTTATATTTACTTGCCAACAAATTTTTTTTTATTAATTTCCTATGATAATCGATCGAACATATTCTCCATAATATTGATCATCGCATCACTTAAATATTTCCATCAGTGATCGATTATAATCAATGGTCAGCACACCACTACCCAGATGGTTTTGTGTTTTATAGCTCAAAGAAGAGTTGAACAGAGAAAGAGATCTTCGATCAAGCTTGGAGGATTCGCACACCTCACTTTTGCAAAGAGTATCTGACATGGAGAAGATCGTAGAATCTGAGCGGGGTGATGTTCAAACCTTGGCTCAGGACTGCAAAACATTGAGAAGAGAGGCAGTGTCTGCTCGTGAAGAATGTGAAAAAGCAAAACGGCTAAAAAGCCAGCTTGAGGCGCTGGTCGCACAGCTGCAGGAAGATACAGGTATGGAGAAATCTGGATTGGAAATTTTCAATATCGATATTTCTGTGATGCTCTGCGAATGTCATTACCATGTTCTTGCCTGTAAAATTAGAGAGTTTTATAATCTTTTTTACAGCAAAATTAATGGCAAAGGTCAATTTGCACCACATGGCCAGATTTTACTTTTTTTGTTGTTTACTGTTCATTTATTCTGCGTCGAAGACATAATTTACGGATAACTTCATTTAGTAACGTCTGTGAAGCCAAATGGATGCAATGATTTACTGGAAACATGCTTTGAATTTCTTTTCATCCTGATTGGCAAATCAACAATGGCTCTTTTACCAGACCAATCATGATAAGTCAGGGTGCAAAGCTTGCCATTTGGGCTAGCTGTATCTAGCATGTATACTAGCCCAAACATCACTTAAACTAGCCCCAAATACTTTTTGATGAGCAGGTTTGAATACACAGTTCTTTTGTAATTTGAATTCTCAAAAAACTTCACTTGCCAATCGGGTAAGCTAAGAACAAAATTCACTAGCCCGATAGCAAAATGCTCTAGCCCCAGGCTATCGACAGTACTTTCTTTGCATGCTGTAAGTACTCAAATCCTGGTACACAGGTGGAGACCCAGAACAAGGATTTCAGCACTGTTTTGCAGACAGACTTAACCACAGTTTAGTTTCATCTGTGTCATAGGCAGAGGTTACTGTTCATTTTGACTATGTTAGAAGTATTAATATTCATGCCAGATTCATCATAAGAGTTGTTTTAGAGAGTTTTTATCTGCAAATTTCCTAATTTATGAAATTGTCCACTTGAATCTGACAGTTTTCTTTAGCTGTAAATGTAATTCTAAATCTCAATCTCTTGGGCTGTGCTGTGATGGTATGCTTCAAAGGCTTCTATGCTGGCAGCATTTACATCTGCAGCATGTTAATTTATTTGTTTTCGGGGGCTGCTTGATGGAGTAGTCAGGTGGCTGACTCTCACTACTCAGATATGCCCCTCTCTTTCCAATCTCAACTTAATGATACTAAATAATACTATTTTCTTTGAATATTTTTTCTGCTATAGTTAACTCTGATTCACAATTAGCTACTCTATCAGCAGAAAGAAAGGTGAGTGAGACTAAGAAAATGTTATCCCAAAGCCTTTTCAGTCCTTCTTGTTATTCTTGAACTTTTAAAGACGTCTTGAAAAGAAAGTTTCATTGGTTTTGAACAAACGTCAGTTTTCATACGCGCATCACGTATACCTATAAATTGGTCATTTTGGGCATATGGAGCTTACTATAATGATTTGCTTGAATGACAGCAAAACAGTAGCTTCCCAGTGCACAATTGCCCAATGTCCAAAGCAACATTTATTGATAGGTATATATACAGTTGACTCTTTTTGAGACAGACTGTGTTGTTGGACTGGCACCAACTGGCTGTCCTCGAGAGTTGTCTGCTTATGAAAGAGTCAAATCTAATTGGATTGGTAGACTTGGTGTCTATATGTAAGAGGATGTGTCCAATATTGTTATAGACATCATTTGACTGAGTTGACTGAACTTATGAATGCGCATGTTATTTTTTGTCCCTATTTTGAGCTCTAGCAAAAGTACAGCCTTGATTAACAATTCCAGCTGACCACATTAATTAACATTTTTGGCTGAAAAATAACTAACATTAACATGACAAGTACAGTAAGTGTTGAACCTTTCCACAACAGTCACCTTGGCAACCGAAGAAAGTGGCCATTGTAGAGAAGTGGCGGTTGTAGAGAGGTTTAAACAAGAGTCAATGTGTGGACTGTCCGCCAAAAATAGTGGCCATTGTAGAGAGATGGCTATTGTGGAGAGGTGGCCAGTAGTGGAGTTTTGACTACAACATGTAACTGACCAATCAGAACATGCAAATCTCTTATATAATCACTTGTGAGTGATTTATTATACTCAAGTTATTAAACTATAATAATCTTGCTAAGCTTGTTGGAATTTTTCAGTCATTAATGATACTATAATGGTTTTAGACATTAGATGCAGATAATTCAAGATTGAAGAAAGAAAACAAAGAACTAAGGCAACAATTTGAGCTTTTACGAAAGAGCTATGAAGATCTTAAGGTATTACAAAATAACATTGAGTGAAATTGTTAAGATTAAAACAAACTTTGCTTGCCGGAGGGTTGGCATATTTCTTGTACGACAATAAAGAACAAACGCAACTGAATCGTAGTCAACAGTTATCGGCACTGTACAAACAACTCATTGATGGACTCAAGCAAAACTGACAATGGCAGAATGACTGAACAACCAACAATTTGACTAAATAAATGACTGTTAAACTGTGACAGAAGACAGATCAAAATGCACCAGTAACTAACTCAGACCATAAATTGCATGAGCTCTTGCCACCTCATAACAATTGTGAATCCAATTTAAGACGAAAGAGGAATTTTAATGTCCCTCTGGCTAAGACGAAGAGACTTAAGAACACATTTATATGTAGCAACTGTAATAAAATTTTTAGCTACATATGTGTACATTTTTCTTATATTTTTTCTCATATTTTTATTAGATTTTATTATTGTAACGATTAATCTAATTCAGCTTTTGGCTGCGATTTTAATCAGAATAAACTATCTATAATCTATCTCAGTAACAAAATTATTAGTCTTCATAGCCAATGACGTCATGACCTAACTGACAGACAATCAATAGCATCGTGACTTAACTGACCAATCAGGTCGATAAACAGAGTTTAACACCATCAACTGATGTGATGTCAACTCTGAAGATGACTTCTGCAATGGATATCGAAATGTCAGTCACTGTCAGCAACAGTCCAATGCAGGACTACGCTCACCCAGACAGTCATGCTTCACCTACTTAATAAGACTTTATGCACCTAGTTTTTCTGAGTTATGTTATTTTGAAATCCATGTATTTCAGGGAGTTCATGAAAAAGTTCTGTTAGATCATCACAAAGCAAGTGATGCATTAAAGGCAACGACTGCTGACAACAGAGTTCTGATTTCCCAGCATCAAAATGCTCTACAGCGGGAACGAGACCAATGGAATAATCGAATGGCTGAACAAGAAAGAATGCTAGAGATAGCTCGAAGTGAAATGGCACAAGAAGTAGCAAGGGAGAAAGAGAAACAAGAGTATTTGGAACATGAAAAGTAATAATTATCTCTTATAGAATAATGAAACTCTGGACTCGAAAGAAACTTGAATTCCACATTGTTCTTTGAGCAAGAGCCTCTCAGATTTTGCTTGCCTTGTGCCACTCCTTGCCTGTCTTAGTTAATAACTTTATTAGAGGTTAGAGGATGACCCTTTAGGTCCCAGATTAGCCACCTTAGCCTTGCCAATGCTGTCAGCAGTGTCAGTAATTTTTACTGATCCTTCTCTTCTCAAAATCTCATTTCTTTCCATTTTGCTTTTTTTATTCTGCTAGATCAGTTTTAAGAGAAGACATCAACAAGTTGCACCGGCAGTTATTGGATGAACGTAGCAGAGCTGACAAAATCAAACAGAATCTCGTATGTTTGAAATTCTTTTGTCCAATTCATATTTTTAATCTTACGATTGATTTTAATGGACGTTTTCCAAGTCAGGCGGGACTGAAAAAGTAAAACAGGATTTGCAATCTCTTCGTTCTTTACGCCAGCTTTTGTTATTATTTATTATTATTATTATTTATCTTATGATTTTATAAATGTTCTGTGTATCAGTTTCGAGGGCGTAAAAATCACTTCCTTTGGTGTGTTGCCACACAGAAAGGCGAATAATTTCAGCAATGGCTCGACCGTTGTCTTCAGAGAAACAGCAGGCCACCTTGGGTTAGTTCTCTAATACTGTAACCTTTACTTTTCGTACGTTTTCAGGACATAGAAGTTTTAAACCTCCAGGCCAAAATTGATGGAATGACGCGAGACAGGGATCATCTGTCAAAAGCAAATGATCAAATAATGAACGAGGTACATTGAAGAGTTGTTTTGAAAACTGATCAGTGAAAAGGCTTTAGTTGACAATACAAAATGTTTTTTAATCATTCCTCATGCATCTAGGTAAATCAAGCTGTAACCGATTTCTCAAATGAACGAGACAAAGTTGTTGGGCAGCTCCAGGCTGCACAGGTAAGCTGACGTTTTCACACTCCTGAAAATTGTAAAAACAAAATTAACGAAAATTTAATAAAATTTACGGAGTAAAAATCATATTCTTTGTGTAAAACGTTGGAAGCTAAATAGTACTACTTAAAGTTACTTTTGAAGAGGTTGCATTTTAACCTTGACTTCCTCTATTGACTGATTATGGTAATGCTGTTTAGGTCATGTAATGTTGCAGTGAAGGTCTTCATCTTTAAATCATAGCCAGAGTTAAATCAGAGCGACCAATTTGCAGACAACTGACTAAGAATTAATTTGCACTAATATCCTTTCTATAACTACTTTGTCTTTATATGACTTACAGTACTTTCTGGTCTGTTGAGGACATCTATTTACCAGACCAATCGGTTAACATAGTCTGACCGGGTAAAACAGCCATAGTCCGGTACAAGCGACCCCAGTTATTTATTGTGTAAGTGCTCTTCGTGCATCACGATAAGTTGTGAAGATGATTTCTTTTAGGGAGAGATCAAAGGTCTACAAGAATCAAAAAAGCTGCTGGAAGACGAAAATAAGAATCTGCTGGAAAGAATTTGTGCTCTGGAGGACAAGCAGGTGCATATAAAGACGCCGTGTTTCTTGTTTTATTTCTTGTTTTAATGTTTATTTTATCACGTTTTGAATGTTGTCGTTTTTGCTCTTTAGGCAAGTCAAAGACAAATCGAAGAAGCTATGAAAGGCATGATGGACTCCAAGAACAGACTTGCCTTTGAGAAAGGCGGCCTGCAAGTTAGTGTCACAATTGTTTATTTAGTGGAATCAGTTTTTCATTCCTTTACAGGCCAAAGGCTTTTACTCCGACAATATACGCTCACTTCATTGGTTCGCTGCACTGTTATGTGAAGTTGCCTGAGCAGTGGCTCGCTTTCTCCGCCGCGCACTTGTAAAAACTTGCTTGCAAGAATTTTTCAGAATGAAGCTAGGAATAAAACCTTAAACGTGTCTTATACAATTTTTTTGACCAAGATCTTTTTTCTTTTTAAGTCCAAGGTGGAACATCTCCAAGAAGAACTGAAATCATTTGGCGCAATAAAGGTATTGTATTTGCAAAGAAGTTTTCAGTTCAGTTTTGTTGAGTGTGAGCTTAACTTAGAAGCCAGTTGCATAATCGACGTCTGACCTAACTGTTCAGTCCCTTGAAACTCTATATTTTAACACCAAACGTTACAAGTTACGTTAGTCCTATCAAACGGCCCCAGGCGTAAATGTATAACCAACGCCGCCAGTCCACGCGACTCGCTCGAAGTAGTTTCTATTTTCGTTCGAATTGGCTACTAGTACTTACTTTAAGTTGTGATCGGTTCATTTTGTTATCTTTCTCTGATATGACTGGATTGGTTTTTGGGTCTAGATACTGTTTCATCACACGAGTTATAGCTAGCATTTTTCTTTGGGAGAGAAGGGACCTTAGTGAGGAAGCGCTGACAACTGTCCTAAAATGTCATTAAAGGCTTTTATTTTAATATTGCAGCTGGAGGCGGAACAGCTTAAGAAGACCAACAGCAACTTACAAAACCAGCAAAGCAAGGTATTTTCACCCAGTAAAAGAGCAAATTTCCCTCAGGACAAGATGCGCGAATGTGGGTGGATGTTGGACGTGATCACGCCCGCTTCCTATTTTCCTTTTCCACCTTCACCCAGTTCTTTCCAGAAAATCCTGCGCTTGTTTTTGTCTGGCCTGTTTTTCTTTTCTCTTTTAAACGTGCGTTTCCTCGCATCTTATATTTCTTTATTAGAATTTTTGGTTTTCATTCGGCTTGTTATGAATTAATGCTGTTTGTTTTCGTTATTTTTTTCTCGTAGACTATTGCAGAACTACAGGCTTGTAAGACCACGATAAAAAAGTTGGAATCACAAATTAGAGAGGTAAACAAATAGTGAAATCTCGTCCCTACTTAACTTTTTAATTGCTTTGTCTGTTTAAAACCTGCCTGCAAAGGCCTTTTTCCAAGTAAGCACTAAACAGCTTTAGAGCGACTGAGCGATCCTACGATTTGCGCAGTTCACATCATCTTCATTTCTCTCGCCTGAAATGAGAATGGGACTAGAGTCATAATGTGTTCTACTTTTGTTTCTTGGATCGCGCCGGTCAGCTAGTATTGTCCAATAGGCCACTTCCGAGTTCCAAAAACCCTCACTTTCAAAATGAGGCCAAGTGCACAACCTTTCTTGTGAAAATGAGTTTTATTTGCATGATAATGAAAAATCATTTCCATATCAAAGGCTGAGCACTTAACCTCGTTTTGATACAGAGGCCCAGGGGAGCTCAAAAATGGCCTCTTATCCTGCCCCGTCCCCTGTTACAGTCCCAGAAGTCTTTGCGAAAGTTAACTAGACCCAGTTTCCCTCTCGTTTCTAAAGTGGCGAATGAAACGACTTGTATCCCATCCAGAAAAGTGGGGTGGGGGAGTGGGGGAGTTGTTATTTATACTCTTAGTGAATTTTACTTTTTAACAATTATTCCTCGAGCCCGAATGGGCTATTGACTCAGAGGCCATGAGGGCGAGAGGAATAATTGTTTTAGTTAAATCCAACTAATTGGTAAAAAACATCGAGACAAAACAACTTCTAGCAGGTTAAAGCTAGACGTAAATCCCTTTTTGCCGCCAAAAAGCGCGCGCTTTTTGCTACTAGTAGGCTATAACATATAGCCTAGTAGTAGCTCAACCAATCAGAACGCAGCATTGATAATAGACCACTAGATGGATTTTACTAATATTTGATATTCCTATAAGCTGGAGTCAAATTTCCGCTTCCTTTATACAGGGTCAGTCGGCGAACAGTCGAAAAGATAATGATCTACGGTCAGTGATTCAGTCGAGAGAAGATGCCTTGAGAGAAGTGGAAAAACTCGTGAAACATGCAGAGTCCTTAGAGAGGAAATACAATGAAAAGGTACGATTCAAGCAATTTCTTTCATCTTACCGGCGACTTTGTTTCACAAATACCACTTTTTGAGCAAGCAGTTTTTATGATGGCATTCTTTCATTTCGAGTGCCAGAATTCACAAATACAGTGAGGTAGAGGTAAAATGCAAGCAGAGGAATGTTTCTTGGTGATGCGGAAACTATTGTTGGTTCGCTATTGCTTTGTAATGTGCATATTGTTCAGTGTCCTTTCAGTCTATTATCATAGTTTTTGTTTATTTTGTGATAGCACCCATCCGAACCTAATGTATAAATTCTCATAACGTATTTTGTAAGCAGTTTTACCGAAAGGAGCATTTTTCTTCTTCCGAATTTAGTTCGGCTGAAATTAAGATCGGCGTCTGAATCAATTCAGCCGGTCTAAATAATTTGGGTCGGCCTTAATTCGAATTAGGTTCGCCTCATGAAATGTTCGACGTCTGGACCAAAGTATTTAAAATGTCCTTGTTTTTCGTTTATAGGGTAGACTGTTCAGAGCCCCCTATTTTTCCATGAGATCGGCGATATATAGCGCGTCTTACCATTAATGGCGGCCTTTTGACACTCTTGTAAGATGGCAGCCCGTAAGGCAAAGCGCTCGATCTCGATGATCTTACGGAAAAATAGGGGACTGTGAACAGTCTATATATAGGGCGTATTACCTGAAAGTCAGCTATTGGTTCGAGCCATTCACAGCAAACTCGGTCGGCAGGGAATGTCTTTGTAAACGTTATTTATTGCACGTTTGTTTTCATTTTTAGATCGACAGTCTGCAGCGCTCGCTAAGCGACGCAAGGGAAAACAGCGCTAGGCTTTCGAGTACTATTGAGAGCCTAATGACGTCACATTCAGAGCTGCAAGAGGCGATGGAACGGTTACAAGTTGACATGGGCCAGAAAGACAGTGAATTAAACATACTGAGAAGAGATAAGTGAGTGTCCTGTTCCTTATGGTCCCAAAACCTGCCTTCTACAAGAGCGGGGAGCTTGGACTTCAATACGGGGTACAGGGAACGAGAGCGAAGGATGATGGGAAGGAAAATCTCTCGTCTTCTCTTCCCGTCTCTACCTTCGGCCCGACTTTCGTCAATAATGAACTTAATGTAATCCAACTAAATAGAGCGATTTTCGTATGACCTTGAACTGAAAACGCGCGAACAAAACAGAAACATCAAACGAACGCAAATAGAGCGATTTGATTGGTTTGTCGAACATTTACAAACGCGCGTGGCTTTTGGTTGGTTTGTGCGAACGCTCGGGTGAAAAAACTTCATGCCCGAGAACTCGCTAGGAATTAACCGATACTTCGCTTTGACGTCATACCGCAACAGGATTGCCCAATCGAACAATGCCTTCTCCATATCAGGATTTTCTTTGGCGGGAAAACGAAGAGTCCATGTTTTGATCTTTTCATCCACTGGCTGAAGAAAAAATAACGAACACTTACCGAAACCATTTTCAAGGTCATACGAAAATCGCTCTATTCATAGATAAGTGATTGGGAGGGACTGGAGGTATGGCAGATCGCAATTCATACCTTGTCGAAACACTTTAACAGACGAAGAAACAAAGGATTCGATCTAACAACCAATGGCTAGAGCTCGAACCTTTAGCTTTGAAATCACTCAACGGTGGCCTGCTTTCTTTTAATCTACTATCAAAACAATTTTTTTTTCGAAAATTTATTCGTAGAACTGAGTATTTAATTGCAAAATAATGAACGTTCATACGGCGTCAGACTGAGGAAAGTATTGCTCAATAGCTTTCATTTGAATTGTCACAGTTAGAACCGCCTTGAACAGCCAAATAATAAGAAGCCGTACCGGAAGAAAGTACTGCTCAGCAGCTTTCGTTTGTAGAAAAAAATGCAAAAATAGCGGAAGGGTGTAATAAGAAATGAAGAAGATTCGCGGTTAAGGAGAAAGTGCTCTGACTCAAACTTTTTCTTGTTATGACTTTTTTGTGTATGTGTCGTATTTACCGTTTCCTTTTTGCGCATACATGACTAAACATGACAATATTTCTGTGCCTTTTCGTGCAGAATTTCCTCTCAGGAGCTTATAAAACAGCTTCAATACGAAAATGATGCCCTACAAAGTAAAATTGTCACCATTGAAGAGACGGAGCTGCAAGAGGTATTTGTAGATTCTATTTAAGCTTACAATCTTGACTTTCTCAGCGAATGCAAATCATGAACCAGAATTCCTTGCATCATTTGTACTGCCCGATTTTTTTATTTTATGTTCAGCTTAGGCCGCTACGTGAAGCGTTGTCAGACGCTCAAATTGATCGAGAGAGAATGACCGATCAGTTGGAAAGACTCCTGTCAGCCAACAAAGAACTACAAGATAACATGGAAGTACTGCAAACTGAGCTGGGAAGAAAACAAGTCGAGTATGACAACCTCAGGGAGGAAAGGTATGATTTTTTGGATTATTATAGGTTTCTGGGAAATTGCCCACCTACCCCTCCCCTAAGCCAACATTTTGCCCTAAATGAGAAGTAGGTGTTAATGTTGGCTTAGGGGAGGGGTAGGTGGGCAGTTTGCGATTTGTTTTATTGTCGTATACAAAATGACGCCTCTGCAGAACAACCGCGAAAAACATTCCCTTTTAAAGTAAAGCCACGCGAAAACAAGAATAACTTGTAGTTGAAATAATCTTCTGTTGCGTGCATATAATTACGAGAAAATCATGAAATTTGTTTCTCTACAATTTGGACCTTTGCACCACTGAAACCCTACTTGTACATATTGTCAGAGATCGGCAGATTCGCGAATCACGTGAAGAGAAAGCTGCAGAATTAGAGGAACGAGTTGAGGACGTGCTTCGGCAAGGACAGAAAGATTTACAAGAGACAAGAACAAAGCACAAGAAAGAACTCGCGAAGGTCGGTTATGCTTTATGCGATAAGACTATAACTGCTTCTACAACAACTAAAAACCGGTTGCTTTATAGTACTTTGGCCTGCGGGGGTGTCCATATAATCCCGAGCATAGCCGGATTACTCCGGAACTCACGCTCGGAACACTCCGGGTCAGTGTCGGGAAAATATTAAATTCATGGTATCTAAGTGGAGGGAAAACATGTAACCGTAGCAATTAAAAGGCGGGAAAACATGTAAACGTCGCTATTAAAAGGCGAGAAAATATGTACACCGGAGTAAAAACGCTGGATAAAGCTTACAAAATCTGTTATCTTTGAGTCTTCCTTGTTGAGCTTGTATTTTTTATAACATTCCTTTATAGATAAAGAAGGACTTGGAAGATGCAAATGCTTATAAGAACAAAATCAAAGATATGAACAAGAAACTCGAGGACAAAGTGAAAGAACTGGAAGATCAGCTAGCGAAGAACAGGTCCAAAATGAAGTCACAGAAGGTGCAGCTGGAGCAGTTACGAAAAGCACAGAAAGCAAGAGACACCGAAGAAGAAGGTGCTAAGGGCAAAGCAGAGGTGGGAAGACAGTTGTGTCTTACATGCATTAATTTATTTTTTCGAAGGCTTTGTAATTAGCACTTTCCTGTGTCCCAATTACGCGAGTCTAGAACGAAGTACGACATAATGTGAGGGACTAGAGATAGGATAAAAAGTGAATTCTCGCTGCTTTAAACTTTAACGCGCTTATTTCATCTCGTTCATTTTGTCAAATGTTAAAAAAATTTGGCGGGCGTTGAATACTAAAAAGACTGTATCAAAGTTCAGGAAAAGAAAAAAAAAAGTCAATGTCCTGTGTTCACATCCTTCACAACACGTGAAAATAGGCATCTTCACGTTGTAGTCGTACAGTGACGGCAAAGAAAATTACAAAAAAGCGTGATACACGTGCAGTTGTTGTTTTGCTTTATCTAAAACAACGCTATTTCTTCTTTGCCGTCCTTTCGCCGTAGCCGTCGCCGTTGCTTAACGCCCCTAATGCTATCTAATTCAGGGACTTGCACATCTCCTTATTGCTCGGCACGATGAAAATGAAAAATATCTCTAGGTCTAATTTGAGTCACGAAGTAAATTGGTCTTGGAAGAACGTTTTCTGATCTTAGTTTTTGACACGATTCTGCACGTCTCATCCTCATTTTTTGTGTTTTTGTTTAAGCATTTCAAGAAGGAACTGAACACCTTGGAGCGAGTTAAAAATGAGTATATGCGTAAAAATAATGAGCAGGTATTATATCCTTTTAACTTCTCATCTGGTTATCAAGTTACCTTCGTTGAAACCGTTTGTAGATGAGTGTGAAGATAAACCAGAGGTGTAAGTTGGTCGTCCACTTCATAACTGATCATAACATTTTGTTTGTTATTTAGGCTAAGACAATTGGAGAATTTGTTTCAAAGTTTAGCGATCTTCAAGCTGAACTAGAAACTTTGATTCAAGCTCAACGGTGAGTTAGTTAATTTACTTACTTGCCCGGGGGAAAGGGCTGTCCTTTTTGCTATTGACATACTATACCAAACTTTTGAAGGTTACGTAACCAGATCAGCTGCTGATCTATCAATTATGGCCAGCGTTGTAATTAAAGACGGTGGCGTGCAAGGCAACTTTTGGTCAGGCGTTTTTCTTTCTTGTGCAGCAAGCGTTTAGTTTGGGAGAGAGGAAATGCATGATCGCAGGGAACGTGTAAAGAAATCTTGCTTCACAGTGAATGCTGCGGAATGTGATTGCTTTGCCCGGGGCATGAATGAGTGTCTTTTTCTTTCTTAAACGTCTTTGTACATCGCATTTTTTCTTGTCTTCACGACCGGATTTATCTTCACTAAGGGACTGCAGGCTTCCAGTTAAATTTGACTTTCTTTTCACCGCACGCTTGCGCTCATAATCATGGCCCATCGTTGGTATATTTTCTTTTCCGGTCAACAGGGAGAAAGAAGAAGAACTTGAACGGGAAAGGGGCTTGAGAAAGGATATAGAACACCGGTTTAAGGTAAGAAGCAGTTATAAAGGTTTCTAACGTACGTATAATCAGAGTTCTATCAGGTAACACACGTTCAAAGATACTGTAAGTATCACGTTATCGGCAAACGAGGACGATATTCACGTGATCATTTTACGCCTGAGATGCGCGCGCTACTTTGGGCTTGAAAAGTCATCTGACGAGCGCATATCGCACGTACGAGCAGCTAAAAACTCTGTCGAACCTCCCCATATTTTCAAAACAGAAGTATGCGCGAGTATGTATGATATTAACTTGCACAATTGCAATTCTCAAGAGAGACATGCTTCGTCAGCACGGAGGTCTCGTGCAAACGTTCGCTTTTCATCATTGTATGACATCAAGCTAGCGATTGTGACGTCAAAATATTCGAATTTTAGCCTTTGTAGTAAACGTGTTTTTGCTCTCATTGAAAACTGGAAAAAATAGACAGCAAAATAAAGGAAGTATTAGGAAAAATCTGTTACGAACGAGACGACGTTTGAAAGGCTTTATGTTGCACTGCTTGCAGGAGAGGAACTGACGCACAAGAATTTCATTCCGTCCCTAATTTCTTCTCTTTGTTCCTCGACACTCCAAAGTTTGCTAACCTTGATTTTCCTGAGTTCTTTAATGTTTTTGTTGTTTCTGTAGAAACTCCAGGCACGTGAAAAAGACCTGGAATCATCAAGAAAGGAAACTGAGAAAAAACTTGCGGAGGCCAACTTTGAGACTCAGCAGGTATGTCCCGCTCACAGAATACTATCGGTGTCTGATGAGAAAAAGACTTGGAAATGGAAAAATGCTTTCTTAAATCCAGAGGACTCAACACTCGAGCCAATTATGCGGCAAGTAGCCAAAAACCTGTTCGACCTAAAAAAGAGATCAACTAGAATTATCTGTCTTATAATTCATAATGACAGTTTGAGAGCGTACTCCTGCTATAATTGTATTAAGTTTGCATTATTAGTAGCTGCTTTTTTCTTTTTCTTTCTTTTCTTTTCTTTTTCTTTTTTTTTTCTTTTCCTTTTTTTTCGCAACCTTTAGTGGTCAGGACGTAGAATGGGTGGGTAAGCCGTCTATGGATAAAATTCGCTTCTGCCTTTATTAGCCAGGTTTATTTATAAGTTCGATTTCAATTTTTCTGCAGGTTTCGGAGAATCTACGTGAGGCACAAGAGTGGTTCAAGACCAAGTTTGGAAATTTACAAGCTGAGCTTGCTAGATCAAGGTGAATTTTTCATTTTGACTTTGTGAAAGTGAGTCTGCTGACATTATTTTCGAAAACTTTGACAGTTTTACAGCAGCCAAAATATCCTTTGTTAGGCGACTGTAAATGTTTCTCCTGCTTTTGGTTCTAAAAGATAACCTTAGCTTAGTCTTTCCGCGATTCACATATTGCGATTTACCAAGCAATGATATTTATACAAGGTCTGATAAAGATGTGTTTTGTAGAATGTTTCGTTGCGTTGTTTTGTATAGCTTATTAAGTTTTAGATTCATGTTTACTGAAAACCTGAAAGTAAAGTAGCAGAAAACTTACCGATGAAGCCTTCACGCTGCCTAAAGAAAACAAAACGAATTTCAAAGACGAAGCTTTGGCGAGGAGTAAGGTTTTGTTTAGAACTATCTTTTCAAAACATTTTCACGTTCTATTTGCAGGAAAATACAGGACGCCTTAGAAAAACACAACAGGGAAAACTTCAAGAAAAGGAATGAGGAGAAGAGAAAAGTCGACGAAGCTACTGAAAAAGCCAAAGAACTTATGAGGGTAATTTAATTTGTTCAATTTGTGCTTACGACCATATACTTTGTAGGAACCTGTTTAGGCTAACTTGAGAAAATGCAGATTGTTTCTTGCGGGTTTTTAATGTACCGTCGAACTCCGCTTAACGGACACCAGCTTAAAACGCTCACATCGTTACTACAAATACCGTAAAATTCCGAAAATAAGCCCCTCCATGTATAAGCCCCTCCAAATATAGGCCCGCCAAACTTGTAACGCAAAAAACCGTCCGTTAAATCGTCCCTTCATATATAAGCCCCCCGGGGGCTTGTATTTGGAAATTGCCCTCAAATACAAGGTAAAACAAAGCAAAAACGGTAAATTTCCTTCCAACTGTAAGGTTTACCCAATCGATTTTGAAACGCAAATTTCCCTCCATAGATAAGCCCCTCCGAATATAGGCCTCTCCAAAAATAAGCCCTTCAAAAAGGGCCTTTGAAAAATATAAGCCCCGGGGCTTATTTTCGGAATTTTACAGTAGTTTGCTTTGTCCCTGGGAAAAGAAAGGCCTTGCATTTTCACTAAGTTCCACCTGCTTAATACGGAGACTTTCTATGGCCCCTAGTGTCTGTAATAAAGGGGTTTAACTGTAATTCAAATTTTACTTGGCAGGCGAGTCGAATGACGATCAGCAAACTTGCAAGCGACGTGGCCGAGAATCACTGGGAAACTAAAGGAATGAAGCATGCTTTACAGTCTGAGATGGACTATAACCTAATGACAACGCAAAAGCTTGAGAGACTCAAGGTACAAAATGTTTCCTTACTAGGGGGTGGGTGGTAATAAGTTTGTGATGCAGATGTTTCTAATGCCTAAAGGCATGAATGGTTTGAAAATCATGCAAATATCGTATCACTAATACAATGTAATCACAGGTTGATAAAGTCCGGTAGATTCTAGTTCTTGTGTGATATCGCATGGCTTTAAGGCAAAGGAGAAAATATTTGAGATCGCTCGGTTTTAACATGAAAGTGAGGCAACAGAGAAAGTAGCTTACAGAAAAACGAGGTAAATTTGCGCACGCCATTCTCGATATTTTACCCCATAACAAAATGGGGAAGAGGCAATTGACGGGAACAAGTCTTGGAAGGCAACTGTTTTAGGGATTTGGTTTTGGCCAAAGATTTCAACCCAAGTGACCTTTGAGGACTGTGGAAATGCAGCCAGCTCTCCCTTAAACAGACACTGAGTTATGGGGCAGACTACTCCTCTTTTAAACGCGCTCTACACTTGAACGCAGTCATTCTTGAAGCCAGTTCTTCAGTCACTTTCTCTAATTCTCTATAAGACGCACGAACACTGAGTGCTCGTCCCAGGTATCCGTCTTAAGAAAGATTGGACTGTGCAACGAACAGGCAACCCATGGAAAGCTAATACCGAGAACACAATTAATTTATCTTTCAAATCTGCAGTCATGATCCTTGCAGAAACAATGAACACTTAATTCAATGGTTTATTCTTGCTCCCGCAAATAGTAGCTCCACCTTTCGATTATATTAAACAACACACAACCAACAACCCTTTTGATTCGCTTTAAAGAAAGGGCTTGCGCTTGGATTCTTAGCTTGTTTTATTCTCTAGGGTGGCCTAGTTACTTTATCATTCATGTCGTTAAAACCGAACTTTCTGTATGTTATTCCCCTTATTGACTTAAATTCACCTTTCTTCGGAAAACCTCTATTCAACTGCCAACAATGACCGCGTTAATGCGGACTAGAAAGCCAGGATCTTGTAACAGTACTTTGTTTCCTTTGATAGGAATCAACAGCGCGACAAATGGAAGATATGGCAATAGAGCTAGACACTCTGAGGCGTTCAACATACAGATGACAAAGGTAAAGCTAGTGAAACAACTACCGCCAATTGAAAATCGTCTCTTTACACTAGTTCCCAGATCTCTCTTGGAAAATACCGTGGAATCGAGGTTGGCAACTGTCAGTTGCCATTAGAAACAACAGCCGTATGGCTCAATAGTTGAGTCTTGGTGTTCATTAACTTGATCTTCTAGCTTCCTTCGTAAGACATGTTACTATAGCTGTACAGCTGGCTATGAACAAGAGCATTAAAGAAAGAGAACCAGAAAGGTGTTCGAACGAGTCATGTATTGTAAGATTTATTTATTCAATGGAGCAAAAATATGTTTGTACATACGATTTTGTATTAGTCTCAGACTCCACGAAACTTTGGAAACTTCTATATCTTGTATACAACCAGGGTGAGAATTATTTAAGTAAAAGTCAAGTCGATAAATGATTCCTCATAAATAAGGTCTAATTCAAACTCATTGAACACAAGTTGTACACATCAGGGCGTAGTTTCTTGTCAAATAAGACTTAACTTCAGAGACGGGTGTTTTCGTAGTTAGGAGGCGCGGTTCTTTACAGTAAGAACAGGGAATCAGTGCAACTTTTGAACACTGTACATAAGGACTTATATGGTATTTTATATTTATAGACTTTTGTAAGATACGAAGGGTGTTAAAGATACTGTAAAAAGATTCTGAGCAAAGAAAAATAAATCAAAGCCTTGTACTTTTCGAAAAATACTTATCTGATTTTTTTGCTTTCATGCGATATCCGTGCGACTTGTTAGAACCGTCTTTGGTAAACTTCTATGTTTTTAGACGCCACACAGTGGGTAAAATAAATGTTCTTCAGTAATTTGGAAGAACTATTCCCCACATTCTCTTTTCCATTTCCTGCTTCCTTATTACTTTAGAAGTTTTATAATAACATTAACATCAGATTTTTCCAGGGGAAAAAGAGTGGAAAAGAGCGAAAGGGGGTTAGAGCGACGTGAGGAAAGCCCTTCACCACCCCCCTCCCCCCATTTCCTTTCCCCTCCTCTCCTCTCTTCTCTTTTTTTAATCCCCCCTTTCCCCCACTTAGCAACGTTTGATACTGAAGTTTGATTACTAACTGCTCCTGCCATTTCTAACAAACCAGTACAACTAAAAACAACAAAAATGTTTAATATACACTATTTACACGCGGATAAGAAGGTTTCTACTAATAAATCAGTTGATTGGCTGTGTATAAACTTTAAACCTTGGCATTATTTAACAAGAGATTTTTCCTGTAAATCTCAGGCTTTCTACTCTGATCTGCGTTTGTTCTTCTCCATCTTCCAAGAGAGATTTAATGCTGGTTTATAACGCGACATAAATCTGAACTATTTGGAGACTAGTTGAAATTTTAGTCGCGAAGGCCACATCAAAAGGCAAACACTACTCTACTACGTCAAAATGCTATTAGGCGTGAACTGAAAACTACTAGAGCCTTTGGTAGAGAGAGGCCTCGGGCGAGTCGGTACTCATAAGTCTGCCAGGGAGGTGCATCAGATCCACAATGTAAGTTTTAGGAGGAAACTTAGGTTGGCCATCCTATAAACACACAAACACAAAAAGTTAAGCCGAAAATCATCTCCTGACAACATTTTAAAGACACGGTGAAGACTCCACTAACGGGTTGGTCATCGCGTTTTTTCTTTTCATTAGTCACTTTTGCAAGGACACCTATGCAGACGTTATTAGGGCTTCGTGACGCGTTCCTCACCCACGACCGTTCCAGGGAGAGGAACGCTTGACAAAGGACTAAGATGCTCTGTCTAGGTGGCTAGCAACAAGGGTCATTACGGTCGATCAAGGTTTTAATTTGCTGGTTCAACTCATATGCAAAGAGGTAAAAAATGGGAACTGAGAAAAGAATGTGACGCAACGGGCTCTTGGCGAACAGGCCTTAGCTGTTCAAGAGGTCGATAGTGCTATCCAACGGAAAAAAACATTATCCAGAGGATAGTTCAATTGGTTTTCGTAATATTTATCCGCTGGATAGCGGTTTATCAGGTGAATAGTTCTATCCAACTTTCGAGAAACCAGAACCTGACGTAGTTAATAGAGACCTTAAGATCGAGGTTTTTCGGCATTTCCCGCGAACTGCAAACGTCAAGAAGTCACGTGACTAGTGCCTTGCCGTCAGGATTGCGGTTTGAGGTTCACGTTTGTACGGCTAGAGCGCGCTCCAGAGGTAAGTGATTTACCGCAAGGTTTTTTGCACTCTAAAACATCACAATTCCACGTTTGAGAGAAAATACTCTTTTTTAGAAATCTTTTGCTAATTAATTATTGAACTATTTTTCATAGAAACGTGACTTTGAAGAGGATTTCTCAGCTAAAATGGAAGTGAACGAATGGATAAAAAAACAAACATGGTAGCCGCGAGGTACCAGCCGCGAATCTTAATTCCTAAATTTGGGCAGACGGGTAACGTGAACCCGATAACCGCAAACCACGGATTGCAGTGTGCGGCAAGATGGCAAAACCTCGATCTTAAGGTCTCTATAAATAAAGGGAAAGCTCTCTAGAAAGAGTAGAGTACAGTAGTAGTTCGTGTTATCAACTCCTCAAAATGGTGCATACAAAGCAGGGTGGTTGGGATTAAGCGACATAGGTCGTCTTCTTACCTGTGCTTCATCGCAAAGCATCACCTCGTTCCAAGCCCTATTGTACTCTCCTCGAACCAGCGAACAGCTCAGAGCAATGCGGTCTGCAAGAGCCTACAAAACAAACAGCACGCTTGGTTTCCACTGGGTCATAGATGAAAAATGATATTTTAATTTTCGCCTCAGAAGTCGCTTAAAGATCACCATCTCATATTCACTAGCAACAATACATAGTTCTGGCTTATAGTTAAGCAAACATTTTTATTTCTCTATGATATAAGTCGCCATAGTAACTCGGTACTCGACTAGTTATATCTTTCTACAAAGGCACATGGGACCGACTCTTTGACAATTCTGTTGGTACTAAACAATTGTGAAAATCAACCGTTTTAGGCTAAGTGCAGTAAGGTGTTCTGTTCACAAGTCATCAACCTAACCGTACAAAGATTTACACGCCAAGCCGTTCAAAGTTCCGTTTGAACAGGGCAAATGAAATATTGAACGGTCCCGTGTGAACCAAGTCTGGTCAACTTTTCAGCAGGTCGAAATTCGTCCAGTGCCGTGTGAAAGTAGCCTTAATTTACCTTAAAAAGCAAAGCTCGGTGATAAAATATTCCAGTTTGTATCTTGCCAATAGGAATGATATTGGAGTTCAGCTCGACTTTTAGTTGACCAATGGGTAGTTCATAACTAAACGTCGAGAGCGATTCTCGGTCCACAGGGCCACCCATCTTATCACTGACAAAGCTGCAAAGAAATGACATCAAACAGGGTTATATACCACAATACAGTCAACTCTTTCTAACTTTTATAAGTCACCTTGCTGAAAAGGACACCTTGGGCTGCCTGGTACCCAGGCGCTTCTTGGGATTTTCAGCGGTAATTGCAATGCGGCGCAAGGGGTAATGGGAAGGACGAAAAATTCACGTTGAGCCTTCAGTTGTTCCTCTGCGTTTTTGAAGCCTTCCCTTGATCTTTGCGCCGCGACTACCTGTCGAAAATCCCAAGAAGCACCTGGGTGCGAAGCAACACCTTGAGGGCCTTCTATTTGACTGAAAAATCTGGATGGAGTACCCATCGTCAGATGGTTAGCGATTCATCAGTTTCAATCTGGAATAGGAGACATCACTGTTTGCAATTATTGTTTTTGTTTTTCAAATTTGTAACGAATGAAACAAAAGAATCTTCTGTTACAGAACCAATGCGCTTCTGGTTGGCATCAATACGTGACGTCAGCGTAAGAAAGAGGTGAATGAAAAGATAAATTCCATTCGGTTCAGACCAACCTAGTCTGCGAATACACCCGACTATTATCGCTCCCCCGGAATGAAAGGGCAACTGAAATGATTTACCATTCACAAAAGTTTCCGGGAATTTCGGTTGGAAAGTAAATCAAACAAGGCTTTTCAGGTCGTTCCAGTGGAAACTTTTCAGCACCAAACGGCACGTCTAAAGAGGTTTCCCAGTCGGAATGTTCCAAAAGGAAATTCGTGTTCCCTGGCTTTGGCGGCTTTATTTTTCCGGAAATAAACCCGAATTGTGGAAATTTTATACGCAGTTATCGACAGAAATTTATAAGTCCTTAGTTTTGCTTCGTAAAAATATCGGTTTCCTCACGGAAATGGTAAATTACGGTACGTACTCCTTATTTTCCGGTCGGAATTTCCGAAAAAAAAGACTCTACAATAATTCTTCGGTTCCGTCCGACAGATTTGGGATTTTTCGCTCAATGGTAAGCACCCCTATAACACGTCCCGCCCGTTGCTCCGTTCCCCATACAAATTCTCCAGACTGATCTTCGTACATTCCCTTTAAGATCAGTGGAGAGAATTTGATAAAAGATCAAAGCATTTTCTCTTTGGTGATCATTTTATTCATTCTTATAACCATTTCTCTTGACAATGTTTGGTTATTGTTAGGAGAAAATTGATGTTGGTCACTATTGGATGTCAAAGGGTTAAGTCCCATACAGATATTTATTTACCTTGCAAGAGCTACTATCTGCTCGCTACTGCTGCTAAGGGGTTGGATAGTGTTCCGAACCTCCTCAATATAGCCATGTAGAACCTCATCAGTAGGGGGCTGCCAGGTGGGTACCTCCTCCTGTTGCGTGGCTGAGACCTCGGACAAAGCGGCCTCTTCTTCCTTTTGTTTTTGCTCCTCTCGTTCACGCGTGATCTTACTTTTACTGAAGGAAAGGACAGAAGAATAAGCCATCTCTCAAAACAGACTGAGATACGAGTAACTTTCTCTTCAAAAATGGAAACTTAACTTCAGCATGCGTTTTTCGGGGAGCTCGTATTTTTTCCCTCCCCACAAACGCCTGCTCAACCGAGAACAACATTCCTTTCCCATTGTTTTATTCGCGTGGTAAGTGACCAATCAAAAGTTTTGAAATAAAGTGTTGACAGGCTAAACACGACTCATTAACTCGTGGTAGTGTAAAAACGTGACCCTAGAGATACCTTTTCCTTCTATTCTTTCCTTCCTTTAAGGTTATGCAGTGCACGGAGTATTCTAAAATCTGACTACATCTTACTTTTGTCGCTCTGAGTCTATCATTTACTAAAGGTCATAAAGCTTTCCCAGTGTTTCATACAGATCGAGTATTTATCGGGTTACCCTGCGGTCAAGGTCAACTTTCCAGAATTTGGAAAGTACAATGTTATTGGCTAAGCATGGGAAAAGAATGTTGTTCTAGGTTGAGAAGGCGTTTGAGGGGAGGGACGAAATACCAGCTCGCCTTAAAACGCCTACGTGGGAGGCCACTCGTCACTCAGTCTTTTTGACACTCTCAAATGCAAAGGCCCTCACCGAGTACTGCGCCAATGGTTTACGTTTTAAAGCAGATGACTGTATACTCTTGCAAAATCAGCGTGTGTGACAAAAGTCTTTCAGCAAAAAGGTAGAAGTGTTGAGTTAGCAGAAACCTGGCTTTCCCACAGAAATAATGAAACTCTGCTCTTCGCAGAAGTATCGACCTTCGTTATTGTTCGCAATAAAGTAGAACAACAAGACCATGGTTACTAACTTCTTCAAGTCTTTGCTGGATTTTGATCCCTTTGCGAGTCTTTCTGGGCTTTTTTCTGGCTCTTTGGGAGCGAGAACGGGCGAAGGAGTTTTTCTGAAGAAACGAAAAGAAGAAAACAAACAAACAAACTCAACGATCAACAGGCTTGGAAGCTCACGGGCGAAAATCACATCACAAGGTCTCCTCTACTAAAAAAAGCCTATGGCGAGACCATTCAAATGAAAGCAACTGAGCAGTACTTTCCTGTGGTACTATTTTTGAGTCTGTGGATAAAATCCGTAAATTTGATCATTCAAATGCAAGCTTTCCAATGGTGCTAGATATTATGCTGTACAACGTGGGTCTGCCGTTTGGGTCTGTGGATGAAATCCCAAAGTGTGGCCATGTCAAGAAACGTCGTCGGCAATATTTTCAAAGCCAAAGTTTGGATTTGAGCATAACTTATTGATACTCTCGAAAGTAAAAGAATTGAAGAAATCTCTTGATTACTTGGTAATGAGATATTGAAACTACTCGTCGTAATGGCTTACCTTTCGGGGTTTTTGGAGTTGACAAGAATTATCGGTCGGTGAGCATCTGTTGGCTGTGAACTGAGCTCCTCAAGTGTCAAGAACCGGCTATCAGGGCGAATCTAAACAAATACATAACCACACCACACTTAGCTTCATTCTAAAAATTTGTTGTTGAGTTACCTTAAACGTTTCTTATCACATGAACTTGACTGAATGCCACAAACAACTTTTCACTTTACTGTTCATGAATTGTGTTCTTTTTACTGTGTATAAGATTTGCCCCAAACGAATAAAACTATAAAACTTTGGAAGCCGTTTCTGGATTGAGTTTATGCTTTATGTTATAGTTTCCCGTAACGTGCGAGTGAACCAGAAAAAAATATGCGCGTGCGTGCGTCAAAACTGTTTATGACGCCACTGTTTTCCTCGACAACAAACTCAGTCAAAAGGCTAACGTTCGAGAATTCCGTTTTTTTTTCTTTTCCGTAAAGCAGCGTGAGGTGCGCGCGAAGCGAGAAAAATACATGCGCGTGCGTTGCGTCAAAACCGTTTATGACGTCACTAAAAAGAATTGGCCGTAGAATTTTGTTTGAAATGAGCAAAAGTCTTGTGACTGGCATTTCGAGACATATTACAGAGCTTTGCGGCTGCATAAACCAGCTACAATAGTTGGATAGCGTGTAAAACACGAAGACAAGTTCTTGTTGGTGCGTGTTTAATTTTTTATTATTACAATTTCTATACTTTTGTTTGTTAAATGTTTGCTTTTCTTCGGGCGAAAAGTGAAAGTGAGAGTCAGCGGTGACAGAAAGACGGTGGAGAGAGTTCAACCAAGAGTAGAAAGAACTATCACGTTGCACATTTTAATCCCAGCTGCTCTGTTCTGTATAATTTTCCCACTACTTATCTGCTACAAAAACAAGTACACCATCGTGGTCTCTCGAACCGGCTGCCGTTCACTTTATGCCGTTCTGTCTTATAAATTGCTAGAGCGATCTGTGCGCTTAACTTGAACAGAACGTTTACCGGTCCACAATCGTAGAATCCATCCTGTATGATGTTGTTGGAACTCAGAGAGCCTGTCAGAGCGTACTTTGCGGGAAGGTTACTGTCCAGGAGACACTCCATGGCGGCTTTCGCAAAACCAGACTGGCGGGAACTAGACAAGGAAATCTCTCCTAACACATCCAAACCACTACAGATTAAAGCAAACAAACCCTAATATCAAAACTCAAATTCTCATTTGTTGTCCCTATAAGTTTTCATTCACTAGAAGTAGTGGGGAAAAATTTGTTGAAGTATCAATTTGTGATCATTGATGCTCAATTCTCCTGATCACCTTATTTTATAGAGCAGGGATATTACAAGGAGAAATTTCATTCTGATCACTCTTACGGCTTACAGGGTGAAAGCCGATTTATGGGCCAATATACACATGTTTAACATTTTTGCATGATTTGAAATTTCTCACGAAATCAGCTTAACGTTTTTGCCTTTGTCTTAAGCTATGACAAAATTTTAAACCATCAAAAAGTTTTAACCACAACTTACCCAATTAACGAAAGGCAAAAATAATGAATAACATAAAAATGAAATAACCGAACTGCATCATACAACTTAATTACAGACAAAACGCCGCAAAAACATTCTTAACATCCCAATTATCAGCTGAGCATCAGATTTAGGCAGGAGCCCATCTCCTGATTTAGGTTCTTCTTGAAAACTTTCAAAAACAAAGAAAATCAAAGAATTTCTATCGCAAAATTTTTTCTCACCCCAGTCTACAAATCTCTGTAGCGGTTGGTAGATCGTTACCACACTGAAGCACGGCCCAGGCCACGCTCCGTCTTACATCATCATTGCCTGAACGCAATAACTCAACCAGACGAGGAAGGCCACCTTCCGCGCGGAACTGTCAGAGCAAATGAGACAGAAAAAAATATAAACTTCTGCTAGTGATAGCCTACATTACGCGTCCAAAATATACGCGTTAAGGTTTTCAACATGTTCTAAGGTTAATATTAAGAGTAACTAGGGTCCTTAAGCACCGAGAACGTTGACGTCCCGAGCGTCAAAAGTTGATTTCTCTCTTTCAGTGCTCTAACTCTTCAAATTCGTTGAGCAGGAGTCAAAACAAAGGAATTCAGTTAAGGAATTCAGATTCGTTGTGCGAGACATCGAACTTCCAGTTGTTATTCATGACGTCCGGGGTCGGGTTGCAAAAAAAAAAAACATCTTAAGATTAAGGGAACTCGTAGTTATTATCTTAAAACAATAGGTTATTGTGTCAGAACAAAAGTTAAGAACCCTCTTATCTTAAGAAGTTCTATGCAAGGTGGCCCAGGACGTCAGCGTTCTTGTTTGCTTAAGTTCGCTACTGTCACAGTAATTTGAAGGTTGACAAGTGCAACTAGAGAGACAGTTCGAGTAGTAACCATCACTTTGCAAGAGGAAGCTGGAGTCAAAAGTACTAAGAAGATTGTAAATGAGTGTTTTGTCCTTCTATTATTTTTTTTCGTAAGTTGTGGTCTTTTTTGCTCAGTAGCATAGCGTAAGTGGAATGTCAACAGATGGGTTAGGTGTAATCTTACTTGTTCGCATGTAAATCGCATACTGAGCCCCCTTTATTGACAAGTATCAGAAGGGAAAACTCCTTTTAAGTTAAGATTTACCGATCAAAATTACGATACAAACCTTTAGAATGGACTCTAAAAGTCAGTGTTATGCTCACCTCATTTCTTGAGTCAGCGTCGCACACGAAGGCAGCCACAGCGATTCCAGCTTTACTTTGTACTATTGCGGCGCTGTACAAAAGAAATAATATTCATCATTTGAAGATCGGGTTGAAGTGGTCCAGTTGTGAATTTCATGGTAAGAATTGGGCTATTCACTATAGGTTCATGTGTGACGGCTCCGTATGAACAGGTTCTTGTGGGTTTAAATTACAAAATTCACTACGTTTATCGGCTATCATAATCAATCAGAGATAATTCCTCCTGACAAAAGGTAGTGGATTTTCAAAATGTTTCTACTTACTTAGACTGTAACGCTTGGACAAGAGCTGGAACAACTCCTCTCTGCTGAATCTCGGATCTCCAAGACTCTAAAAGAAGGTTCACGAAACCAATGAGGAATTTTAGGAAACACAAAACAATTAGAGAGCTTAAACGCGTGAATCAGCGTCATTTTGGCGGGAAAACGTGATAGCCGTCGTCATTCTACTACGAGTTTTAGCGAGAATGTCGTAGTGGCGGGAACAAGTTATCAAATGTAAGAGGTTTTATCATTTTGCTATCGGGAGAGGGCTTAACCTCCTTCAGTGGAAATAACCGCACTAACTTTGTTGGTGAGAAAAAGTAAAATGAAGCTTCCCGGGGTGTCTTTTTTTTTTTACAACACGCGCAAAAACTTTGAGTTAAATCTTGTACTTGTACACGTTTTCGTCCTCAAATCTGAAGCTCTCTACTAGTGATCCAACCAATTCTAGGACAAAAAATGAGATTACGGATAACTCCAGTGTACTTTGATCGAATTGAAGACGGAAGTGAGGGGTGGGGTAGGGGAAATTCAATACTGCACACCACTTACACCCCTTCCACTCTCCACTCCTCTAGAAAAACTGTAACTTAACATACCTTCAGTAGCTAGATTGGTGAGGCACACAGCGGCATTGGCTTGAACCAGCTGCTTGGCGTCATTCAGAAGAGTGATGAGCGGTTCAACACCTCCCTTGTCTACCACGTCACTACAAACACATAAAACGTCAAAACGGACCGTATTAAGCGGAAGTTCTCGTAAGCGGGGTATCCTCGGAACGCGAAAAAAGTGTCCTTAACTGGAACTGGCCGCTTTTGGGAATGTAAAAATACAGAGTTTGAATAGGAGTTAAGAAAAACGGGGTTATCTGAAGGCGGCTGTAACTAGAGCTGCCCGCTTACGAGAGTGTCGGTTAGGAGGACTTCTTACTGTATCACGATTATTGCGTTCCTGAAAGCTATTGTTAGCATAAGTCACAGTGATATTTCTGGAATACTTCATAGCGGGCGAATTTATTTTTAACAAAACTTCACCCTAACATGACGTTCGACTTTACAACGAGAGATGACCTTCGGGCGACTTGATACTCATACGAAACCTCTTCGGTCGAACTTTCACGTACTACCAAAAAAATGGGAATTTTTACTTTGGTCACCGATAAGAGTGAAAGTGTTAACAGAAGAGGTTCTTAAGTCAACACTGTTTTTTTCATTTTATACTTAGATTTCTTTTAATACAATAGGGAAACGGAATGAGTGTCTGACTTGGTCAGCAAACATCTAAAAACAAATAAACTTACCCGCAGTTTGTGTTGTTAGCAGTGGTTATGTTCGCCAGGGCGAGTGTTGCGCCTTCCTTTACATCAGGGTTGTCGTTGTTGAGTAGATTAATTAATTGTGGAATACCGTCTGGAATCAAACGAAATCGTTTCTGTCACTCTGGAAATAGTTACATCATATCTCACTTTTACATCCATTTTCCCGGTATCTATACAAAATACGGATTACTTCTCACTCAGGGCAAAATGTAGGCTTAGGAGAGGGATCGGTGGGTAGTTTCCCAGAAACGTATAATAACCCCAAAAGACCTCCGTCTCAACTCTATTTCGGAGTTATCGGAGGTGACTTTTCAACACTCGAACCATAAAAAACACACCTCAAATCGCCTCAACTACCTCTATCTCGCCAAACAATATGCAATATTTGTTGCATCGTTTTTCCAGCTCACTTCTTTGACCCCTCTTTGGAATATCATCCAAAAACGCTAAATGCTATACAAGGCAAACCCCATAGAAACGTCAATGCGCTAACAAAATAACAATAAGGGCGATACACTTGCTGTAGTTCTAGAAATACTCAACTGCTGACAGCAAGCTGACAGTTGAATAAAGTTGAAAATAAAAAAAGACAAACCATAAGAACCTGATGAAGCAGTTTTTGTTCGAATATGGAAAATATTTTTTTATCTCGTGTTGATGCAAACTATAGAAAACAAGAGAGAACTCTTACCCAGTTTCCCTACCACGTCTCTACTGCTGAGATTCTCGGACATAACCGCCAGAGCTAAAGATGCTGAGGCCTGGACCCCAGGGTTCTAGTAAGTACGAAAGCAGAAAGTCAGTTTTAATTTCGCAAACTTGGATGTAAATTTTACCCTCTCGCTGCCAAGAATTACAAATTTAAGGTAAAATCTACAATTTTCTTTCGTAAAACTGCGTGAAACCATATGGTAACATGCGAAATACCCCTTAAAGAGCTTCCTTTGACCTATCGCACCATATGATTTCATCCAAAGACTCATCTTCTAGCCTCATTGTATAGGCCACTTCACCAACGTGCCTTGGATAAAACTCTTTAACACGATCTTTCATCTCCCCCTTCCACCAAAGGGAGGTAGAAAGACCAACCGGGAGAAAGAGACGTAAATCGAGTTTTATGATGATATGAAAACTTAAAAATGTGTTGTTTGTTTGTTTTTCCCCAAACATTTACTAAAAAAGATTTCTATCACAAAATCATCCTCAAGAGACCCGTTGATCAAAAAATCTCTCCATTCTAATCCAATTATAAATAAATTGTGCTATATATGCTAGCAGGAGTACGCGCCTATTAGCATGTACTAAAAGAATGGAATGATCGGGATGACTGGGATCAGTAACATCATTGGAAGACCTAGAGATAACTTGGATGACTAGGCTGATTAGGAAAACTAAGATGACTAGAATGACTAAGATGATTAGCATGACTAGCGATAAGTGAGATGATTTGCATGACAGGGATGACTAGGGATTACTGGAATGACTAAGGACAAATAACATAACTAAGATGACCGGGATAACAAAAATTAATAGGACGACTATAGAGGATTACGGACGCCGGATATCACTGAGATCAATCGGGATGACTGGCATGACTAGGATTCCTGAGATAACCAGGATACCTGGGATGACTGGGATGACGGGAATGACTAGGGAAGACTAGGATGACTGGGATGACGGAATGACTGGGGAAGACTAGGATGACTAGGATGACTGAGATGACTGGGATGACAGAGATGACTTCGGATGTCTGGGAAGACTGAGATGACTAAGGATGACTGAGATGACGGAAATGACTAGGGAAGACTAGGATGACTAGAACGACTCGGGATTACTGGGATGACTGAGATAAGCAGGATGCCTGGCATGACCGGGATAACGGGAATGACTAGGGAAGGGAATGACTGAGATGACTACGGATGTCTGGGAACACTGAGATGACTAGGGATGACTGAGATGACGTTAATGACTAGGGAAAACTAGGATGACTAAGGATTACTTGGATGACTACGCAAAACTATATAGGATGACTTGGATGACTAACCTAACTAAGGATGACTGGGATGACTAGGTTTACTAGGATAGCTGGGATAACCAGAGATGACTACGGATAACAAGGGATGACTGGGATGCCTAGAATCACTGGGATGGCGGAAATGACTAAGGAAGACTAGGATGACTAGGATAACTGGGATGACTGACATGACAAGCGATGACTGCGATAAGAGCTCACTGGGACGACTGAGATGACTAGGGAACACTAAGATGACTGGGATGACTAGGGATTAGTCAGATAAATACGGAAAACTAGGGTGACTGGGAAGACTAAAATACCTAACGATGACTGGGATGACTAGGCATGACAAGGGATCACTAAGGATGACTGGGATAACTAGGATGACTGGGGTGACCGCGATCACTAGGAATAACTACCATAACTAGCATGACTCACATGACTAGGATGACTAAAGAACACAAGGTATCACTAAGGATAACGGCAATGACAAGGGATGACTAGGTATGACTAGGATGACTAGGGATGATTGGGATGACGCAAAATGACTACGGATAACAAGGGATGACTAGTGATGACTACGGATGACTAGGGTGGACTAGGGATGTCTAGGGATGACTAAGGATGACTGGGTTGACTAGCTATGACTAGGGATGATTAGGAAAGTTTCGGGATGACTAGGGATGACTGGGATGACTAGGGATGACTGGAATAACTAGAGATAACTAGAGATGACAAGGGATGACTGGGATGACCAGGCATGACTAGGCATGACTACCAATGACTAGGGATGACTGGAGATCACTGGGATGACAGGGACGACTACGGATGACTGGATGACTACGGATGACTAGGAATGACTGGGATGACTAGAGATGACAAGGAATGACTGGGATGACTAGGGATGACTACGGATGACTACGGATGACTACGGGTGACTAGAGATGACAAGGGATGACTAGGGATGACTAAAGATGTCTGAGATGACAACGCATGACTAGAGATGACTGGGATGACTAGGGATCACTAAAAATGACTGAGATGACTAGACATGACTAGGATGATAGGGATGACTATGGATGACTGAGATGCCAAGAGATGAGTGGGATGACTAGGGATCACTAAAGATGACTCGGATGACTAGGGATGACTACGGATAACTACGGATGACTAGGGATGACTAGGGAAGACTGGGATGACTTGGGATGACTAGGGATCACAGGGATGACTAGGAATAACTAGGGATGACAATGGATGACTAAGGATAACTAGGGATGACTAGGGATGACTGGCATAACTAAGGATGACTAGGAATTACTATGGATGACTAAGGATGACTGGAATGACTAAGGATGATTAGGGATGACTAACGATGACTAAGATGACTAGGGATGACTAGGGATGACTAGGGATGACTGAGATGCCTAGGGATGACTAAGCATGACTAGTGATACCTAGGGATGACTGGGGATGACTGGGATGACTGAGGATGACTGGGATGACTAGGGATGACGGGGATGACTGGGAGGACTAGGGATGACAAAGGATGACTAGGGATTACTAGGGATCACCAGAGATAACTAGGGATGACTAGGGATCACTAGGGATGACTGGGATGACTCGGGACGACTAGGGATGACTGGGACGACTAGGCATGACTAGGAATGATTGAGATGAAAAGGGATGACAAGAGCTGACTAGGGATTATTGGGATCACTAGGGATGACTAGGATGGCTAGGGATGACTAGGGATTACTCGGATGACTGGTAGGACTAGGGATGACTAAGGATGACTAGGGATTACTAGGGATCACCAGAGATGACTAGGGATGACTAGGAATGACTAGGGATCACTGGAGATGACTGGGATGACTCGGGACGACTAGGGATGACTGGGATGACTAGGCATGACTAGGGATGATTGAGATGAAAAGAGATGACAAGGGCTGACTAGGGATGACTTGGGATTACTGGGATGACTAGGGATAAGTGGGATCACTAGGGACAACTGGGATGACTAGGGATAACAAGGGATAACTAAGGATGACTGGGATGACTAGGGATGACTGGGATGACTAAGGATGACTAGGGATGAATAGGGATGACTGGGATGACTAGAGACGACTAACGATGACTGGAAGGACTAGGGATGACTACGAATGACTAGGGATGACTAGCCATCACCAGGGATGACTACGGATGAGTAGGAATGCCTAGGGATCACTAGGAATGACTGGGATTACTAAGGACGACTAGAAATGACTGGGATGACTAGGCATGACAAGGGATGATTGAGATGAGTAGGGATGACTTGGGCTGACTAACGATGACTGGGATGACTAGGGATGACTAGGAATGACTAGGGATGACTAGGGATGACTAGGGATGACTCGGGATGACTCGGGTGACTAGGGATAACCAGGGATGACTGGGGATGACTGGGGATGACTGGGATGACTATGGATGACTAGGGATGACTGGGATGACTAGGGATGACTAGGGATCACTAGGGATGACTGGGATGACTAAAGATGACTAAGGATGACTGGGATGACTAGGGATCACTAAAGATGACTTGCGATGACTAGGGATTACTATAAATCGCTAAGGAAGACTGGGATGACTAGGGATGACTAGGGATGACTAGGAATAACTAGGGATGACTAGGGATGACAGGGATGACTAGGGATGACTAGGGATGACTAGGGATGACTGGGATGACTACACATGACTAGGGATGACTAGGGATGACTGGGATGACTAGGGATGACTAGGGATGACTAGGGATGACTAGCATAACTAAGGATGACTAGGGATGACTAGCGATGACTAGGGATGACTGGGATGACTAGGGATCACTAGGAATCACTAGGGATGACTGGGATGACAAGGGAAGACTAGGGATGACTAGGGATGACTATAAATGACTAAGGATGACTAGGGATGACTAAGGAGGACTGGGATGACTGGGATGACTAGAAATAACTGGGATGACCAGGGATGACTAGGGATGACTAGGGATGACTAGGGATGACAAGGGAAGACTAGGGATCACTAGGGATGACTGGGACGACTAGGGATGACCAGGGATAACCAGGGATGACTACGGATTACTATGGATGACTAAGGATGACTGGGATGACCAGGAATGAGTAGGGATGACTGGGATAACTAGGGATGACTAGGGATGACTAGGGATGACTAGGGATGACTAAGGATGACTGAGATGACTAGGGATGACTGGGATGACTGGGGATGACTATGGATGACTAAGGATGACTGAGATGACTAGGGATGACTAAGAATCACTGGGATGACTAGGGATGACTGGGGATGACTGGGATGACTAGGGATGACAAGGGATGACTAAGGATGACTGGGATGACTAGGGATGAAGAGGGATAACTAGGGATAACTAGGGATGACTGGGATGACTAGCGATGACAGGGATGACTAAAGATGACTAAGGGTGACTGGAATGACTTGGGATGAGTAGGGATGACTGGCATGACTAGAAATGACTAGGGATGACTGGGATGACTAGGGATCAACAAATATCACTAGGGACAACTACGGATGATTAGAGATGACTAGGGATGACTGGGGATGACTGGGATGACTAGGGATGATTGGGATGACTAGGGATGAGTAGGGATGACTAGGAATGACTGGGATGACTAGGGATCACTAGGGATGACTGGGATGACTAGGGATCACTAGGGATGACTAGGGATGACTATGGATGACTAAGGATGACTAGGGATGACTAAGGATGACTGGGATGACTAGGGATGACTGGGATGACTGGGATGACTAGGGATGACTAGGGATGAGTAACGATGACTGGGATGACTAGGAATGAGTAGGGATGATTGGCATGACTAGGGATCACTTGGGATGACTAGGGATGACTGAGATGACTAACGATGACTAGGGATGACTAGTGATGACTAGGGATGACTTCGAATGACTAGGGATGACTAGGGATGGCTTTGAATGACAAGGGATACTAGGGATGACTAGGGATGGTTAGGGATGACTGGGATGACTAGGGATGACTAGGGATTACTCGGATGACTAGAGATGACTAGAGATGACTAAGGATGACTGGGACTACTAGGGATGGCGGGGATGACTAAGGATGACTGGGGATGACTATGGATGACTAAGGATGACTGGGATGACTAGGGATGACTAGGGATGACTGGGATAACTAGGGATGACTAGGGATGGCTGGAGATGACTGGGATGACTGGGAATGACCAAGGATGACTGGGACAACTAGGGATGCCTACAGATGACTAGGGGCGACTAGGGATGACTAGGGATGACTGGGGATGACTGGGATAACTAGGGATGACTAGGGATGAGTAGTGATGACTAGGGATTACTCGGGATAAGTGGGATGACTAGGGATGACAGGGATGACTTAGAAAGACTAGGGGTGACTAGGGATGACTAGGGATGACTAGGGATGACTGGGATGACTAGGGATGACTAAGGAAGACTAAAGATGACTAGGGATGACTAGGGATGACTAAGGATGACTGGGATGACTAGGGATGTTTAAGGATGACTGGGATGACTGGGATGACTAGGGATGACTAGGGATGAGTAAGAATGACTGGGATGACTAAAAATGAGTAGCATCACTAGGGATCACTTGGGATGACTAGGGATGACTAAGATGACTAAGGATGACTAGGGATGACTAGTGATGACTAGGGATGACTGCTGATGACTCGGATGACTAGGGATGACGGGGATGACTTCAAATGACTAGGGGTGACTAGGGATTACCAGGGATGGCTTTGAATAACTAGGGATCACTAGGGATGACTAGGGATGGTTAGGGATCACTGGGATGACTAGGGTTGACTAGGGATGACTAGGGATAACTGGGATGACTAGAGATGACTAGAGATGACTAAGGATGACTGGGATTACTAGGGATGACGGGGATGACTAAGGATGACTGGGGATGACTATTGATGACTAAGGATGACTGGGATCACTAGGGATGCCTAGGGATGACTGGGATGGCTAAGAATGACAAGGGATTACTATGGATGACTAAGGATGACTGGGATGACTAGGGATGACTAAGGATGACTAGGAATGACTAGGGATGGCTGGAGATGACTGGGATGACTGGGGATCACTAAGGATGACTGGGACGACTAGGGATGCCTAGAGATGACTAGGGGCGACTAGGGATGACTAGGGATGACTAAGATGACTGGGGATGACTAAGGATGACTGGGATGACTAGGGATGACTAGAGATGACTATGGACGACTAGGGATGACTAAGGATGACTGCGATGATTTGGCATGAGTAGGGATGACTGGGATGACTAGGGATGACTAGGGATGACTGGGATGACTAGAGATGACTAGGGATGACTAGGGATGACTGGGATGACTAGAGATGACTAGGGATGACTAGGAATGACTAGGAATGACTGGGGAGGACTGGGATGACTACGGATGACTGGAATGACTTGCGATGACTGGGGATGGCTAGGGATGACTGGGGATGACTGGGGATCACTGGGATCACTGCGGATGACTAAGGATGACTGGGATGACTAGGGATGACTGGGATGAGTACGGATAACTAGTGATGACTAGGGATGACTGGGGACGACTGGGATGACTAGGGATGACTGGGATGACTAGGGATGACTAGGGATGACTAGGGATGACTAGGGATGACTAGAGATGACTGGGATGACTAGGGATGACTAGGGATCCCTAGGGATGACTGGGATGACTAGGGATGACTAGGGATTACTAGGGAGGACTAAGGATGACTGGGATGACTAGGGATGACTAGGGATGACTGGGATGATTAGGGATGACTAGGGATGACTAGGGATGAGTAGGGATGACTGGGGATGACTAGGGATGACTAGGGATGACTGGGATGACTAGGGATGACAGGGATGACTAAAGATGACAAAGGATGACTGGGATAACTTGGGATGAGTAGGGATGACTGGGATGACTAGGGATGACTAGGGATGACTGGGATGACTGGGATGACTGGGGATGACTAAGGATGACTGGGATGACTAGGGATGTCTGGGATGACTAGGGATGACTAGGGATGACTAGGGATGACTAGGGATGACTGGGATGACTAGGGATGACTAGGGATGACTGGGATGACTAGGGATGACTAGGGATGACTAGGGATGAGTGGGATGACTAGGGATGGCTAGGGATGACTAGGGATGACTGGGATGACAGGGATGACTAGGGATGACTAAGGATGACTGGGATGACTAGGGATGACTAGGGATGACTGGGATGACTAGGGTTGACTAGGGATGACTAGGGATGACTAGGGATGACTGGGGATGACTAGGGATGACTAGGGATTACTAGGGATGACTGGGATGACTAGGGATGACAGGGATGACTAGGGATGACTAAGGATGACTGGGATGACTTGGGATGAGTAGGGATGACTGGGATGACTAGGGATGACTAAGGATGACTGGGGATGACTGGGATGACTGGGGATGAATAAGGATGACTTGGATGACTAGGGATGTCTGGGATGACTAGGGATGACTATGGATGACTATGGATGACTAAGGATGACTGGGATGACTAGGGATGACTAGGGATGACTGGGATGACTAGGGATGACTAGGGATGACTAGGGATGACTGGGGATGACTGGGATGACTAGGGATGACTAAGGATGACTGGGATGACTAGGGATGTCTGGGATGACTAGGGATGACTATGGATGACTAAGGATGACTGGGATGACTAGGGATGACTAGGGATGACTGGGATGACTAGGGATGACTAGGGATGACTAGGGATGACTGGGATGACTAGGGATGGCCAGGGATGACAAGGGATGACTAGGGATGACTGGGATGACTGGGGATGACAGGGATGACTAGGGATGACTAAGGATGACTGGGATGACTAAGGATGACTAGGGATGACTGGGGATGACTAAGATGACTGGGGATGACTAAGGATGACTGGGATGACTAGGGATGACTAGAGATGACTAGGGACGACTAGGGATGACTAAGGGTGACTGGGATGACTTGGGATGAGTAGGGATGACTGGGATGACTAGGGATGACTAGGGATGACTGGGGATGACTGGGATGACTAGGGATGACTAAAGATGACTGGGATGACTAGGGATGACTGGGATGACTAGGGATGACTAGGGATGACTAGGGATGACTGAGATGACTAGGGATGACTAGGGATGACTAGGAATGACCAGGGATGACTGGGGATGACTGGGATGACTAGGGATGACTAGGGATGACTAGTGATGACTAGGGATGACTGGGGATGACTGGGATGACTAGGGATGACTGGGATGAATAGGGATGACTAGGGATGACTAGGGATGACTGGGCATGACTAGAGATGATTGGGATGACTAGAGATCACTAGGGATCCCTAGGGATGACTGGGATGACTAGGGATGACTAGGGATTACTATGGAGGACTAAGGAAGACTGGGATGACTAGAGATGACAAGGGATGACTGGGATGACTAGGGATGACTAGGGATGACTAGGGATGACTAGGGATCACTGGGGATTACTAGGGATGACTAGGGATGACTAGGGATGACTGGGATGACTAGGGATGACAGGGATGACTAGGGATGACTAAGGATGACTGGGATGACTTGGGATGAGTAGGGATGACTGGGATGACTAGGGATGACTAGGGATGACTGGGGATGACTGGGATAACTGGGGATGACTAAGGATGACTGGGATGACTAGGGATGTCTGGGATGACTAGGGATGACTAGGGATGACTAGGGATGACTAAGGATGACTGGGATGACTAGGGATGACTAGGGATGACTGGGATGACTAGGGATGACTAGGGATGACTAGGGATGACTGGGATGACTAGGGATGGCTAGGGATGACTAGGGATGACTAGGGATGACTGGGATGACTAGGGATGACAGGGATGACTAGGGATTACTAAGGATGACTGGGATGACTTGGGATGAGTAGGGATGACTGGGATGACTAGGGATGACTAGGGATGACTAAGATGACTGGGGATGACTAAGGATGACTGGGATGACTAGGGATTACTAGAGATGACTAGGGAGGACTAGGGATGACTAAGGATGACTGGGATGACTTGCAATGAGTAGGGATGACTGGGATGACTAGAGATGACTAGGGATGACTGGGGATGACTAAGGATGACTGGGATGACTAGGGATGACTAGAGATGACTAGGGAGGACTAGGGATGACTAAGGATGACTGGGATGACTTGCGATGAGTAGGGATGACTGGGATGACTAGAGATGACTAGGGATGACTGGGGATGACTAAGGATGACTGGGATGACTAGGGATGACTGGGATGGCTAGGGATGGCCAGGGATGACAAGGGATGACTAGGGATGACTGGGATGACTAGGGATGACTAGGGATGACTAGGGATGACTGGGGATGACTGGGATGACTGGGGATGACTAAGGATGACTGGGATGACTAGGGATATCTGGGATGACTAGGGATGACTATGGATGACTAAGGATGACTGGGATGACTAGGGATGACTAGGGATGACAGGGATGACTAGGGATGACTAGGGATGACTAGGGATGACTGGGATGACTAGGGATGGCCAGGGATGACAAGGGATGACTAGGGATGACTGGGATGACTGGGGATGACAGGGATGACTAGGGATGACTAGGGATGACTGGGATGACTAGGGATGACTAGGGATGACTGGGGATGACTAAGATGACTGGGGATGACTAAGGATGACTGGGATGACTAGGGATGACTAGAGATGACTAGGGACGACTAGGGATGACTAAGGGTGACTGGGATGACTTGCGATGAGTAGGGATGACTGGGATGACTAGGGATGACTAGGGATGACTGGGGATGACTGGGATGACTAGGGATGACTAAAGATGACTGGGATGACTAGGGATGACTGGGATGACTAGGGATGACTAGGGATGACTAGGGATGACTGAGATGACTAGGGATGACTAGGGATGACTAGGAATGACCAGGGATGACTGGGGATGACTGGGATGACTAGGGATGACTAGGGATGACTAGTGATGACTAGGGATGACTGGGGATGACTGGGATGACTAGGGATGACTGGGATGAATAGGGATGACTAGGGATGACTAGGGATGACTGGGCATGACTAGAGATGATTGGGATGACTAGAGATCACTAGGGATCCCTAGGGATGACTGGGATGACTAGGGATGACTAGGGATTACTATGGAGGACTAAGGAAGACTGGGATGACTAGAGATGACAAGGGATGACTGGGATGACTAGGGATGACTAGGGATGACTAGGGATGACTAGGGATGACTGGGGATGACTAGGGATGACTAGGGATGACTAGGGATGACTGGGATGACTAGGGATGACAGGGATGACTAGGGATGACTAAGGATGACTGGGATGACTTGGGATGAGTAGGGATGACTGGGATGACTAGGGATGACTAGGGATGACTGGGGATGACTGGGATAACTGGGGATGACTAAGGATGACTGGGATGACTAGGAATGTCTCGGATGACTAGGGATGACTAGGGATGACTAGGGATGACTATGGATGACTAAGGATGACTGGGATGACTAGGGATGACTAAGGATGACTGGGATGACTAGGGATGACTAGGGATGACTAGGGATGACTGGGATGACTACGGATGGCTAGGGATGACTAGGGATGACTAGGGATGACTGGGATGACTAGGGATGACAGGGATGACTAGGGATTACTAAGGATGACTGGGATGACTTGGGATGAGTAGGGATGACTGGGATGACTAGGGATGACTGGGGATGACTAAGATGACTGGGGATGACTAAGGATGACTGGGATGACTAGGGATTACTAGAGATGACTAGGGAGGACTAGGGATGACTAAGGATGACTGGGATGACTTGCGATGAGTAGGGATGACTGGGATGACTAGAGATGACTAGGGATGACTGGGGATGACTAAGGATGACTGGGATGACTAGGGATGACTAGAGATGACTAGGGAGGACTAGGGATGACTAAGGATGACTGGGATGACTTGGGATGAGTAGGGATGACTAGAGATGACTAGGGATGACTGGGGATGACTAAGGATGACTGGGATGACTAGGGATGACTGGGATGACTAGGGATGACTAGGGATGACTGGGATGTTTAGGGATGACTAGGGATGACTAGGAATGACTAGGGATGACTGGGGATGACTGGGATGACTACGGATGCCTGGGATGACTTGCGATGACGAGGGATGCCTAGGGATGCCTAGGGATGACTGGGATGACTGGGATGACTAGGGATCATTAGGGATGACTAGGGATGACTGGGATGTCTAGGGATGACTAGGGATGACTAGGGATGACTGTGCTGACTAAGGATTACTAGGGATGACTGGGGATGACTGGGATGACTAGGGATGACTGGGATGACTAGGGATGACTGGGATGACTAGGGATGACTAGGGATGACTAGGGATGACTGGGATGACTAGGGAAGACTAGGGATGACTAGGGATGACAGGGATGACTAGGGATGACTAGGGATGACTGGGGATGACTTGGATGACTGGGGATGACTAAGGATGACTGGGATGACTAGGGATGACTAGAGATCACTAGATACGACTAGGGATAACTAAGGATGACTATGGATGACTAAGGATGACTAGGGATTACTGGGGATGACTAGGGATGACTGGGATGACTAGGGATGACTAGGGATTACTATGGACGACTAAGGATGACTGGGATGACTAGGGATGACTAGGGATGACTGGGATGACTAGGGATGACTAGGGATGACTGGGATGAGAAGGGATGTCTAGGAAGATTAAGATGTCAGTCATGCTGACATGAAAGACACAGACTACGAGCAGTCTCTTTAGGTTTTAGTTTGTCCAGTGAAACACGGGAGACAAAAATGACCAGGTGCGTAACTGGAATGAATAAAGAGACTCTCTGCTTTTTTCCTTGGGGTGCTGCCCTTGTTTGCATCTCGAGGCTTTGCCGCTCAATGCTTGGGCACTTGTGCACTTCCCTCACAAAATCCGATTAAAAAGAGAGACTGCTCGCCATCTATGTAAGAAACAAAATGTGAAACAACAACAATAACCAGAAAAAGGAGCTTATTAGGGTAACAGGTTTCTGCCATAACTCACATCGGTAGCAAGAAGTGTTATCAATGTTTTCTCGCATTCTTGCTCATGGAATATCTTTCGATTTTCACCTAAGAAAAATAGCATCTGTTAGATTCCTGTTGAGTCCAGTGACTTTAGACAAGAGTGGTTATTAGGGCTGGATGCCTAAGGAGGCTTTGATAAATTGTAAAGGAAAAACAAACCAATAAAATGAAACATGGCAATCAACAAAATCTTGGAGTGCATTATTATTTTTTATGCTGAAGTGCTTAATTATGCCAAAACTCCAAGATCTGGACATAAATAAACTGGAAACTTAAAGAACTCAAGCTTACCGTTCTTTGCTGCCAAGGCTATAGCTTTTGCCTGAAATAAGGCAAAGTTATAAGAAACATAAATATACATAGCTAGCCTTTCTGGTAACCATACCTTTCCTTAGCACACTTATCCGCGCAGGTCATTTCAGGGGGAAGTACAACAGTAAAAGAGTTCTTTCAAATTGAGTGTCTTTAACCATGATAAAACAAGGTTGAAAATTTAGCTTCAGTCTTTCTTGTTAAAATAATTCCACAGTACAGATCTGTGGGGTCTGTAAGTGTATGAGGATGTTCAATAAACTGGCAGTTCACTCTTCAAGTCCTAACCCTTTTAGTCCCAAGGGTAGCCCATATCAATTTTCTCCTAACAAAATCAATACACAAACATGTCGAAAGGTTGGATTTTTTTAGCATTCTTCTGGCCTGAATTTTATCTGACTCCTCTGCTCGCTCAGTTACCTGGGAAGAGGCGTTATCTCTCTTGGGAGATTGCAACTCAAAAAGGCCGCTGAAATTCAGGCTAGCATTTAACCAATTTAAAATATAAAATTATTTTTCTATAGGCCTTTCACATAACAGCTATGACAGGTTTTTCCCCAAACTCTAAGCCCCGGGAAAGGCTTATTGTGAGCTACAATCTTGCCAGGGGCTTGAATGACCTAAGGATCATCACAATTTGAGGCTTTAGCTCTTGATTTTTGTTGGTAACTGTTCCACCAAATTAAGACTACATGCACATTTACTGAGAATGATTTATGTCTTAAACCAGAATCATATGCTTCTGGTTAAACATAATGATTAAAAGAACATACCGCATGCTGCTGGACTTCAGGAATAGTGGACTCGGCAGCAAATGCAAGAAGTTTTTGTAATCCACCAGAGGTCTGAATAAGCTAAAAAGATTCAAAGTTTCAAGCAACAATCTAGAAGCCAATAGTGAAGGGCTAGGAAGGAAGGAACTTAATGTTCAGACATTTTTGCTCTCTAAACCTTTTTAAATCTATCCCATGAAGCAAATTTTAGAACGAATGCCAACAAAGAGTGATCTCCTATCTAAACTTCTCTAAAAATTGAGCTGCAAAAGTCATGTGAGGAAGGCAAAAAGTGTAAGCAAAGTGCAAAAACTGAATGCATACAGCTGTAACAGGGAAGGACTTCGAGAAAGACTACCCATACTTTACATTACTAAAAAAAGTCCATTAAACATGTGAGAAATAAAAGGTAAACTACCTGCATACTCTCTACATCCTGAAGACAGTTTGACAAAACTTGCAAAGCTTGCACATGTAAATCCTCATATTCCTGCAAGAAGTCACACATTAGACACATGTATATATTTTTTCATTTCCCCAATTTGACAAAAGTATTTTCAACACTGACCTTATTTCCAACAAATTCAACAAGTTTTTCAAGTCCTTCAAGGTCCCTCAAAGCTCCTCTGTTATCAGCTGGTAAAAGAAAAAATGCAAAACTAGTCCCCACAGGTTTTCTACGGAATGCGGCATAATGTTCACTAGCACTACTTTCCTGATGACATCTACATTGCAGCTTAAATACAGATATTTAATTCGCCCAAGGGTGACAAAAAAGACCACTTTTAAAACTTATTTACAAGTATACATGTACAATTTTATTGGACATCCTGAATTCTTGGGCTCAGTTTTTCTTAGAGCACACTTGTATATAATTTTACTTTTCTTAAATAAAATTATATAAGACTATAAATAACAATAAACACTGTATTAATCAATTACCATCAAGTGTAATTTGGATCAAACTTTCCAGTGCCAGCTGTTGAATGATGGCATACTCTGAATCAAGCAATGCCAAAAGAGGTTGCAACCCTAAGAGCAATAATCAGAGAATAAAATCCATTCATTAAATAAATGTTCTAATATTGTACTGACAATAATATGAAGATCATTGCAGCTATAGATGCAACTTTTGCAGTTGTGAAAAAAAAATTCAAGCTATGATTTTCATGTATTCATAACTTCATTTTAATAACAGTTAATAATGACCTAATAATGAGATAATTATATCCAGTTTATTAGTTTAGTCGGAGAAGGGGCCACAATAGACTGGTTGTAAGAACCCCTGGTTGTAAGACCCCTGGGGTGAGGAGACAGCTGTCATTTCAGAGTAACATAGCGAGGGAACAAATATGCCACTTAATTAAGACTTGAGGCCAGAGGAACTAATAGCACACTCACAGTTAACAAATTCACAGTCTACTAATTATTATAACAGTCCACTGATACTCACCATTCATTTCTCGTATGGCAGATCTGCTGTGGTAATCTTGAACTAGCAGTGAAATGGCTTCGACTGAGTTTTTCTGAGAAACGTAAAAATATTTGACAGTGAAACCTAAAGTACCAGGGACTGTTAATGTCTCCATTTATTTGGGCATATCATGTATCAAGGTCTTCACCCATACTTTTTACTGTAGTTAAACTGGGGCCAAAAATATTGGATCTTTATTATAAATGGATTATTACATCAGCATTCCTTTGTATTATAAGGAGCCCAATAATGGATTCCTGATGTCATTAGAAAATAATGTTTCCTGGCCAGTATCTTTCAGAACTCATACTGTGATAAATCAGCCAAGTTCCACGTACATTTTAAAACAATAAAATTAATGATGCTCTAATAATCATCACAACCAGTAAATCCCTTTAATTGGTGGATAACTAATGTCCAAAATAATTATTTTGATATAAAAAGGTTACCATAGCAACAATTTACAGTTATGAAACACTTAAGTTTAAGCTTTATGTGCTTATTATACAAGTAAATCACATCTGCCACTGGGCACACCCATTACTACTACTGTGAAGGCTGTAGAGTATAAAAAAACTGACTGGAAGAGGTTCAGAGCCCCCTTAAATTTTGAAAAATCTAAGAGTCCCCTAGTGTTAGCATGGAGGCACGTGTGGCCAAGCAGTTAACACATTGAACTTGGGGTTTAGAGGTCTAGGGTTCAAGCCTCGCTGTCGCATTGTTTCCTTAGACAAGGACCTTTACTCCACTTCATCTCTTTTCACCCAGGTGTATAAAATGGGTACCAGCAACATACTGCTGGGGGGTAACCCTGCGATGGACTAGCATCCCATCCATAGCATGCTTCATGAGAAGGAAACTGGGATGAGCTCCAGGATGAAACTTTTTTCCTACTGTAAGAAGATTACTATGCATACAGCTGTGTATATAACCAGAAATTTTATTACTTAATTTCCTAAACATGTACAGACTGCAGAGAACTACATGGACCAATTATTTGCTGATGAAAAAGATCCTTGCATAAGCATGATTTTTTATTATTTAATAATTAACTAAATGTTACAGAATGGTAAGCATTCTTTGTTCAACTCTTCCTAAAGGAGATTAAATTTAGCCCTGAGATCTGATTCTTCTCAGTCTTCGTACCTGCACATCACAGTCAGTGGAGGAAAGAAGTTTTATGATGGGCTCAAGGCCTCCCTGTTCAAATATCTCCACTTTGCAAGAAAACTCAGCTACAAGGAAAAAACATTTAAAATAAACAAGTCATATAATAAGCATAGCAGGACTCCTGCCAACAGCTGTTTTTGAAACTTTTCTGTACACCGCTGGGTGTCTGAAACATGAATTTATTAAAGTAGATAAAAATATTATTATTCTGTCATACACAGTCTGAAATATTGCCTTACTAGTATTTCAACATCTTCTAAGCAATAAGAAATGCTTTATGGTGTCATTCTATAATTTATTAACTTACCTGCCATTGATGAAAGTGCCAAACTTGCAAATTCATGGCATAAAACATCCTCTAAATAATCAACAGAAAAATCAAAAATTAAAAATAGCAATTCTCTATGAGTCACAGTAATTTTTCACTCTTTTCTTTTTAATTTTTTTTGCTACAATAATAATTATGGTTATTTTGACATCAACTTACCATCAGGTCCAAGCAGTGTCACCAGTGGCTGAATACAGGACAACTTCCGGAGTTCTTTTTTAACATTTGCTGAAGTGAAAAAAAATTAGTTTAAGTAGCTGTGTTTAAAAAATTAGAATAAAAAATCTTTAAAAAATTATTCTCAAAAAATAGTTAAAAGTAGGGGTATTGGGCCTGTGGTTTATACTTACTATTGCTGTTAGTAATTCATTTTTATAATGGGTTAGTACTCCAAAAATCAACTTTTGAATCTTTACAGGTGGCTCATTACCTTGCCAAATCAGTTAATTAAAACTATAATTTCAGTGATTTTGTTACCTCTGCGTCTTGAGTCCCCAACATATAAAAATCCCCGAAGACAAAATAATTCATGACATGAGTCCTGTAGGATTGCAAAGATTGATTGATCTGAAGACGTAATCAGTTAGAATATCCTGTTCCTGTAATTTCTTTAGCTGTTGTTTAACGATGCATATTTATATCAGTCTTTATTATTGTGCTATAAAATAGAAGGACTATATTTTTCAGTACGCTGTAAAAAAGAGTTTTGAAATCTGCCTTCAGATTTTAAAAAATGATAAAACTGTCTGGTTATTTAAAGGCCCAGACATTTTCAATTTAGGACTACCACCACTTTCACTGCTCATCCCCAGTTTAGGACTATGTGTTGTTTTTGAACTGGGACTCATTGGTTCTGCACTGGGACTCAGTCCCAGGACTCACCTTACTTATTTGTAGCAAAATCACTGCTATTTTTTACATTTATGTACAGTATAATCATGAAGTGCAAGGCTCTATTGTGCTAACCATTTTGAGCCATAGTTCCAAGACACATGGTAGCATTCCTTCTGACAACCTTGTCTTCTGATAAAACCTGTTTTAACAGAAGTTCCAGTGCCCCAAGATTCAAAAGCTCCTGTCTGTTCTCATCACCTAAGTAGCAAATAAGAAATGTTCAAAAGTTTCAGTCTGGTTACCCTGTGTACATCCACCTTCTTCATTGTGTCCAGGAAATTTAAGACATTCCACAAATATTCCTATCTATAAATCTGATAAATAAAAGAGCAAAAATGAAGGAAAGACGATCTAACTTACATTTTTCTGCAAACTTGTACAATGCTTCACAAGCTGACTGAAGAACATGTTCTTCTGGAGAGTCTAACATAAGAACAACTGTATGGGGCTTCTTGCTAACAATATCCAGGGGGTCGAACTGTAAGTACAAATATATGGCCATACCAATCGTTAATGAGGTACTTATATCCGTGCGTTGACCTTATTATTGCACTTGTCAACAAAAGCAGTGTGTGATTATTTACTCCATTATGGGGTGTTAAGACGGATTGGTCTAAAAACATAACTATCGGTCATTTTAAATAGAGCGATAATATACAACTACAGAAGTCAAGAACACCCAGCGAGAAAGTCTCTTTGCGAAAAATGGTGTACAGTTTGCATAGAAATACCAACCTCATCTTTCGCAGGAGTCTCTGGTTCTTTTGCTTTCTTCTTCACCCCCATATTTCGGCGACAATCTAACTTGTTTTGGAGGCAAATTAATACCCTTAGTCACACAAAGATATTGTGGGATTTCTTCTACAAAATCGCCGCCATTTTAACCACAAACTCCCGTTGCTATAGTAATTTGATATCTTCGGTTTTAGTTTTCCTGCGCAGGAACATGAAAAAGAGGCTAGTTCCAATCCCTTGCGCAATCAAAACACTTAATCATCAAAATGGTGTACGTATCTGGAAGTAAGTTAAAATTTGGAAATGGAAAGTTGCTGCTTTTATTAAGCTTCTGCTTACATATCTTCGTTTTATTCAACAGGTAACGTCTTGGACAACAGATCGATATGGAGATTGTCCATATTCTCCGATGTCTTTTGGGGAATCGTCAACTTCGTGGTTTTATTGTAAGTTTACAGTGATTATCGATTTAACAATCCTTTATCATGATTATATATACATTCGTTATTGTGAACATTACACGTAAACTGATTTAAAGCTTTTTAGGCCGTTTCTCTCACTACGGTTTTTTGCTTTTTTTGTTTCTTTGTTGGCTTGAAAATAGTTTTCACACCATGTTTTCGGTGAGTACTTTAACTATTTGCTTTATTTTTAATAAGATACCGTAAGCTTAATCAGTAAGATTTAAATAGCCCGATAATTTCGTTAAAAATACTTTCATGACTGTTATACGATTACATTCCACATACTTTTTTAAAGAACTATTCCTGACTGTTGAACGTTATATGCACAAGATATGTCTCAGCGAGCCTCCTCGTTCACAACTTTGTGCCATGGATTGGTAAAAATTTATTGAACAAAAATTCAGTAAAACTTGTAAATAAGCAGACTCCACGTTGTGCTTTTCCAGAAAATATCCCAATATCCTAATCCCCCCCCATGTAAGGTTCTTTGGCTTGAACCCTGTCACCCTAGCTTAAGTCCATACTTTCCTTTTAAGATTTTGTGCTGTAAGGTTCCCCTCCCCCATAGGGTTTTTGCATAATCCCACCCAGGAATAGCGAATAGCTCCTTTCACATGACCCTTGCGTCTGACCAGGCCTGTCATTAAGGGCTGGCAGCCCAGGATTTCCCCTGGCTACTATGAACATGGCACCTGGTTACTTTCATAGGAAACTAGAAGAAAAATAGAACCAAAAGAAATCCCTACCTGTTTGATTACCCACTTACTTGTTGTATTTATTCAGCAACTTGAAATCTTAATGATAGCCCTGTGTGAATTTTTGCAATATTCCCCAACTGACTGGTGAGCTTGCTCGCAAGCCATCTGGCACCCTTCATAAAGGACTAATGAACAACAGCAAGTACTGCTACACTTCTGTCTCGTATCATCTGCAAAACAAGGCTGATTCTAGTGGGAACCCTATTAAGTAGACACTAGTAGGGGTCCTGTGTGCACCCACTTAATAATAATTGTTTCAGTTGTAGTAGTGATTCTGATCTTTTTATCCTCAGCCTGGGCTAACAAAGCATGGTAATTCTTACACAAGTACAGATTACAGACCTGGGCAAGGGTAAGATTTTATAATTTTCTAATAAGTTTGAAATCAAGACCCAGTCATGCTTTGTGGTTCCGTAATAGTTATACAACATGTAAAGCATGCTACTATCTTTTCGTTTCATAACAGACCCCCAAGACCTCCAGGAAGAAGGTTTGGAAGAATCGGTGGAGGAGGTGGTGGTACGTAGTTCATTGATGAACATGTTGGGGTTCAGTGACATATTCAATGTAATACCTGTATTATTTGTATTCCCCAAAATCAGCACCGTTCAAATACAGAATGTTGGGAATCTGGGAAAAGAAATAGCATAAATATGCAAAAAGCCACGCTTAGAGTAAGTTGTGTGCGATTTTAATTTCATTTGTGAGATACGTGGAAAAATGTTTTACCCAAATTTATAAAGGTTTGTATGGAGGTACCATGTTGTTGTCCCTTTGAGGGGCACAAATATGGCAGCCGGAAACTAACAGAAACATCTGTCTTTGAGGTTTGCTTTGAGGAACTCATAAAGGTTCAAGTAATATTTATTCTGTGACAAGGAATGTTTAATAGATAGCAAAATCTGAAAAAAGGGTAACGTTTATAACCTACAGTTACATGAGAGCTTTTCTGGCTGCCAACTAAATGCCATGTCAAGCAAAAGTTTGGAAATTCAAGCACCCTCAATTGCAAAAAGACGAACCCTTTCAAACCAAAAATGTGTATAGATAAAGTTGTTTAGCTGCTGTAATATCTCATGAAAGTGAACACTCAATACAGTTTGAATATTGGTGACGTCATGTGAAACTGAGAATAATTCCTACACATTCTTACGCCCAACAGCACATAATTTCAGGCATGATTAGCACGTGCCTGAAGGCTAAAGCTCCAGTTAATCTTCATTTTCTCCTTTAAAAGTTTAGTGACCTATAATTATTCTTTTTCTCTTCTTCCAAAAAAAAATTGAGCGGTAACTTTCTTTTGTTAGAATTTAATATAGACTAATTCCCAGTGAAGAGAGAGGAATAATCGTTGGAAATGTGGCCAAAGCATGTATTGGTAATTATAACCATGTTGGAATTTTAAGGAATGGTTGAGTATATATATAAGTTGCGCCTGCCCCTAAAAGAGTGTGGGGACCCCCTGATTATATTTCAGAATTTAAGTTTCAACAACAAAAAGGACTAATCAGTAAAGAAAGACAAAAATTAAATCTCACAGAGAAATTCCCTTAAATGTATTGATTTTCAGTTGTTCATTTTAGGTGCCCCATACAATCCTGGGCCTCCAATGGGTGGTGGATGAGGAAGGTATGTGATTTTCAGTTATAAAATTTCAAAAGTACATGAGAAACCATGTAACTCAAACTCTGGAAGGAAACGAAAAACAGTTAGAGATAGCGGGGGTTTGCGACATTGGGACTGATTGAATATTCAATTTGCCATGTTGACAATATTGATAGTTACTAATTTTTTAGCTTTACAGTGTATCGAACAGTGCAAATTTACTTATTCCATCAATGACGGTGACATGATTATGCATTTTTATGATAAAACTCAGTCTGCTCATTGCACCAATATGATTAAAGTCAAATTGCTGTAGGGTTAGTTTTAGTGTTCTTACCAATTATACAACCAGATGAGCTAATGCAGTGGCATCCAAGTCGAGTCAGAAGAACCAGAATTTGAGTTATCAGCCGGGGTAAATTTTAGTGAAATTTTAATCAAGGGAAAAGAATTAAATCCAAGGAAAAGAGGACTAAGTTCGAGTTAGTGAGGAGTTCGAATTATCCAAGTTTGAATTTTCGAAGCTCTACTGTAGAATCATATTTTGATTATAGTAAAATATACCTAACTTCTCTTTTGGTTTATTATGAATTCTGGCCACTACATGTATAAGCCTACCCAGATATCAGCTCCCCATAAGAAACTTCCCTTTACCTAAAGACAATGTAACCTGTTCCAGGTGTTCGCTACAGATAGTAGAAAATGATGCAAAACAGAGAGTAGAGAGAAGAAAAACTGAAGAGAGGAAGAAGGGATAGAACTCTTCTCTTGCTTTCTCTCCCTACCCACCCTGTCCTTGTTTTTTTCCTGCTCACCTCTCTCTGGGCTTTTTCCCCCATTTGAACAGGCTAAAGGGGTGCATTATTGTAGTGGTCAGCTCTTAGGATTTCAGGCCCCTAATTTACAAACTGAAAGGAATCCTAAGGGCCTGTTTACTGGAGGTGGGGACTCCGGGTAGGTTAGGTAACCCGCTTAGGTTGGGTTACCCACCACCGCGGTCAAACGTCTAAATCGTTATTTTTGTTTTTTATTGCTGGGATTTCATTTACCAGTTAGAGAAAAATGGGCAAAGATGTATAAATCAGTTAGTCAAAATAACTATCTTTCCATTTTTCTCAAAATTTTGAGCTTTTTTCGCTGAAAACGCTTCACGCTAAAAGAGAATCATGTTTGAAAATGGCGCCGATAATAACGTCATCATCGGTTTTCAATCACTTAGAACTTTTTTAGTAAACTTTTAAAAACTTTAGTAAACTAACAGGATGTTGGTAATACCCTAAACTTTCGATAGTGAAAGTAGCAACCTTAACTTTGAAGTATTTCGCTTAACTTTTGCAAATTTCACTCGTTTGACCGCTGTGAAGGGTTACCCACCTGTCCATATAATCTCCCATTTTAATTTGATCACGTTTACATGATAGGTGGGGTGACCCACCACATCTTACCTCACCTACATGGGGTCCCCCACCTCCATGTATGTTATGTGACATGAGATAAATATTAGCTTGTAAGGATGTTCTCGTAAGTCTGGGCATAGGTTTGTGGTAACTTCTTGACCTGATGACATCATGATGTACTCTCAACATCATAGGTGTGCTCTCTGTTACATCAAAGTTGGTTCAAAAAAGATTGAATAATTTAGCTTGCAGCCAGTTAACTTTAAAATCATTTCATGTACAAAGCTGACTAAAATTTTTGCCTTTCTCTTTCATAACTTTTTTTTAACGGGATTTAGCTTTCTCACAAATAGATCCTTCCACAGTTATTTCAGTATGTATGTATGTAATTTTGCAACTTTGCGGAGCAATAATCTTTGCTCCTTTAAGGCGTATCATTTTCAAACGTTGGCAAGTTAACCAAGTTTAAGGTGTTCTTTCCAGCAGTGTCGATGTAATATATCAAGCATGAGACCAAAAGCTTGATGTTACTTCTCAAACAAAATGATTTTAGAGGGAGAAATTAGGGTTGCAAAAATGAGCAGTTTTCATCTGATTTCCAAACACTCATTAAACATTAACTTCCTTTGTATTTTCTTTATGAATTATTAATGCGTTTGAGAAGGATACACCCTGACTGGCCCTTCTCAAAACTTGAAAAAACGGTGAGAGCGTCTATCGCAGCAAAATCGGCGATATTCGCCAAAAAAAAAATTAGTTCCCACGAAAATGTCATGTTGTATGGTAGGCAGGCTCCTTTGCAGTAACTTGTAGCACCCATTACGAGTAGGGCTTGTTAACCTCAAGCAGTCCCTTGCTGTAACCTTTGCCTTTTGTGACTGTAGGTAGATGCTTGGTATTCTGGCTCGTCAGCTGGTAATGTCAAGCGTAATATGAAGACAGCAGAAAGATTCTATGCATCACTGCAGCAGATATTTGACGCCTCCTGGGGAAAACCATACTTGGAACCCGGACAGTGGCTGATACTTCCTTGCTGTCTTTTCTCAGTTTTATTTTGTAAAAGAGAATGTAGATATTAAAATATTACGAACGGCGCTGGTTTGTTCCCTCTCGAGACTTGAAAAAGCGTCTGTTATAGCGAGTTTGTTGTAATCAAACGACTTTGACTTTTGTCGATGATTCATCTGCTGTAAGTTGTTTTTATCAAGGTGCCCAAAAAAGCAAGGTATCCCCTAGGCGAGAGTTGACTCTATTGCTGTAAGAAGGCAAAAATTCCAGAAGGCTCAGTTTCTTACAGTATTTACCCTAAACGGGTATATGCCGCCAAACGGGGTATGGTTTTGGGGATCTTGAATCTTAAACATGGTATACAACTCCTCTTTTTGGTGTGTTGTCTACATGTACACCAAAACTGGAATACCTGGACCAAGCGCAGTTATTAGTCTAGTAGATGGGTTCTAATGATTAGTGTTACGAGCAAGGTAATATAAAATAACGACCTTTACCTTTACCCTAGCTTCTTATTTTCATAGTAAGAACGTTAAGCATCCCATTCTGACCCACGAATTAAGTTAACCTTACCAACAAAACATGTTCGAGATATCTTTGAACGCTTTTTCGAACGTCTAAATGACAGGTTTTGCACTTTTTCCCAACTTTAACTCGATCGTTATATTCCGGGAATTTCTTACCTATGATTAAAAGGACCTGCCATTTCGGGCAAAAGTTTCCGGAATAGACTGATTTCAGTCGGAGAATACTATCGGGGAAAAAGATAATGGGGTCTCAACGAGTAACTTTTGGGACTCTTTCTACGACTGACACCATCTGAAACTTACCAGCGTAAGTAAAAGGCTCGCAGCTCTTTCCGGCTGCTATGAAGAATTTTTTTTTTTTGTATAATAATAAGTGAATTATGCAATCTCGCAGGGTGTTTTCCACCTAGCCTGACCTTTAGTCTAAAGCCGGCTACCTCCTCTTCGATCAGTATACTCAGCCTCACCCAGTAATTGGTAATTCGTTATGTTTTAGATAAAGTCGATAAAACATTGAATTTGTCATTTTGGAGGCTTCCGCAAGTAAAGAGTCAGCAGAAACCTTTAACATTGAAGTGAAACTGAGAGAGCCAATCTAAAATTGCCATGTCACGTGAACTGAAAGAGCCAATCTAGAACGGTCATTGTGATCTTTGCCATGTGGTGTCGCGATCAACTACAAATTACTTCCTCTTTCAACTGAAGTGAACACGGCTAATGTTCATTTAACCAAGTGATATAGAAAAATATGGCAATGAATGTGTATCCAGCTGATCCTATTTGCACCTTTCTTAATGCGACATACAAACCGCTTGAAGGAAAGACATTTCTTGCTACATACGGGGGAAGTTTCCAGATGCCACAAACCGGTAATCCCAGAGATATCCTTGTTGTAGAAGTTCAGAATCCATTCGCCGCTATACTAGAGGCTACAAGAAGTAGCGTTGTGAATACGTACGGTCAGAGGGTATGGAAAGGAATCAGAGGACCACCTGACAACCCCGCTGTATATGTTGATTATTGGCTTTGGGTAGAACCAATACTCGGCCTCTCAGAGATGAATTCCACAGCCGGAGCGCTCAAGTTCAAAATAGAGACGACGACTGTATTTCAGTGTTTCGCAGAGCCGGGCAACCCTTTCGCTTTCTCTCATGGGGTTAGTATCAGGGCAAGCCTCGATCAAGGAGCACAAATTATGTTTAGTACTCCAGCGCCCCAAATGGGCAACCAACAACAGATGGCAGTGTGGCCCAACGCGACGTTTGGCGCTGTTAATCGGGGGTGGTGATTGACTGAACGGAACCGAACATTTTAACAACGCCGACTCTGAAAAAGCTTGGCTGAGTAATCATATATTAGTAGCTATAACTCATAACTTAACGTGCTAGTAAAAAATGCCAACTAATCTATCTTCTATATCTAAAGACAGTCGACAGTGCCTCATTTAATCATTAACTGTTTTGTTCAGTTTAGGTCGAGTCAGTTTTTAGTTCCAGTTTGTGCGAGAATTTGCGAGAATTGTTATATTCAGTTTAGCCTGTTTAAAGCCGCCCCCTCCCTTACGCTGGTTATCCTCCGCCCGCTAGCTACTCCTTTTATCTAGAACCGTTCAGATGCAAGCCAATCTGAGCCTTTAATAAAACTTTCGGGGCTACTGAGTGTAACTCATCTCAACTATTCTGCACATTGCCCATTATTGTTTAAAAAGGTTTCCGTGCCTTAGCTTCCTCGGTAGTGGAACGGTATAATCCGCTTTCATATCTACGCATCTTGAGTGTGCGCGTCTTCATGGGGCGAGGTATAGTTAGTGGTTTAAGCAGGAGAGATCGGTAGGCAACACACGACTGTTACCTCGTGCCAAAATGCTACTTGTTCCAATGATTTTTTTCTCTGGCGGGTAGATAATGCTCTAGCTTCTACGCTTTGGAAAGTAATGCATACTTACACCAGGCGATCACTAGGAAAATTGAGTAGTTGAACATTATGAAAGTACACTATATACAGCTTAGAATTGCCAAAGAATAGACTTTACTGAGATTATCGACGTTGTGGAACTTTATGATCGCGAACCGGGTATGCAAGGTCATCAATCTTCTCTACCCGGGGCATCATGAACATGCCATGAACACGAGGTCATCACTTAATTTTTGTTCTGTTTCTCTCAGTTCGATTCCTCTTTGTAATACTTTTAGTCAACCAGCTGATTAAGAATCTAGCGCTTTGAGCTAAGAATTTTATAAACCCGCATATCTTTGCTTGCCTTCCTATTCCAGAATTTAAGTTACTAGTGAATAGTGGAAGTGTATTGATCAGGTGACTGCAACGCGTCGTTTTGTTGAATTTTTGCTTTCGAATTAGTCCGCTGAAGTCTATGCCTGTCGGTCGTATAAACGAGGAACTTATCACTACACTATTCAAATGAATTCCTTTGTTTTTATTAGACTAGGACTTTTAATTTGCAGTCTCCAATTAATCAATAAAATGAAAGTAACATAGTCCAATATCTGCAAATCACTGATCTTTTTACTCTTGCGTTTACATGCTGCTCCTTGACTATTAGTGGCACATGGCAAGAAAACTGAGAGAACCCGCAATTGTATATAATCGTTGTTTTCTCTCAGATGATTAATTATTTTTTGTTTCACTTATATTTAAGGGAGACGCTAGGTTTGAGGTAAGTCTCAGCTACTTCAACTGAATAAAAGTGGAAGAGTAGTGTCACGGCACCCAACGACTGTTTCTTCCTATAATGCATTGAAAACTCTTTTAGGCTGTACTTTTAAAAGATCTCTAGAAATGCATTCTAAACGGTGCTATAAAATTTGTTCGGTTATCCTAGAGGATCTTGAGTCTTTTCGAAGTTACAAGGGCTTCAGTATCTTTCAGTATTATTTTCCCGAAAGTTTTAGATGCAATTTAAAGTTTTACGAAAGCGAGAATTTTTCGTATTCCTCTCTCCGTCACATTTTTTAATCGGAACATTTCAGGTTTCCTTTTTCTAAGAAAATTAGCCAAACATGGGGAGTAAAATGTGAGAAATTAAAGGTCAGAAAATTTTAGGGAATTAATTACATAAGCTTCGAGAGTTGTATCTGAATTGAACGTTTATAAATATCTAGCAAATTTTTAGCCGTCCTCAAGCGATAGAAAATTCCAGACAATATTTGCTCCTCCGAACAGATAATTTACAGAAAACGTCATTGGGTGCCCCTGTAGTATTTTCAAGTCAGTAAAATTCGAATGCTTCATCTATGAAACACCAACGGCGCAGTGACAGATCCTGGGTAAAGCTAGTATTATGTATGTATACTAAAGGCTACTAAAGCCGGCCGAAATAAGACGGTTGTCTAAAACACTATACGAGTTCATCTGTCACAACGTTGGCAAAACATTTGGTGCCCAAGTCTTAAAATACATGACACGCTTTGAGAAGGCGTTCTTAATTTAAACCTGTGAGTTCTATTGCTTCTTGACTGTGCGTATATAGAGCCATGGCTTCAGCGGATCGGAGTAATTGTATATACGCTTCACGAAGGAAAAAGATACGCAGTGTCACTCAACCAACTATGGCAGTCTACTAGATGAGCGTCCAAGATCGTATCCGATTGACTAAAACACAAAAAGAGATGATGTCTTCTCAGTCATGACCATACCAACTTTCCCTCCTAGTCTGTTTCCGATAAGAAATCGAAAACTAATGAGAATTTGATAGAAATTTTCTCACTGGGGTATATAAACGTAGAAGGACGCAAACTCAATGCGGTGTATCAAGAGAGAATGAGCTCTCTTGGGTGCATCAATGAAGAAATCCGGAAAGGAGTGACCGATTTACATGTTATCCGTTTTCCCTATAGCGCTTAAGAGGCAGACAAACTAAAAGCAATGTTCAAGAACCTACAATTATCATTTTTGTGGAAACTAAAAGACAAATACTGCGATCTCAAAATTCTTAGCAGGCTTGAGCCAAAGAAGTTTTATTTGAACGGCAACGTAAACACAGTAGGAATTTGTTGAACATACTCGAAAGTTAAAACTATAGCTGTTAATAAACATATCTTTATAATTTACTAGGTTTGATAAATGAATGGTAAAGCTCTGACTTGCCTCTATCTTTTTTTGGTTATCTTCGTTGCGATGTCTTCGACTCCTCATGAGAACTCGAGGATACAAACAAGAAGAGTCCTAGCGAAAACCGATAAATTAAAAACCTTGAGTCTTCACGGTAAGTTTCGTTCTAGTCAGTCGGAACTCGTTATTAGTAACTCTATGTTACACAAGGTTTCGCCAGAAATGGGTGAAATAACGTACATTTCTATGCGTGACTTGCTATGAGCCTTTTCCTTATAAAATCCCAATCAAGACCCTGATGTCTGTTTCTGAGGGGTAAATATGCCACTTGCATAGTTTTGACGTGTATGCAGTAATAGTCATAATTCTATAATCTGGTTGTTTGTCACGGTTTCTTAGAAAGACCCACGCTTTTACTATTCCCGGAAAAGGTAGCTACAAAAGGAGTGGTTACGCAGAGTGCATGTTGACCGTCGACATTTCACGGATGAATTAAGCTTTTAAAGATTTTTGTGGTTGATGACGAGAGAGCTTTTATATTGTTCACTTCGTTAGCCTCTTCTTGTGTTGTTCTTTCGAATGGCTGTTCATCGCGTATTTTAAATTAACCTTTTTCAGGTGAGTATTTAGTATGAAACTCATCTGCTAACAAGGCTGGACGGCTGAAGATCCTGGTGATGGCATATTTTATATTACGATTAGGTCAAATACTAGACTACGAGTAATCCCCCATTTTTCCTCAGAGATAGTGGAGCGTGCTAAACGCGAGCGCGCTTGAAAATCACCCCACGCGAGAAAAGGCGACACGCGGCGTCGCGTGTCACCTTTTCTCGTGTGGGGTGATTTTCAAGCGCGCTCGCGTTTAGCACGCTCTACTATCTCTGAGGAAAAATGGGGGATTACTCGTAGTCTAGTTAAATACACCTCCTTTAAAACTCTCTCACGTGATGATTTGCTCATTCTCTCTTGTCCACAGTTAAGGCGTATCACTTTCAAACTGGGCAAGTTAACCAACTTTAAGGCATTCTTTCCAGCAGTGTCGATTTTAATAATATATCAAGCATGAGATGCAGCGTTTCATCACCAAATGAAACGCCAAGAAGAGAGTTGAAAATACGATGCGCAGCGGAGTATTTTTTTACGAACTTCGAGGTGTTTTATCTGGTGATGTAACACTGTGTCGAATGCTTGATGTTACTTCTCAAACAAAATGATTTTAGAAGGAGAAATTAGGGTTGCAAAAATGAGCAGTTTTTCATCTGATTTCCAAACACTCATTAAACATTAATTTCTTTTGTATTTTCTTTATGAATTATTTTAATAATTGTCCGTGTAAGAGGTAGGCAGGCGAACGGCAAAAGTGATTAAAAGGTGCTAACTTTTAATCATTAATTTCAATTAAATCAAGCGTTCTGATTGGCCGAAATCCAAAAATCGCCAAAAAAACAGTCAAAAACGTGACAAAAACAACTTTTTTTAGCTTTATTTTCCCCATTCCCCTGTCTTATACCTCACGGCCAAGTTTCAGCATTGTTCTATGCGCCAATCAAAAGTTAGAGCGGAAAACGTGCAACATACGCGCGACCTTGTTGTGACCCCATCTTAGTGTGACACTTGAGATGTTAGGAAACTTGCCTTTTACCCGAAGAAATCTCGTCAATTTCTTCGTGAAAAATCTGCATTTTTTCTTTATTGAATATTTATCTCAAATTTACTGTATTTTATCATCGGAGTGATCGTCAAAATGCTCTTAAACATGGTTTGCTGCCGTCCTCGACATGCCGAGTCGCCATGTGGAAATTTGGGCCCGGCTGTTTTCGTTGTCAGGCCGGATCAGGAGGAGATCGGAATAATTGTGACACTAGAAATTGGAGAACAGCTGGGCATAAAAGGAGAAAGCGAAAGATTTGTTGTTTTTCCAAGAATGAATTTATTTCTCGAAGAGATGTAGAACACTTGAGCTTGAGGTAAGCTGAATTCAATAGATTTTCTCACCTCCGCGTGCATTATGTGTTATTCATGTGTTTGCCCTTTTCGAAACTTCCATATTCCGTGTAGCTTTACCCATCTCTCATTCGATTTTTTTTCTCTCTAGACTGCTTCATCAAGCGAAATGGAAGTTCGCCGTTGACCTTAAGTTAAAATGAGCGAATTGAAATTAGTGACACGTTTGCATTTTGTACCTTTGAGTTCTGAGACGGAGAATACCGAGACGGAAGCCGCTTACGTATCATAAATAGCTGTCACTGGTGTTTGAGTTTCTCTTGGTACGGAAGATCTAGCGAGCATGACTGTAGCTTGCCTCTATTTTTTCCAAGGACGAAAGAGATTGTAAGAAGGATTTTTATAGAGTAATATCAAAACCTTGAAACAGATAAACTGTAGGAGAGCTTTTTCTGAAACCCAATTATCCGAACATGCAGGAATTTTTTCTATCTGGGCAACATCATCTTTTTTTCCAAAAGCAGAACATTTAGATAACATTTAGATTTGATTTTGTGTACGTGTTGTTGTTCTGTATGGTGGCCGAATATGAACGCAGGACATTGGCGCGTTCGCCAGATTCGCCACGTGAGAGTGAATTGCTGCTGTTTACGATCATGGTTTTGACATTTCTTTTGTGAGAGCCGACGTAAATGTTGTTCCCAACGTCGCTGATTGATGTAACACTGTGCTCATCTTCGTGTAATTTCATATCAGTTTAACTTCCTCGGGTTTGGCGCAAAGAAATCTTTTAAATTTTAGATATGTTATATTTTTCAACATAACAAAGCAATAGACGAAATAAAAAGTTGTTCGAATGAGTCTTAAGCTATCTTAATTCAACTTTAAAATTCAAATTTCGCGCTTTTCGCTGTATTGACCAATCAGAGCATTCAGATTTAATTTGATTAGAGAAATTAGCGCCTGAAAAATAACTGACGCTATTGCCGCGGGCTATTGTTTTTCTGCCTGCTTCTTAGCTGGACCATTACTTAATGCGTTTGAGAAGGATACACCCTGACTGGCCCTTCTCAAAACTTGAAAAAACGGTGGGAGAGTCTATCGCAGCAAAATCGGCGATATTCGCCAAAAAAAAATATTAGTTCCCACGAAAATGTCATGTTATATGGTAGGCAGGCTCCTTTGCAGTAACTTGTAGCATCCTTTCCGAGTAGGGCCTCCTGTTAACCTCAAGCAGTCCCTTGCTGTAACCTTTGCCTTTTGTGACTGTAGGTAGATGCTTGGTATTCTGGCTCGTCAGCTGGTAATGTCAAGCGTAATATGAAGACAGCAGAAAGTTTCTGTACATCACTGCAGCAGATATTTGACACCTCCTGGGGAAAACAATACTTGGAACCCGGACAGTGGCTGATACGTCCTTGCTGTCTTTTCTCAGTTTTATTTTGTACAAGAGAATGTAGATATTAAAATATTACAAACGGCGTTGATTTGTTTGCTGTCGAGACTTGAAAAAGCGTCTGTTGTAGCGAGTATGTTGTAATCAAACGACTCTGACTTTTGTCGACGATTCATCTGCTGTTGTTTTTTATCAAGGTGCCCAAAAAGCAAGGTATCCACTAGGTGAGAGTTGACTCTATTGCTGTAAGAAGGCAAAAATTCCAGAAGGCTCAGTTTCTTACAGTATTTACCCTAAACGGGTATATGCCGCCAAACGGGGTATGGTTTTGGGGGTCTTGATCATGAATCTTAAACATGGTATACAACTCCTCTTTGTGGTGCGTTGTCTACATGTACACCAAAACTGAAATTCCTGGGACAGGCGCAGTTATTAGTCTAGTAGATGGGTTCTAATGATTAGTGCTACGAGCAAGGTAATATAAAATAATGACCTTTACCTTTACCCTAGCTCCTTATTTTCACAGTAAGAACATTAAGCATCCCATTCTGACCCACAAATTAATTTAACCTTACCAACAATATATATTCGAGATATCTTGGAACGCTTTTCCAAATGTCTAAAGGACAGGTTTTGCACTTTTTCCCAATTGCAACTTTAAGTATAATTCAACTCGATCGTGACATCCTGGTAATTTCTTCACCTTTGTATAAAGGACGTGTCATTTCGGGCAAAGGTTTTCGGAATGGACCATTTCAGTCGGAGAATACTCCAGGGTAAACATAACGGGGTCTCAACGAGTACTCTGACACCATCTGAAGTAAAAGGCTCTGTCGCAGGAAACCACGCGTGAGCTTCACGCGCATGCTGGGAGACGTGAGGGGCGAGGAAGGAAAGGCATATCGAATTATACGGAGAGATATTTTCAATGATTAAAAATATTATTTTGAAACATTTTAAATGAAAAGTAATTAATCTTAAGCTCAATTAACCTGTATTTTTTGTATCTTTAAATCAAAATAAAGGTCTTCGGGGAAAAATTTGAAAAATTTTAGCATTTGATAGATCATACTTTTTATAAAGTATTTCACTTCTAATATTATTTTACACATGGAAATGTCAATAGTCAATTTAAAAATAATCTTTGTGAAAAAGCAAAAGCGGAAACGCAAACGCCCAACTCAAGGCCGGGGCGCGACATTCATTATAACAGGAAATGACCGTTTTCACACTAGAGACGGATTATTCGTGTGAGACCGGTTATCCGTTTGATGATTCGCGTCAGATAGGTAATACTTCTTAATTTGAAAATGGAATAGTTTTAGTTTTGAATGAACAACCCGTCTGACTTTATCCGTCAATTTCGACGGACAGTTTGAAGACGGGATTATCCGTTCCAGATAGCCTGTGTACAGCCACCCCCTCCCCTCAGAAAAAAAATGGAGAAGGGGTGTCTGTGGGGAGGGCGTGACTGTACACAGACTAGTCTCAGACGGATAATCCATTTCTAGCGCTAGCGTGAAAACGGCCAATAACAAAATTCCCATGTCTAGTGCTTTTAATGATAGCGAAGGACTGTACAGAACGACTGTCTGCCGTCACATTATTCCGTCCGGCTAATGCGTTTCGGGTCACGTGGTCCGAGCGAGTTCGCCACCGAAATGCCTTGACCGAGATTGCGTGGGAAGACGCCGTACAGGGACTAGGCCTGGCAATGTCTACCGTAGCGTCAGAGAAAAACAGGGAAATGCTGTTTATCGGCAACGTGTTTTACAAACAGTGACATCTCTGCGTGTTGTCTCATTAGTGTTTCGAAGGCACGACCTCCTGCAAATCACAAATATTAATCCCTAGCAAGAAGCCACACTTTCGCTATGGAAAAAATTAGTTCCCCACGGAGAGTGGGGGAAATGGAGCCTAGGTCTTTGTCAACACCTAAAAGGCGCTTCGCCTAACGTGCGTACGGAGTCACACTAGCAGGGAAATAAAAAACGCAACCATAAATGAGTTTAGTGCCTCCCTTAAAAGTAGCAAATCTAGGGAACAGTTTCTTTTACGGTTAACTCTTTTTTACTCTATTTACGGCTAACGGTTAAAATTTTTCAATTTTTACTGCTATCGACTAAATTTTTGGCCGTTTTACGCCTATCGGTTAACCCCATTGAGACCCTCTGGTATGAATATATTTTTTATGTATAATAGGAAGAATTATATTAATTATTATATCTCGCATGGTGTTTTCCGCCTCGACCTTCAGTCTAAGCCGGATCCCTCCTCTTCGATGTGCATACTCAGCCTCATCCAATAATTGTGAACTTGTTACTTTTTAGATAAACTCGATAAAACTTTTTTGCAGTGAAAATAACTATTTACAGTTAGTAATTTGTCGTTGTGTTTTTCCCAGTTTATTCGGCAAGCTACATTGAATTTGTCATTTTGGAAGCCCTTGCAAACAAAGAGCTAGCAGAAACCCCTACTAGCCCCTTGGCTAAACACTGAAGTGAAACTAAAAGAGCCAATAGTAATCTAAAATTGCCATGTCACATGAACTGAAGGAGCCAATCTAGAACGGTTATTGCGAATTATTGCCATGTCATTTCATGATCGACTACAAAAAGCTTCCTCATTGAACACGGTGAAGGTTCATTTACCCAAGCTTATGGCTATGACGAATGTGCTCGGTCCTCCACAGCTGCCTCCAGCTGGTATTTACGACACCTTTCTGGAAACTACATACAAAACGCTTGAAGGAAAGACATTTCGAGCTCTTTACACGGGAAGCCGCTTGATGCCACAAACAACAAATTTCAGAGATATTCTTGTTGTTGCAGCACAGAATCCCTTTGCCGCTTTAAGGAGTAGTGTTGTGGCTCAGTGCGGTGAAATGGTGTGGAAAGGAATCACGTGCACATTTTGGGGTGATGTCTGGCTGTGGGTAGAACCAACGTTAGGCGGTATTATAAATGTAAATTCCTTTCAGGAGTTCAAAATAGAGAAGACCACGGTGTTTCCGTGTTACCCGGACACCAACTTCCCTCATGGCGGAGTTAGTATCAGGGCAAGCCTGCTGATTCCACAAATTCCTACTATCCAAGTGCCCCAAATGGGCACCCAACTGAGGTTCCCCTCTGGCATGTGACTGAACGGAACTGAACATGACGCCGAGTCTGAAAAAGCTCGGAAAGAAACGTGTTTGTAGATAAATAATGGAGCCATGTCCAGCACTGGCCATGAAATCCAGAGTTTCTTCACTTCTTACTTAGTTCTACACTTCTCAGAGGTGTGGAAGTGTGGAAAAGTCCGACAAAGTAAGGATATTGTCGCACTTTTCCCCCAGTCATGAACCCTTTGTCATTCTTTACTTAGTTCTACACTTCTCAGAGGTGTGGAAGTGTGGAAAAGTCCGACAAAGTAAGGATATTGTCGCACTTTTCCCCCAGTCATGAACCCTTTGTCATTCTTTACTTAGTTCTACACTTCTCAGAGGTGTGGAAGTGTGGAAAAGTCCGACAAAGTAAGGATATTGTCGCACTTTCCCCCAGTCATGAACCCTTTGTCATTCTTTACTTAGTTCTACACTTCCCAGAGGTGTGGAAGCGTGGAAAAGTCTGACAAAGTAAGGATGTTGTCTCACTTTCCCCCACTCATGAACCCTTTGTCATTCTTTACTTAGTTCCACACTTCTCAGAGGTGTGGAAGTGTGGAAAAGTCTGACAAAGTAAGGATATTGTCGCACTTTTCCCCACTCATGAACCCTTCGTCATTCTTTACGTAGTTCTACACTTCCCAGAGGTGTGGAAGCGTGGAAAAGTCTGACAAAGTAAGGATATTGTCTCACTTTCCCCCAGTCATGAACCCTTTGTCATTCTTTACTTAGTTCTACACTTCTCAGAGGTGTGGAAGTGTGGAAAAGTCCGACAAAGTAAGGATATTGTCGCACTTTCCCCCACTCATGAACCCTTCGTCATTCTTTACTTAGTTCTACACTTCCCAGAGGTGTGGAAGTGTGGAAAAGCCTGACAAAGTAAGGATATTGTCGCACTTTTCCCCCTGTTAAGAACCCTTTGTCATTCTTTACTTAGTTTCACACTTCTCGGAGGTGTGGAAGGGTAGAATAGTGTGACAAGTTGAGTTTAATGTTGCACTTTCCCTGAGTCACCAGAAGCTCAGTGCGCTTTATGAGCACTTGGTTTTATTTCTGTATGGTTTTTTACATTTTTCCTTTAGAACTATTTTTATTTTGAATAGCAGATATAACCATTGTTTCAATGCCAGCTGTTGAAAGAAACTTCAAGTTAAGAAATCCGATCTCCAACCAAGCTTTCATCCTTATCAGTACGGGTTCAAATTTGATAATTGTTAGATCACGCCACATATCCACTGTTTCGCAGTTTTTCCTCTTCTCTAAGGTTATGTAAATGCTGGACATAAATTTTTTTTTTTTTTGTATTTTATTTATTTATTTTCTTTTTACAGGTATAGTACAAATGGACATAAATTATGAAAAAGAAGCAACACCACGCTCGGAGGCGAACGGCTCGAGGCCAAGAAACATCGAAAAAGAATTCACCTAAGGGTGACTCTCTAAAGACGAAGAGGAGGGTGGACCATGCAAATATTTTAGTATTGTCACGTGCCGCAGAGATAACATAAATATTGCCAACCCTATAACACGCAAGTAAACAGTGATCCCCCTTTTCCGCAGAGAGATCTGCAGGTAGCTACTCTAGGCCGATAAGTCACAATTATTACTTTATACAGAATGCTGTATATTTTTAGACCAATTTAGGTCATGAACGTGATGAAGGAATAGAACAATAAGAATTGATTTGAGCATTTATAAACTTTATCAAGTTGATCTTAAAGCGAGGAAGATAGAACGCACATACTCTGCATTCTTTACTGCCTATTTTTAGCGTTGTCACGATCTTAAGAGACCTGACTGTTGTACCCAATTAAAAGCTCCCGGGGTTCAGATTCTTTGTGTATTGTATTTGCGTTATAATGTGGCATTCACATTTAAATGATACGGAAATTCCTAAAACAAAACGTTATATACCCAAAGGGTTTGAATTGGGTACGACATTGAGTCAGCCGAATAGATCTATAGGAAGGAGAAAAACCCTGAATAAGACGTCTCATATATGGCACATTAAGATGAAAAATTTCAAACATAAAAATCTATAGATGAGATGACGTTGTTGAGGTTTCCGTTGAAAAATAAATAAATAAGTAAACGAAGATAAAGGACTGACGGAGACTGAACGTGACAGAAAAAACGTAGGCTTGTTTTATGGTCGGGTATTCAAACAGATGGCAGTGAAACAAGGCTAATATCTTCTAGTCATAGAATTGTTGTCTAAACTTAAAATAGCATTTAAAATACGTAAAACGAGTTGCAGGAATAAAACCAACAAATACTCCCACTGCGCTTTCTTCTCATTTCATACATAGGAGTGTAACTAAGGAAAGAATGTCAAGGGATTCGTGACTGGGGGAAAGTGCGACAATATCCTGACTCTGTCAGACTATTTTATACTTCCACACATCTGAGAAGTGTAGAACTAAGTAAAGAATGACAACGGGTTCTTAACAGGGGGAAAAGTGTGACATTATCCTGACTTTGTCAGACTCTTCCACACTTCCAGACCTCTGAGAAGTGTGGAACTAAGTAAAGAATGACAAAGGGTTCATGACTGGGGAAAAGTGCGACAATATCCTTACTTTGTCAGACTTTTCCACACTTCCACACCTCTGGGAAGTGTGGAACTAAGTAAAGAATGACAAAGGGTTCATGACTGGGGGAAAGTGCGACAATATCCTTACTTTGTCAGACTTTTCCACACTTCCAGACCTCTGAGAAGTGTGGAACTAAGTAAAGAATGACAAAGGGTTCATGACTGGGGGAAAGTGCGACAATATCCTTACTTTGTCAGACTTTTCCACACTTCCAGACCTCTGAGAAGTGTGGAACTAAGTAAAGAATGACAAAGGGTTCATGACTGGGGGAAAGTGCGACAATATCCTTACTTTGTCAGACTTTTCCACACTTCCAGACCTCTGAGAAGTGTGGAACTAAGTAAAGAATGACAAAGGGTTCATGACTGGGGGAAAGTGCGACAATATCCTTACTTAGTCAAGAATGACAAAGGGTTAATGACTGGGGGAAAGTGCGACAATATCCTTACTTTGTCAGACTTTTCCACACTTCCAGACCTCTGAGAAGTGTGGAACTAAGTAAAGAATGACAAAGGGTTCATGACTGGGGGAAAGTGCGACAATATCCTTACTTTGTCAGACTTTTCCACACTTCCAGACCTCTGAGAAGTGTGGAACTAAGTAAAGAATGACAAAGGGTTCATGACTGGGGGAAAGTGCGACAATATCCTTACTTTGTCAGACTTTTCCACACTTCCAGACCTCTGAGAAGTGTGGAACTAAGTAAAGAATGACAAAGGGTTCATGACTGGGGGAAAGTGCGACAATATCCTTACTTTGTCAGACTTTTCCACACTTCCAGACCTCTGAGAAGTGTGGAACTAAGTAAAGAATGACAAAGGGTTCATGACTGGGTAAAAGTGTGACATTATCCTTACTTTGTCAGACTTTTCCACACTTCCACACCTCTGGAAAGTGTGGAACTAAGGATGAAAAAGGAAAGTAGGGATCTTGTGGCCAGCACTGGACATTTGTGAAATAATGCCAACTAACTGGACTATTTATCTTCGGAGACAGTTTATATTGTGTTCATTTGATCATTACGGTTTTGTTCTGTTGAGTTTAGGGCGATTTTTTGAGTTTGCGCGAGAATCACGGTTACTTAATTGCCTACCCTTTTTCAGTCTAGAACCGTTTTGCTGGCCAATCTGAGACTTTAATTACTATCGAGCAACAGTTAAGACATCTTAGCGACTTTGCCCATTATTGTTTAATGATCAAGTTTCTGATCTAGCTTCCTCAGTATAAGTTGAACGGTAATCCGCTTTATTCCTGAGACGAGGTATAATTAGGTCTAATTATTGGCCTTAGGGCAAATGTTACAATACCTGATCAAGTTTCACTGAGCTCTTCTTAGCATAAGACTCAAGTCACTCGGACGGGGTCCTTTCATAGAGCCCAAAATATCAAGTTTTGTCAAGAGCCATAATAGGACCTGCCCTATTATGGCTCTTGGTTTGTATTCAAAGTTGTCTGCACAATCTAAGTTTATCTTCGTATCCTCAATTATGCTCACTTTTAATATGCTCGTTATAAGTCGTGTCTTTTTTCTCTGCAGCTAGGGACTTATAATAAAAAATCAAGTATTAAAGTTCGATCGCTAGACTGTTAAATCAACTACCCTATAGTTTATATAATCTAGGTAATCTGGTGTCAACGTGAGATTTGACTTGGCTTTTTTATTACTACAGTCGACTCACGATAACTCGAACCTTCAAGGGAAATCGAAAAAAGTTCGAGTTATCGGGAGTTTGAAGCAAATAACCGGAAGTAAGGAAATAAGCAAATGATGGGAAGGAAAGGTAATTAAGCAACAAAGTAAACAGAAATGGACGCTGAATTTGAACTGGAGTGACAAAAAAGTAAAGAGAAAGAATTTACTCGGTTGTTTTGAAATAAATTCAATGTTTCGGACTTCAGTACACGGTTTTTTTCCCGACTTGTCACGCGCTTATTGCTGGTTTTCAGTGTCACGCCATTCAAAGTAGATCAAGATAAAAATCAAAACCATTTGACAGATAAAGTCCAGAATCTGGGAAATGAAAGGAGGTAAATATACAAAGCCCCTCGCCAAGATTTGGGTCGAAGGAGTAATTCGTATACGAGATATCCGAGGAAATGTTTTACCCAAATTTATAGAGCTTTGTATGGAGACGCCATGCTGGAGCTCATCCGGATGAGCTCCAACATGACGGACGGAAACCAACAGAAACATCTGTTACCGAGTTTTTAGTACAAAAGCGTGAATTTACTCCTAGCGGAACTTATAAACATTAAAGTAATACTTTTTCTAATACTTGAACTGTTTAGATAGCAAAATTCCTCGAAAAATTAAAGTCACTTTTTTAACCTAAATGACAGCCTTCTCGGCGGTGATGTAAATGCTGCGTCACGCAAAAGCTTAGAAATTCAAGCGTACTCTATTACAAAACCAAGAACCCTTTTGAAGCCAAAATTTGTTTGAAAATTAGCTTTCAGCTGCTCTAATAAGCCATGAAAGTAAGATCTCAGTAGGATCGATAGTTTTGTAGTTTGAATTTTGGTGACGTCATGTGAAAACCAACAATATAAACATGGTTCGAGTTATCGAGGGTAAAACTGTATAGAAATGAGCTGAAGGGAAACAAAACGTTTCTTCGAGTTAGCGGGAGGTTTGAGTTATCGAGGGTTCGAGTTACCGGGGATAAAATTACAGTAAATGTGAGAAGGAAATCCAGGGGAAATCGACTATGGTTTCGAGTTAGTGAGGGTTCGAGTTATCGGGAGTCAACTGTATTTAGTTTAGTACCGCATGGCATGTGCGGCACTCCTCAGATAAAATTGCCATATAGTTTATACATGTAACTGTAATCCCCTGAAATATCAATATTTTGTGAAAACAGGTATCAATTCCCGGAAAAAGCCAGTGGAAGAGCGGTTGCTAAGAAGAGACAATGGATATCGAAATAGAATACATAGCTGCGTGATTTTGATTCTTCATTTTGACAGTTGTGAAAGTTGTGTTTTGTTTTATTCATTAGAGTTACAAATAATTTCAGTGTAAGATCAGTCAATAAAGTGGAGCGAACAGTTTGCTACAAGATTTTTCCTTTTCACTTTGTTGCTTGTGTGGCTTACTATATTCTCCTCTTTAAAATAAAAGTGCCGATGATCCGGCGGGCCGGCTAAAATGTTGGTAACTTAGCCCCACCGCCATTGAAGTGACAACTCGACTACCAATACAGGGACAACCTTCTTCGCTTTAAAAAGGCATGTTCATCAAGCTTGGATGATTTATACAATTAAATATTGGCAATGAACGTGACGGCAAATGAAATTGTCATCTTTTGTGATTTGAAATAAGAACGGCCAGATGATCAAAGAAGTCGGACTCGGAGTTTCAGATATGTACCAAGAAAGCAACTCAGAATACCAAACTATGCATGAACAATGTCAAGGAAAAATTCATTTGTAGAACTGAAGCCACAATCCTTTCCAAGAAACTCTAAAAACAAAAACGGTGTTTTTCAGGCTATATACGACAAACTGTAGATTACATGCAGTGGAGTAAACCGATCTTCACTAGGATATTTATGCCAAACTTCATTTTCACACGGACACTTTCTTTGCGAGTTAAGTTTTTATCGACAGTTTTTGCCATTCTGATTTTCTTCGAAGTTTCTCAGGAAAATCAAGTGCGCGAGAATGAGAAAAAAATTGCGCCAGATAGTTTTCATGGTCTATTAAACAAATATACTCCATTAAATGAAAGAACATTTCAAAAATTTAATAGATCAGTTCATGTTTCCGTGCGTCTGATCAGTGTGTTCAGCCAGGTATAGATCATAGAATGACATCAGAATGTGATAACAAAAAGTGGCACACGCAGGTGGAGAAGCTTCACGATCGCGAGTAATTAGATAGAACGGAGAGCAGACTCAATGAACGTGCGTCTTGAAGTGACTTCAAGATGAACTTTCGTTGAGTCCATTCAGAAACTCATTATGAGCATCAGGTTATCCTTGTTGCTTAAGGAATTGTTTTTCATGGTCAATAAAGACTTTTCACTGATTTTACCAACTGATTTAATTGACATCGATTAAGTCAGGGGTGAGCTTACGTGGACAAAATTAAGTGGAGATTCAAGGACCAATCAAAAGCCCTCCCGGCTGTCATGTGACCTCGCTACTTTCTCTTTCTCTATTAGGGAGCTTAAGCAGCAGCGTTTTTGAGCGACGGACGTCAACCGGAAGTGGACTTTTTGCATCATTGGGGAGTGGTTTGGTTGAAACTCTCGGGTAAATCGTCTTTAAAAGAGAAAAGAAACTCAGCAATACAAGTTTGTTAGCGTCAAGGCATATAGAAAGGGAGAAGGCCTCACTTCCGGTTGACGTACGTCGCTCAAAAACGTCTTTGCTTAAGGTCCCTATTGTCACAGAACAAATAAGACAACACCCGAGGCTAAATAGACGCTTTTGTTCAATCCAAGGACGATTTCGATCGAAAACACTCTGCAAAAACTCCAGGAAATATATCAACCACTCGAAGGAGTGACATTTCGAGGAACCTACCTGGGAGAATACAAGATGCCACAAACGGGAAATAAAAGGTATATCATAAAAGGTAACAACCTTTTCGGCACACTGAAAAGCATTTAAAGCTCTGTTATCAACACCTATGGAAAAACACTAGTATGGAAAGGAATAACTGGGCCGGAGGATAGTGAGAAGTATACGGATTACTGGCTTTGGGTTGAACCTGATGTCGGTGGAATGCTTTTCGAAGACGACTCTTACGATTTCAAGATAGAGAGGTGCACTCCCTTTCACTGCGAGAGCGGCAGTTTTTCGTACGGAGTGAGCATAAAGGCGAAAATCGTTTAAAGCAGTAACAAGTCTGGCGTGAGTCCATTTCAATTTGGATAACTTTGGATAATACATAATGATTCATGTGACTGACCCTTTTAGACTGCCAGTGTCTGATTAAAGGATTTCATAAAAGAAAATCTGTTTGAGATTGAAAGAACAGCTAGGACAAATCTAGTTTGACGACTGGCCGACAAAGAATAAGGTTTACTTTTAAAGACCTACCTGATTAGAACGAAGGAACCTTCCACTTACAGCAATTAAAATCTCTGATGAACTGGCAAATCTCATAAGCGCCATCATGGTCGAGCATTTGTTCTGTTTCTTCTCTTATAGTAAGTAGGTCGTAAGCCGGGGATGTAGAGTGATTAAAAGAGCCTCATCACTCGGAACTCTGAGTAGCTGAACATTATGAAAGTCCAGTATACAGCTTAGAATTGGGAAAGTATAGACTTCAGACGTTATGGAACTTCATGATCGCGAACCGGCTATGCAAGATCATCAATCTTGTCTACCCGGGGCATCATGAACATGCCATGAACACGAGGTCACTTAATTTTTGTTCTGTTTCTCTCAGTTCCTCTTTGTAATACTTTTGGTCTACCAGCTGATTAAGAATCTAGCGCTTTGAGCTACGAATTTTATAAACCCGGCATATCTTTGCTTGCCTTGCTATTCCAGAATTTAAGTTACTAGTAAATCGTGGAAGTGTATTCAGGTGACCGCAACGCGTCGTTTTGTTGAAATTTGCTTTCGAATAAGTCCGCTGAAGTCTATGCCTGTCGGTCGTACAAACGAGGAACTTATCACTACACTATTCAAATGAATTCCTTTGCTTTTGGTAGACTAGAACTTTTAATTTGCAGTCTCCAATTAATCTGCAACAAAATGAGAGTAACATAGTCTAATATCTACAAATCACTCGGATCTTTTTACTCTTGCTTTTACATGCTGCTTCTTGACTATTCGCGGCACATGGCAAGAAAACCGAGAGAAACCGCAGTTGTATGTAATCGTTGTTTTCTGTCACATGACTAGTTATTTTCTGTTTCACTTATATTCAATGGAGAGGCGAAGTTTAAGAAGTCTCAGTTACTTCAACTGAATAAAAGTGGAAGCGTAGTATCAGAGGCACCCAACGACGGTTTTCTCCTAAATACATTCATTTGAAAACTCTTTTTAGGCATAAAAATTGTATCTGTTCGGTCATCCTAGAGGAACTTGAGTCTTTTCGAAAATACAGGCCGGGCTTCAGTATTATTTTCCCGCAATTTAACGTTTTACGAAAGTGAGAATTTTTACCCCTCTCTCCGTCACATTTTTCAATCGGAAGATTTCAGGTTTCCTTTTTCTAAGAAAATTAGCCTAACATGGGGAGCAGAATGTGAGAAATTAAGGTTCAGAGAATGGTTGGGAATTGGATTGTCGGAACGGTTATCTAGAAATTTTTAGCCGTCCTCAAGCGATAGGAAATTCTAGGCAATATTTGCTTCTCCGTACAGATGATTTACAGAAAACAGTCGTTGGGCGCCCCTGTTATGTAGTATTTTCAGGTCAGTAAAATTCGAATGCTTCATCTATGTAACACCAACGGCGCAGTGACAGATTCTGGGTAAAGCTAGTACTGTGGATGTATACTCGACCCGGCCACTAAAGGCCGAAATAAGACGGTTGTCTAAAACACGATGTGAGTTCATCTGTCACAATGCTGGCAAAACATTTGGTGTCCAAGTCTTAAAATACATAACACTCTTTGAGACGGCGTTCTTAATTCTATTAATTTAAACCTCTGAGTTCCGTTGCTTCTTGGCTGCACGTGTATAGAGCCGTGGCTTCAGTGGATCGGAGTAAATGTTTATACGCTTCATGAAAGAAGAAGAGACGCAGCGTCTCTCAACTATGGCAGTCGACTAGCTGAGCGTCCAAGATCGTATCCGAGTGACTGAAACACAAAAACAGATAATGCCTTCTCAGTGATGTCCATACCAATTTTCCCTCCTATAGTCTGTTTCCTATAAGAAATCGAAAACTAATGAGAATTTGATATAAATTTTCTCACCGGGGTATAAACGTTTAGGGACGCAAACTGAATGCGGTGTATCAAGAGAGAATGAGCACTCTTGGGTGCATCAATGAAAAAATCCGGAAAGAAGTAACTGATTTGCATGTTACCCCTTTTCTCTACAGCGCCTAAGAGACAGGCGAACTAAAAGCAATGTTTAAGAACCTACAATTATCGTTTTTGTGGAAACCAAAAGACAAATAGTACGATCTCAAAATTCTTAGCAGGCTTCAGCCAAAGAAGTTTTATTTGAACGGCAACGTAAACATAGTAGGAATTTGTTTAACATACTCGAAAGTTAACCTATAGCTGTTAACAAACACATCTTTATAATTTACTAGGTTTGATAAGTGAATGGTAAAACTTTGACTTGCCTCTATCTTTTTTTAGTTATCTTCGTTGCGATGTCTTCGACTCCTCATAAGAACTCGAGGATAAAAACAAGAAGAGTCCTAGCGAAAACCGATCAATTAAAAACCTTGAGTCTTCAAGGTAAGTTTCGTTCTAGAAGTCTCGGATCTCGTTATTAGTAACTCTATCTTACTCAAGGTTTCGCCAGAAATGGGTGAAATAGCGTACGTTTCTATTTGTGACTTGCTATGAGCCTTTTCCCTATAAAATCCGAATCAAGACTGTGATGTCGGTTTCTGAGGGGTAAATATGCCACTTTCATAGTTCTTACGTATACGCAGTAATAGTCATAATTCTACAGTCTGGTTGTTTGTCACGGTGATTTCTTAGAAAGACCCACGCTTTTACTATTCCCGGAAAAGGTAGCTGCAAAAGGAGTGGTTACGCAGAGTGCATGTTGACGGTCGACATTTCACGGATGAATTAAGCTTTTAAAGATTTCTGTGGTTGCTGACGAGAGAGCGTTTATATTGTTCACTTCGTTAGCCTCTTCTTGTGTTGTTCTTTCGCATGGCTGTTCAACGCGTATTTTAAATTAACCTTTTTCAGGTGAGTATTTAGTATGAAACTCATCTGCTAACAAGGCTGGACGGCTGAAGAGCCTGGCGATGGCATATTTTATATTACGATTGGGTCCGAATACACCTCCATAAAAACTATGTCACTTGATCAGATAAGGAACTTCCTCTCCTAGAGGGTCTTTAAGAACACCACGCGGCGGCCACTCAATTAAGCAGACCAAACGTCCAATCTCAGTTTTCGTTCGAAAGAATATGGAAAACTTTACAGAAATTGCCACTGAACTTGTAAGAATTTACAATCTGCATAAGGGAAAGGAGTTTGAGGCGCATTACTAGGGAGAACGCAAGATGCCATTGAAAGGAACCATGAGGGATGTTTTAGAGATCGACGAAGGGAACCCTTTCGCCTCAACACTGGCAGAAATTTCAAGCACGGTCCATCAAAAATACGGTACTAAAGTTTGGAAAGGAATCACTGGGCCTGAAGATAGCCAGTACTTTGAAGATTATTGGCTATGGGTAGAGAGGTTCCGTCCAGCGCTGGAAGAAGGCAATAGTTACGTCTTCAAAATAGTGGAGTGCACTGCTTTTCAAGGCAGTGGCGAGTTCTTGTGCGGAATAAGCTTATAACAGCTTTCTGATTCTGAATAACTCTGTTCTATATATCTGTATATTGTAGATATATCTGGCTTGGGCTATACACATAGAAGAGGATTTTTGATACACATATCACTGTACGTGGGCTTCTCGTACTTTAATTTCAGTTTTCGTGAAACGACTAGTTTGAAAGGATGACTTTTGTACCTGCCTGTTAAAAACACTATTTACAGATCTGAAAGTGGTGCAGCGTCAGCGTTTTGTGAAAAATTTGTCTTCTTTGTGCTTTTCCAAGTTTATTTCCCATTTTGAATTTGTCATTTTGGAAGGCCCCCAAAAGCAAAGACCAAGTAGAGACCCGTTTCTTCTTGCCGAACAATGAAGTGAAACTGAAAGAGCCAATCTAAAAAAATTGCCAGGTCACATGAACTCAAAGAGCCAATCTAGAACGGTCATTCCGAATTTTTGTCATGTTATGTCATGATCATGATCGACTGCACATAGCTTCCTCTTTTAACTGAAAGCGAAAACGGCGAATGTCCATTTAGCCCCGGCATTTAGCCAAGCTTTGATAGAAAAATATGACCATGAATATGGCTCCCCCGGCTGATAATTACACCTTTCTTGATACGACATACAAACCGCTTGTAGGACAGACATTTGTAGCTACGTATACGGGAAGCCGCTCGATGCCACAAACCAGTAATCTCAGAGATATCCTTGTTGTAGGAGTACAGAATCCTTTCAACGCAACGTTAGAGGCTATAAGAAGTAGTGTTGAGGCTAAGTGCGGTGAAAAGGTATGGAAAGGAATCACGCGCACAATTTGGGGTGATGTCTGGCTGTGGGTAGAACCAACGTTCGACGGTGTTATAGATGTGCATTCCACTCACCAGTTTAAAATAGAGGAGACGACTGTATTTCAGTGTTACCCGGGCACCGGTTTCCCTGATGGCGGAGTTAGTATCAAGGCAAGCCTGGTGACACCATAAATTTCTTCTACTATCCAAGTGACCCAAATGGGCAACCAAACGTTTCCCATTAGTAGGTGACTGAACGAACGGAACTGAACATGACGCCGACTGAAAAAGCTTGGCAAGAAAACCGAAAGAAACAACAAACGAAAGTCATATATAACGTGGTTGTGGAAAAAGAGTGCCAACGAACTGGACTATCTATTTTCGGACACAGTCAATATTGTGTTCATTTAATCATTAACAGTTTTGTTCTGTTGAGTTTAGGGCGATTTTTGGACTTTGTGCGAGAATTGTTGTGGAGAATTGTTACTTACTCGCCTACCTTCTTTCATCAGTCTAGGACCGTTTTGCTAGCCAATCTGAGACTTAAATTACTATCAAGCAACATTTAACACATCTTAGCCACATTGCCCATTATTGTTTAATTTAATGATCAAGTTTCTGCTTTAGCTTCCTCAGTAGTTGAATGGTAATCCGTTTTATTATTTAAACCATGATGTTTTTCTGCGCGTCTTCCTGAGACGAGGTATAATAGACCTTGTCATGGTTTTCGACGCCATCTTGACGAGTAGGCAAATGTGTGAGAAATTACAGTGTTTGTATGAGAATCTAATGTCGAATAATTTCCGAAAAACGGCTGTTCTAAAAAAGAAAATAATGAGAAGACTCTTACGATTTCAAGATAGAGATGTACACTCCCTTTCACTGCGAGAGCGGCAGTTTTTCGTACGGAGTGAGCATAAAGGCGACAATCGTTAAGCAGTAACAAGTCTGGGGTGAGCCCATTTTAATTTGGATAACTTTGGATAATACATAATGACTCATGTGACTGACTCTTTTAGACTGCCAGTGTCTGATTAAAGGATTTAATAAAAGAAAATCTGTTTGAGATTGAAAGAACAGCTAGGAAAAATCTAGTTTGACGACTGGCCGACAAAGAATAAGGTGACTTTGAAGTGAAAGTGAGAGTGTCTCCGAACCGTGCTATGAAGCTATTACTACTTTTAAAGACCTACCTGATTAGAACGAAGGAACCTTCCACTTACAGCAAATAAAATCTCTGATGAACTGGCAAATCTCATAAGCGCCATCGTGGTCGAGCATTTGTTCTGTTTCATCTCTTATAGTAAGTAGGTCGTATGCCGGGGATGTAGAATGATTAAAAGAGCGTCATCACTCGGAACTTTGAGTAGTTGAACATAATGAAAGTCCAGAATTCAGCTTATAATTGCGAAAGTATAGACTTCAGACGTTATGGAACTTCATGATCGCGAACCGGCTATGCAAGATCATCAATCTTCTCTACCCGGGGCATCATGAACATGCCATGAACACGAGGTCACTTAATTTTTGTTCTGTTTCTCTCAATTTTTCTTTGTAATACTTTTGGTCTACCAGCTGATTAAGAATCTAGCGCTTTGAGGTACCAATTTTATAAACCTGGCATGTCTTTGCTTGCCTTTAAGTTACTAATGAATAGTGGAAGTGTATTCAGACAGGTGACTGCAAGGCATCGTTTTGTTGAAATTTGCTTTCGAATTAGTCCGCTGAAGTCTATGCCTGTCGGTCGTACAAACGAGGAACTTATCACTACATTATTCAAATGAATTCCTTTACTATTAGTAGACTAGAACCTTTAATATGCAGTCTCCGATTAATCCGCAATAAAATGAGAGTAACATAGTCCAATATCTACAAATCAATCGGATCTTTTTACTCTTGCCTCTATCTGCCGCTTCTTGACTATTCGTGGCACATGGCAAGAAAACCGAGAGAACTCGCTGTTGTATATATATAATCATTGTTTTCTGTCAGATGACTAATTATTTTCTGTTTCACTTATATTCAATGGAGAGGCGAGGTTTAAGGTAAGTCTCAGTTACTTCAGCTGAATCGGAAAGTGGAAGCGTTCAAAGCGTAGTATCAGGGGTACCCAACGACGGTTTCCCCAAAATTCATTTGAAAACTCTTTTTAGACTATTCAGAGTACTTTTAGATCTCTAGAAATGCATTCTAAGCGGTGCTATAAAATTTGTATCTGTTCGGTCAGCCTAGAAGAACTTGAGTCTTTTCGAAAATACAGGGCTTCAGTATTATTTTCCCGAAAATTTTAGATCCAATTTAAGGTACTACGTACGGCTAAAATGTAAAAAGTAAAATGACCTTCATTTTCGGCTAGATCAAAACTCTTACATATATAATTACAATCCTAAAATATGATGGCTTGTTGTTCGCTGGTTTTCCTCTCTCCGTCACATTTTTCAATAGGAAAATTTCAGGTTTCCTTTTTCTGAGAAAATTAGGCTAACATGGGGAACTAAATGCGAGAAATTAAAGTTCAGAGAATGGTAGGGAATTGAATTGTACCTGAACGGAACGGTTATCTAGAAATTTTTAGCCGTCCTCAAGCGATAGGAAATTCTAGGCAATATTTGCTTCTCCAAACAGATGATTTATATAAAACAGTCGTTGGGTGCCCCTGTTATGTAGTATTTTCAGGTCAGTAAAATTCTAATGCTTCATCTATGAAACGACCAACGGCGCAGTGACAGATTCTGGGTAAAGCTAGTACTATGGATGTATACTCAACCCGGCCACTAAAGGCCTAAGTAAGACGGTTGTCTAAAACACGATGCGAGTTCATCTGTCACAACGCTGGCAAAACATTTGGTACCCAAGTCTTAAAATACATAACACACTTTGAGACGGCGTTCTTATTAATTTAAACCTTTGAATTTCGTTGCTTCTTGGCTGTGGGTATATGGAGCCGTGGCTTCAGCGGATCGGAGTAATTGTTTATACGCTTCATGAAAGAAAAAGAGACGCAGCGTCCCTCACTATGGCAGTCGACTAGATGAGCGTCCAAGATCGTATCCGAGTGACTGAAACACAAAAAGAGATGATGTCTTCTCAGTCATGACCATATTACCAATTTTCCCTCCTAGTCTGTTTCCGATAGGAAATCGAAAACTAATGAGGATTTGATAGAAATTGAACACAATACTGAATGCGGTGTATCAAGAGAGAATGAGCTCTCTTGGGTGCATCAATGAAGAAATTCGGAAAGGAGTACCCGATTTACATGTTACCCCTTTTCTCTATAGCGCCTAAGAGACAGACGAATTTAAAGCAATGTTGAAGAACCTACATTTATCATTTTTTTGGAAACTAAAAGTGAAATAGTGCGATCTCAAAATACTATTTAACAGGCTTCAGCCAAAGAAGTTTTATTTGAACGGCAACGTAAACACAGTAGGAATTTGTTGAACATACTCGAAAGTTAAAACTATAGCTGTTAATAAACATATCTTTATAATTTACTAGGTTTGATAAATGAATGGTAAAGCTCTGACTTGCCTCTATCTTTTTTGAGTTATCTTCCTTGCGACGTCTTAGCCCCTTCATAAGAACTCGAGGATACAAACAAGAAGAGTCCTAGCGAAAACCGATAAATTAAACTTCACGGTACTCGTTATTAGTAACTCTATCTTACACAAGGTTTGGCCAGAAATGGGTGAAATAGCGCACGTTTCTATGTGTGACTTGCTATGAGCCTTTTCCCTATAAAATCCCAATCAAGACTCTGATGTCGGTTTCTGAGGGGTAAATATGCCACTTGCATAGTTCTTTCGTGTGTGCAGTAACAGTCATAATTCTATAATCTGGTTGTTTGTCACGGTGATTTCTTAGAAAGACCCACGCTTTTACTATTCCCGGAAAAGGTAGCTGCAAAAGGAGTGGTTACGCAGAGTGCATGTTGACGGTCGACATTTCACGGATGAATTAAGCTTTTAAAGATTTCTGTTGTTGATGACGAGAGAGCGTTTATATTGTTCACTTCGTTAGCCTCTTCTTTTGTTCTTCTTTCGCATGGCTGTTCAACGCGTATTTTAAATTAACCTTTTTCAGGTGAGTATTAAGTATGAAACTCATCTGTTAGCAAGACTGGGCGACTGAAGAGCTTGGCGATGGAATATTTTATATTACGATTAGGTCAAATACCCCTCCTTTAAAACTCTCTCAAGTGATCAGGTAAAGAACTTCCTACCTAGAGGGTCTTTACGAACGCCAAGCGGCCACTCAATTAACCGTGACCAAACGTTCAATCTCACTTTTCGTTCGAAAGAATATGGAAAATTTTACAGAAATTGCCACTGAACTTGTAAGAATTTACAACCCGCTTAAACGAAAGGAGTTTGAGGCGCATTACCAGGGAGAACGCCAGATGCCATTGAAAGGAACCATGAGTGATGTTTTAGAGATCGACGAAGGGAACCCTTCCGCCTCAATAGTGGCAGAAATTTCAAGCACGGTCAATCAAAAATACGGTACAAAAGTCTGGAAAGGAATCACTGGGCCTGAAGATAGCGAGTACTTTGAAGATTATTGGCTATGGGTAGAGAGGTTCCGTCCAGCGCTGGAAGAAGGCAATAGTTACGTCTTCAAAATAGTGGAGTGCACTGCTTTTCAAGGCAGTGGCGAGTTCTTGTGCGGAATAAACTTGAAGGCTGCTATGATCACAAAGCTTTCTGATTCTGAATAACTCTGTTCTATATATCTGTATATTGTAGATATATCTGGCTTGGGCTTTACACATAGAAGAGGATTTTTGATAATACATATCATTGTACGTGGGCTTCGCGTACTTTCAGTTTTCGTGAAACGACTAGTTTAAAGGATGACGAGAACATTAGTTAGTCCACTGTAACCCTTTATAAGTTTATAGCAAGTGTACTGGATCTACTGTTTGCTTTATCTGTAGTTATATATCATCGGTAAATATGTGCATGCATGGATCAATTCTAAATAATTGTTGTATTATCTTGCCTGGGGTTTTGTGGTCCTTTTGCCTCAGAAGTGATATTTTCAACGGTTTTGAAGGCTTTTAGCTCGCCGTTTACTGTGCCTCAATAGATGATAATAATTGCGGGCAAAGAGCTAGACTAATTTTTTCTATGTTGCTCTCTTTATTAGCCTAAACTGAGACACTCTAAACAGACAGGTCAACGGATATTTGACGTTTTAAGTCAGGGTTTTAAGTTACTCGTAAATAAAACTCTAAATGGATGACCACACGAATTAGTTTCAGATTCCTCGTGCACTAATTTTCAAGATATTTATAATTAGAGAGGCCGTTATAACCAAAGAACGCCACACGGCGATCAAACAGAGTTACGCGTTCACAAATTTACGCGAAAACTCTGTAGTTGTTTCCCGGAAAAACCCACAAGGGGAGTGGTTACTTAGCGGCGGCTTGGGCTGGCGCACCGTTCTAGCCATAAACCGGGTAAAGTCACGTTTTATGCGAGTACCCAAGGGTCATTCTTGCTGATCGTATTATCAAAGTTTTAAATGACTGAGAAGTGTTCTAATTACATAACTTTTTTCCCTACTGGCACAAAGATTAGAATATACCGTAGACACAATACAGAAGATGAAAATGAGGTTATCCTGTAAAAAGGAATTAGGTTGGGTTGGTAAGGCGTAAGACGACGCGATTTCGCTGTACTTCGTTTTCCCGCCCGGCTTTTCAAGATGCTGATTTAGAGGCGACGGTACGATGTAGCACGTATACAGTCATGTATCAATTCACCCTTCAACTTTTGACATGGACCAGTCAAAGAAACCCATTGTCCGAAACGCGGGAAGATAGATAATAGCTTCGGAAAGGAGGGAAAGGTTTCTTACGTTTGTATTGAGGGAGCACAAACTTGAAAATTCGCTGAACATCCTGGAAACGACCCTCCTACCCCTCCCTAACCCAACATTTTGCCCTAAGTGAGAAGTTATTTTATTGTTGGTTTTGGGGAGGGATGGATGGGCAGTTCCCCAAAATCTTACACCACATAGTATAGTGATCCAAACTCGCAACTTTGCGAAGCCAAAGGTCATAACACATCATGGCTCGCCCTCCAATAGTGTTGGTGGATTTTCGTTAACTGGTCAATGTCAAAAGTTGAAAAAACACAGGAAGGTCTGTCTCAAACATGTCTGAAAGTCTCCAACATACGACGAGCAGCTACATAACCTGCGAACAGTACAACCGTCCCTTCTCGCTGGAGGCGACCTCGTTCCAAGAGATTTTTACTGGAAAGACCGATACATACCGGTATTCAGTAAAAAACTACCATACAAATAAAACTGTTTTTATATCGTTTATTCAGACTGAAATTTAAGATGCATTGTACAAGATACATTATTCAACCATCACGTCCAGGAACATAGATTAAATGCTTAGAACAAACACAACAAGGCATAAATGCCCCTGGAGACATAATTAGATCAAAGGACACACTATAATGCTAAATGCCAAACTCTGTAAACGAACCTGTTTTAAACTTTTGGTACTGTATCATCAGGGTTCGTACTATCTGTAGATTATGAAATTCCAGGAGTTTTCCGGGAGTTTTCCAGGGTATAAACAAAAAAACCAGGACCCCAGAGTTGTAAATTTCACATCAATTTTCTTTAGAACAAGTTACTTACCAAAAAAAAATGGTCCAAAAAAGTATTTTTCAATCCTACAACTAAGATTAATAGAAAAATTCAAGGAGTTTTCCAGGAGTTGATGCTAACATTGAATTTTCAAGGAGTTTTCCAGGGCCCTGGAAAAATTTTCAATTTCCAGGAATTTCTAGGAATTCCAGGAGTAGTGGGGACCCTGTTTCATATGCTGTACATGGAAGATCTACAAATTATTTGTATGTCTGTTGAGGAAATCCCAAAGTGTGATTATTCAGTTGAAAAATACTGAGCAGTAACTTTCCACAGGGCTGTTTATTGTGCCTTTTGAGGTGGCTCTAACCAAGCTCCTGCGTTTGATAGACCATTTTATTTTAACACTGTTGGGGGTTCCTACCCAGCCTCTCAGTGAACGTGAGGCTGAGGTTGACCTTGTTTTAATACAAACCTCCTTCCTTTTCTCACGGAAGTTTGCTTTTAAAATACCAGTTATCATAAGAACAAAATGATTTACATAATAAGAAGGAAGGGTTGTATATAAAAAAAACAGCAACTCCAGCCTCATTTCCACCTGTAACTGTAAAAAAGGGCTATTCCCACTGAAGCCTCTACACTTCATAGCACATGAATTTTCAATATTCTCTGTTCCAACATTTGACAATGGAATTGACAATGGAATTGATCAAGTGGATTCCAAAGTCACTTGATCTCAAGTTGGAGTCTGTTTTATTAGCTACTGAAAGTATTTTTCTGAGCCTGTGTGAAGACATCACCTGTTTGCTAAATATTTTCCTAAATTTTAGGTAGTTATGCTACCAATTTTTAAAGCAATCTGTGAATAATATCCTAATCATTATGTGCCAGACAGTGTTATATTTGTTTGTTATTAATATTATGTGAGAGGGGCCTACAAATTGATCCCACTTTTTTAAAGAACATTGCTCCTTTATGAGTTAAAAAGTGATATTGCTTGTTTTGCCGCCCACTTGAGCACTTTAATTGTCATGCAACAATTTTTCTTGTCAGTTCCGATTAACGGCAGATTCAGAAGAAGAGTCTTCCATTTTGCACAATGCATATTGCAACCCTGACATAACAAAAAAATTTGTGTTGCAAGCTGCTCACATGGATGGAAAAGTGAGCGAAATCAATCTGCAAGACTAACATAAAAAGTTGCGCAAATTTGTTGCCCATATTACCCAGCACCATATTACCTAGCAGCCTTAATATGATTTCGCCTGATGTGAGGGAATCCAAGACAGTCTTGGATTCTAGATTCCAGGTATTGGATTCTGAATGTTTTGTCAGCGAAACGTGGATTCTGGATTCCTTGAGCTGTATTCTGAATTATAAAGCCCAGGATCCTGGATTCCACAGCAAAAATTTGTTAGATTCCAGAAACAAAAAGCAAAAATTTCCTTCATTCTGGAATCAGAATTCCCTTACATGGTGCAACAGATTGGAAGCGGCAACTTTTAGAGTTTAGGCTGGTAGAAACTCACCTTTCCACCCAAGCAACCCAGAGAGAGAAGAGAATGCGTGGGTGAGAACCTACAAGTCACAACAGCTTGCTTGTGACTTATAAGTGTTTTTAAATCACACAGTTCTGAAGGTGTACTATGAACACAAGAAGATAGTTCATCACACTCAGGACTAAAACTCAGGATTCTTGCAGAATTACCAAATGGTGAGCATATGATTCGTCCATCATGGTTGAAGCAGTGTTCTTTTATATAGCCTTTGGCAACATTGGGTTCTTGTATGCTGTGAGTGAGGCGCCGTGGAGGAGAAATGTTCTCTTCACCTGAAAGGAAGAGAGATTGAAGAGTGACTATGGTCAAACCTTCATGTGCAACTGTCGTGGTTCAGTTTAACCTCCATTTACATTTTACTATCAGTCCCTGCCAAGGTATTCAATTTTTCAAATTTATTGACTGTAATAATTATTAGTAGTATACTACCAGGAAAGATTTTAAATAAATAAATAAATAAAAAATAAATAAATAAAAATTTTCTTTCCTTTGGGCTTCAATGTATGTGATAGCGTAAGACACAAAGGATAATAAAAATCAAACGAAAGTTGCAGGTATGCAAAATGCAAGTCTCCCTCACATGTATGTTTCCTCTTGTAAACTTTGACAGGTTTTGCTAAAACCAGGCCCACAGCCCACAGCCCATGAAAGCGAAGCAGCATGAACACCTAACAGCCAAGCATTCCATTCTTGATTTTCAAAAGGAGAGAAACCCAATGCCATTTCCAGAGTTTGTATTGCCATTGTCCTGTGGAATGGGCCACTGCTGGCTGTGGGCCCCTAGGCCGCGGGCCTACATTTAGCAAACCCAACTTTGAACTTAAGAACTTACTCCTGGGCTATACTGTATCTCTTAAAAAATATAGTGAGACGGTTTTCAAAAAGAGCCAGTGGCCAGCAAAATTCACCAGCTATTTCACGTGAACTCACCGCCTACTTTTCTTTGGAAATTATTCCAGTTTTTTCAAAATATTAAACATTATTTAAAACAGATACCATTTTCATACAAAAAATTGCAACCATTTTTCAAGGACTTTTCAAGGACCACCTACTACAGGGTGCAAAGAAAGTCAGTTTTACAGAATGCCATTCGGGCAAGCTGTAGCTAGCATGTGCTAGCCCACAAGTCATTCCAGCTAGCCCCAAAACCCTTTTTGATTAGCAGGGTTGATTACAATCCTTCTGTAATTTCAATTTCCCCAAAAAGGAGCACTTGCCCGTTGGGCAAGTTGAGAACAAAAATCACTAGCCCAATAGCAAAATCCACTATCCCCGGGCTATCAGACACGACTTTCTTTGCACGCTGTACTAGGAATGTAATTTCACAGATTGTACAAAAAATTCCATTCCCAGTCTATTCTAATAAGACTTAAGGCTTAAACTGTTTGCTTCACCAACCTGACTCAAACATTTTTCAGTCCACTGGTCTTAAATTGATAGTTAATTATTGCATAAAACAGAGCACTTTATGTAAATAACCTTTAAATTCTCTGAGCTATGATTTATATTTGTCTTGGACAACCAAAAAGCTTCAAAAAACTCTTTCGAGGCCACTACATCCAAAGTTGAAGAAAATTCAAGGACTTCTCAAGGACTTGCACAGTCATTTAAGGTCACTTTTCAAGGAAAAATGGAATTCAAGGACTTTTTAAGGACTTCCCCTAAAATTCAAGGACTTTTCAAGACTGTGCCAACCCTGGATACTGAAACAATCAATGGTTCAGAGGTATTGGCACGAAGAGTAAATTAAAAAAAAAAGTACATGTATTCATGTGCTGTCTCTGAATGAAAAAGCTTCAATTTAATGATGTCCGTGTTCTGTTCAAAAACTCTAACTTTTGCTATAGAATGTTTGAAATGCATTCTAAGAGGCACAGATTTCAAAATTTTTCCTGCGGACATGCCCCTGGACTCCCCCTTTTTTCCATCTCTGCCTACTCCAAAGCTTTTGCCACCTACTGTAGTAACTTACCATCCCTTCCCTCAGCTATGTCCTGAATATCATGAATCACAGTCCACTCATTCCTTGATTTCTTGCAGGTGTATCGAGCCAGTGTACACCATCCTTGTGGGTGTACCTCCACTGATGATATACACCATGGGGTACACTCTTCAGGAAAATCTTGAATAACCTCCAATGCATTTCTTCCCTTACTTGGCCACCGATGGCTTGCAAAGCTAACAAGGGAAGAATCTGTTGCATCCCAGTGGGGATACTCGTCACCTTTAATGTCATATTGCAGATAGTCTAGATCCAAATTATGCACCACTAGTAAATTACCGGGAATAGATGACATAATCATTTTGGAACCGCCCGGGCAAATTTTCATGCGAATTAAATTGGAAAACTGGAAAATAACACGGCTATTGACTCTTCCCTCATTTGAGTATCCATTGATATCCCATGTTCTGATTGTATCATCAAAAGCTGACGTCACCAGCAGACCAGACGGTCGATGAAACTCAATGCTTTTAACCCAATTTGCGTGGCCCTCTAAACTAAGCATTTTGCTTTTGAGGTTCCTGGAGTCCCATAAAGCTACAGTAGTGTCATCAGAGCACGTAACAAAGGTCCTACAGTCCAAGAATCGAACACAATTAACGCAATCGACATGAGCGTGTCGTAAGGTTTTAATCAGCTTGTGAGTCAGCGGATCAAACATAAGGAGGCTACGTCTTTCACAAGCTGCCACAAGAAGTTTACCAAAGGGAGAAAATTCTAGGTTGAAAATCGCTCCGTGCCCAACGTTATTTGGGTCATCCTCAGGGTCCACGATGTTTTTCAGCGAGAAATGTCTGTACAATTTGGCGGAGAAGGTATCGTTCTTCAGTGCACTTCGCATTCCGTGAACTTCGCGATGTGTGAGGTACGACAGAGATGTCCATCGTTTGGAACTATTGCAGCTTGCCTTGTTAGTGACGGCTGTGTCGGGCTTTGACTCTCCCATTACTAAGACGATAAGAAATTTTCTACCTCTTTCGCCTACCTTTTTGGGTCAAAACAAATATAATGTACGTATTTTTCGGAGAAAGTGTTGAGAAAGTGAAAGACTGGCACGATTTTAACTCCTTACCAGTTTCTCCCTTACAGAATGGAAACGAGGTCGAGAGGGTTGACGGGGCCGGCAATATCACACAGAAAGATCGAATTAATCAGTAGAGTCAAAATAATAAAATTTGTTGAAATAAAGTACAAATAATAATAATAGCTGGGGTTGCTTTCCCCCAGCAACATTTGAACAATGTAAACTTAAGAACACAGAAAAAACACTGCAAAAACCACGTCCTACCACGTCATATTATGTAATTTCCGGTCATTATTTTACTTCATATATATTTATGTAAATTCGTGATATCTAAATAAACATGATGAAGACTGTTATTGGCCAGTCGAAATATCGCAACTAAACTCTATTTCACGTTGTTTGATCAGTCCCTGCTAAAGTCTTCTTGACTGTAAAGTTTCCATTAAAGGGAACCTCCACTTCAACAAAAAGATAACTTTCAATCACAGGAAATAATTGTTACAGTCAAGTCAATCTAAAATATTTTTAAAGAAAGCGTTTGTATCCGAAAGAAATAACTTTTATATTTGCTTATTTTTGTTTTCAAATTTTGCAGGCGTCGCCATCTTGAATAATTGTGAAGTGTTACAGTTGCCCTTAAACAAAAGCAGTCTTTGTGTCAGAACAATAGAGCAACCGTAACACGTCACAATTATTCAAGATGGCGGCGCCCGCGAAATTTGAAAGTGAAAATAAGCGATTTTAAAATTCACTTTTCCTGATATAAACACTTTTTTTAAGGACAAATTTTGAACAAATTTGTTTATCAACATAATTTTATTCGATTTAAACTAATTCTGTAGTAAGAGTGGAGGTTCCCTTTAAGAACACACTTGGGCCACACCTCAGATTACCCTAAAAATGACCAAAAAGAAAAAGAAAACAATAAAGGAAGGAAAAAAAAACTCCTTTGAGGCTTAAATTTCAGACCCCTTTTTTATACCCATGGCTTATCCTCCTGGCCCCAGTTGTTCAAAGGCTTGACAACGCCAGGGGCGGATCTAGGGGGAGGGTGCAGGGGGTGCACACCCCCCCTGGGATGACCTGCGGCCGCTTTCTAATTAACACTGTGCAGTCGCTTCACAGTCATACAAAATCTGCTCTATCGTTTGATATGTATTCTCCGCAGTTCACATTATGTTATGTCCTAGTCAAAAGCCCTCTTCTTCGTATTCGCTTTTAAAATTTCTTACGTCATCAGTCAGTTAGTGGTGCACCCCCTCCTACGCTATCCACTGAATAAATCTTTGTGCAGTGGATAATGCAATATTATTAGTTTCTGTAACCAGTTATCTGCTGGATAGTGCTATCCAACGTTTGACAAACCAGGGCCTGGGTTCTATACTCACTCGTATTTTACCTATCGATGAAAACTGTCAGATCTGGGGATATAAAAATCACGTACTTTACAAGTTTTAACGGCATTCTTTAGATTCATATTGTTTTTCTCACCTGACAGGGATGGGTGATTGTATTTTGAAGCAAGGTGATAGGTGGCTCTTAATCTTGTACCCATATCTCCCATGGCCAAGAGAAAAGAAGATCTCACTTTTCAGTGTAAAACAGAGTGAGATCTGGGTACGTGATTAGGTGGCTCTGCTAAATAATCACTCGCCCTTCCAGCAAGCTGTTGGTGAAGTTTATAGCCCAGAACAGTTGCACAGGCCTACCAACCCTTTTCACCAACATTTTCTTTAACTTGGCATATGTTGCTTGCCATGGACAACTTGTACAAAAATAAAACATGCAAGTCTGATGAGTTATTCCTCTAGCCCTGGGCTATCGGACAGCACTTTTGTTTTGCCCTGAGCATATTTTTCTAAAATATTAAAACCACTGTTAGGCTGTGCACATGGCAATCAAGAACGACAGAATTTGAAAAATCCTGTGAGACAAGTGGAGGGGGGGAGGGTGGAAGGGGAGGTTATATACTGAAAAAAAAATGCTATTTTCAAAAACCAGCTTAACAGTCTAACTGATTATTACAGAAACTATACTTTATTTTTCTTTTTAAAGAGACCTGAGGATACTACAACCATCATTATATTGCAATTCCTAATGAAAGAATATTATTTACAATAATATTTAATTGCTGTAGCTCAATCAAATAAAATACGGGGGTTTTCTGACAGTTATTCCATATTCACTCAGCGCTGGGCTCAAGTCTTCCATTGTCAGTGTGTATCTCTTGTCCTGCAAAGTAACATATACATGGGCTAGTTCAAATGCCAATAGAATAGAGGGTTAAAGTAAAAAGAGAAAATAATAATAATAACAACAGATTTATTATCCCACTTAAAAATATAATAAAATAATAGTAGGCAGGGAATTGGACAGCTAGGAAGTTCTTTTGGTTCTATTTAATAAATCCTTTTGTTTCCTATAAAAGTAACCAGGGGTCATGCTATTAGTGGCTAAGGGACAATTCCCCAGCCACCAGCCCCTAGATTTCAAGTTGCTGGTAAATGCAATTGTTAATTATTGCATACACCCAGTAACTTGAAATCTTAGTGACAGCCATATAAAACAATTATTATTGCATCACTGAAATAAGGCTGCATTTCTTGAAGTGGTAGTACTTGAGCTGTATTCAGTATGAGCTCATCAGGCGAAGGAATCTTTAGAATGGTTTTGTTGTTGAAAATTAAAACTGACTTACTTTGCCTGATTTTCTAGAACTTTGCCCTGAACCTCTCATCTTGCAGTGTTGAAGGGCATCATTTGCAATGTCTGATACAAACTTCTGAGCAGCAAGGGAAATCATTCTCACTCTACAGAGAAGGGAAATAAAAAACCACAATAATAATATATTACATTAGAGATGTGTAATGCTGTAATAATGATAATGACTGTATTGAGTTTTAGCTTTCTGTAGAAACAATGTACGTAATTTGTTTGTGAGTTTCCAAGGACCACTTTGTTACAACTCTTTAGTCAATGAGCTCAAAGATTCTACTTCTCTCTCCTCATTCAAATCTAAACTTTGTAAATATTTCTATGAGAATCATTAATCATAAACCTTGCAAATAGTTATTTTTCTTCATAGCTTCCCATTATTTAGGTTATATGTTTGTTACTATACTTATAAATATTTATAGTAGTTATTTACTTTTTATCAATGTCATTTAATTACTCAATATACGCTCAATCCTGGCCTTGTAAACGTATACTTTTATCTGTGAGGGAGCCCAATATCTAGAGCCGTATGTGCTTCTGTCCATTTCTGTATTCTTGCATTTTTTTGTGGTGATAAAAAAATAAACTGAAACTGAAATTTATTACTCCTTAAAATCAAAACTGTTAACACTTACAAAATTTATAAGACAGAACTCAGAACTTACACTCTTGGATCTGTTGTGTCAAATCCTGACCGGTTTAAATAAAATGCTGTAACAGCATCTGGTATCTGAGGGTGTAAGAAGAAGTCTGTTTAGTACACTCAGTAGCTAAAATTAACAATGGAAGGGCTTGGGAGAAAGCTAACTGAACAGCCCAGTCAAAATGTTTTAAGGTAGAAGGCAGGATAACTGGTTGGAGTACACTGTCCATGTGTAGCAGGCAGCAAAGGCCTTAATTTGTAAGGTTATTATTTAATATTATAAAACCTAAGTGTTGAGTAGGAGGTAAATACTTCACTGGAAGTAACTTCCAGCTCATTTGACTAGGATGATTCAAATGGCAATTTTGCCTGGCTGAAAAGCAAACTGCTCTAAAAATTTTCTTGCTGAACACACAATCAGTAGCAGGAACATGAGAAAAAGTCTTGAGACAGTCATTCTTACAATACTCTTATACTTTTAACAAGGCATTCAAGGGGAATTCTCACTTGTACTTGAGAGTGTTTTGAATCTATACTGTACATACATCCCTTCTACCTTACATTCTCTGAGAGGAAGGCCTATCTCAATGAGAATGATGAGGTCACTTTCATTGAGTTCCCTAAACCCTCCCCTCTAATAAGCTCTACCTTTTCATAGGAAGAAAGTTAATAAGTCTCCCTCTCTCCCTTATTATGTTTCACTAAATAAATAAATAAGACTGTATGAGTCAATCACGACTGTAGAATTTTGTATGGACTGATCCAGAATGGTTTATTCACCAGCTAGGAGTTCGGATGTGTTTTTGATCTTTGACTGAATGACCTCTAACTTCTTGCATTTGAGCTTTTCCACTTTGAATTCTAGTTGTTTATGGAGAACTGATACCATTATCTTTGCTAAATTAAGTAAGACCCCCAATCTTTATTAAGCCCCCCCTTAGAGGATTTACGGTATCATTAAAAGAGGGTCTAAGGGTGCCTTCCACTGGGATGATCCAGATAAAGACCAAAGATCCGAGATAACTCAGATTATAACACAGTAAGGAAACCAAAGAAACCACCCTGGGAAAGGATTCATGGGCTCATTTGATGTACCATCATCCAAGTGACCTTGCATCACTGATCCTGATTTGGATCATCCCGAGGGACCCCCTATTAAGTGTGGGGTCAATGTTTCTTGCGGTAATATAATATAAGGGAAGATTTTTGTACTGACCCATACACTACAAAGCATTAAATTCAGAATAATAATAAAAATTATAATCAACCCCTGTTTTGTGAACACTATTGAGACTATCAGTTAGTACCCTGAATAGCTGGAGTCCATACCGGTACTTTATTTTTACCAAGGATTTAACTGCTCTGCATATTACTGGAGTGTCTGTAATAGCGAGGTGTCTGCAAGGTTTTACCTGCCAACTGTCACGCCTTAGGCGTGAGTCTCACGCCTGCGGGTTGAAAACTTCGATCTCATGCCCGCTCACGCCTGCAGACCAATTTCTCACGCCTGATTGAAAAATGTGAGTTGTTGCCGTCTTGCTTGACACAATTTCCAAAAATATGTTAACTCAGACCCATGTAAGGAACGAAAACCATGTGTAAAATGAATAAATGACTGATCTCTGAGATTTTCGGAAGACTTCGGACTTCTTCGGGAATCTTCGGAAATGATCGTGTCGTTTTCAAAAATCCGAGCACTCCCAGGATAAAAATCTCACGCCTACATCTCAGAAAAAGTTGGCAGGTATATTTACTTAGAAACTTTATGGAAAGCTGATGTATGGGGCCTAAAGGATATCTTGCAAAGTCAAATGTATATTCATTTTGAGGGCAAAAATTAATTATCCCATACGCCATTGCAATTGTACATTATTTTAAAACATCCATGGCTTTGCACTGTTTCTTTTCCTAAGAACCAATACACGACCATGAGCGCACTTTAAATAGAACAATGTACAGGTAATAATAGAAAATGAAACCACAATAGAAAATAAATAAAAACAATAATAATAAGCTTATTATAAGCTTAATTTACCGTCGGCGTGTAGTCTTCCAGTTGTGTTAAAAATTCCCCCAGAGATGCTCCAGCGTGCCTGACCTTTGTGTCTACATTAGATGACGCTGCCGTATTTGTGTTAGAAACCGCAGATTGAGCCGCTTGTGGCTGGCTACTGGCTGCACTCACTTTGCTTTGAGCAGAGGTCGCGACAGAAGCATTTGTTTGTGATCCAGAACCGTCCGCCATCTTTGTTACTGCCCTTTTAAGCATGCGCTCATATGATAACGCTGGCCATGATAAATGCAGATTCAAACAAACATGGCAAACAGGTGGAACAACAACAGCTGGTGGAAAGGGTGCGCGAAAGGCGGAATTTTTCAAATGATTTCACTTGTTACGGAGTCAGAAAATCTGAAATTGATAGATGTTGTCTCTGATTATAAGGGAATTAGAGAAATGGATTCGAAAAGAGAAAAAGAAAAGAAGAAGGGAAAAATTGGTCAGGAGAGGATTATTGAGGATGAATCTCGAGAGGAAACGTTTTTCACAGACGTCCATGCAGCTGCTATGCTGGTAGCAAATTAATAATTTAAGGTGTTTTCTTGTTGTGACAGGTCACTAAGAACTGAGAGGTAAGATGCTTACATAGCGATCTAAGCAGTAATTAGTTCGTATTTGTTTGATGATGACTCAAAGTGCTCGTGTTTGCGGCGTGTTTCTGGTGAATGTATGTGAGAATTTAGCTCGCAGTTGTTAGCTCTATGCCTAAAAGTAAACGCCAGGGTGAGATCATTCGCAATAGGTAGAAATGGCCGAAGTAGAGCGAGCTCTTATCGCTGCCAAAGATGGCGATCTTCAAACCTTAAGATCACTTCGTCGTATAGTTCCCGTGGCGGCAGATGGCTTTGGAGCGACCGCCCTTCATTATGCTACCCGAACAGGTCAAATGGAATGCGTTGAATGGCTGGTGGAAGCCGTCGGAATCTCTTACAATGTACGCGGAACAAGCGGAGCTACACCAATGCACGATGCTGCGGCACAAGGACAGCTAGAATGCGTCAAATACTTTCTTGCAAACGGCGCTGATGTTGAGACAAGAGACAGATCAGGGCATACCGCATTGCATTTGGCAGCAAGGTTTGGGAGGTTTGAGATGGTGAAGTGGTTGACTGAGAAGGTGAATGGTTATGCAAGGGCCAAGTCAAGGAATCATATGACACCAGTGCACTTTGCAGCTTCCGGAGGCCATCTTACTTGCCTCCAGCTTTTGGTTTTCAAAGCTGGATACAGGTAAGCTGTCAGTCTGTTAAATAAAAGAATTTCTCTATCTTTCAGTGCTTTGTCTTTGTAGCACTATTGCATCCTATAATGAAAAATGCTATCAATCCAGCTTTGCAATTTTCAGTTTTCATTGTAGCTATCAGGGCTGTCATTAAGTTTTTAAGCAGCTGTAGCATCTCACAAAAATTTATAGTGCCACCTTTAGCTTTCCACTTTGATCACCCATAACATGATTCAAAGGTGCTCAACCATAACAGGTGTTACGGGTTATGGCCCTTAATGACAGCTTTGGCTATTTCTCTGTTTGGGTACTTTTCAACTCTCAAGTGATGTTTAACTCATGTAAGCTTCAAGCTTCTTTTCTGTCTTTGCCCTGGTCAGCACCTCAATCCCCAGAGGCAAAGGTATAGTGTTGTAAGACAAATATTATAAGGTACACTTTAACCCTTTACGTCCCAAGAGTGACCAACATCAATTTTCTCCTAACTGTATCAATAAATAATCAAGAGAAAAGGTAACGAGAATCAGTAAAATGATCACCAAAGGGAAAATGCTTTGATCTTTTATCAAATTCTCTCAACTAATCTCAAAGGAAACGTATGAAGATCAGTTTTGAGAATTATTATGTGGATATTGGCAGTTAAAGGGTTAAACCTGAGACAGCCCTCATGCTTGGGACCTATCCTGGGTTGAACTGGCTCACACAGTGCCAAGGAGATGTTCTTTTATAAAATTATTTAGTGTGGTGGTCCACCCTAAGCATGTGCTTAGGGTGTCGATTAAGGCAAGACTTGGACTCAAGAGAAAAAGGTACGGTATCAGCCCATTCCCCACCCTAGAACCATTTTGCATAGGCTTGATAGAAAAAAAAAAGAAAATAATATGATTACATATCCCCTGCATGAAGTCAGAGCATCAGGTGTAAAATGTTATTGTCACTACCACCCCTCAGAAGGTTCATCCTAAGAAAAGCTCTGATCTTCCCGCAGAGGAGAGTACCATCAGTCCTGTTACAGTGTAGTGTGTGCTAATTCTGAATGATTTATACAATTGTTATCTTTTAGTTCTGTTAATGATGCTGCAACAGATGGAACCACTCCTTTGTATCTTGCAACACAAGATGGTAACTTGGATTGCCTAAAGTATCTTCACAGTGTCGGTGGGAAGTGTGATGCAAGAGCCAGAGATGGAATGCTGCCTGTTCATGCAGCAGCTCAGAATGGACATCTGGACTGTCTGGGATATCTGGTAAAAAAAAGAAGTTATCGTATTTTTTTTGTTTATAAGGCGCAGCATTTTTTCATTGAAAGTTTGCTTGATAGCAGCTCTAAATCTGTTGTTACATAATTTCCGGGTGCATCTTATAACTGAGTATCTTCGGGCAACTAAACAAAATTGAGTCAAATTCGTGACTCTGAAAGCTCTAACTTCTGATAAAGTGCCAATTTCTTGTTCCAGTTTGCCTTTTATTATGCTTATGAATCAAAGTGAGAATCTGTTTTTTTTCTAATCCTCTGTATACTGCTTAGTTAAGAATTTTGTCTATTCCACATTCATTGATTTGGTGTTTAATGTTTAGCCTTGATCACAGAGGAATCCCATGTTACCACGATCGCATCATGCCACCATGTCGATAAAACTATAACTAGATTTTCAAGGTCTTTAAGTGGTTGTGTTAATGGTTGGGTTTCAACGTGCAGTATATGACGTGAACATGTATATGCCTTAGGGATCTTTTGAATGAGCTACATTTGTAGCTGTTGACGGTAGGCTGGTGGTTAAGCGTATGCTTAAAGGGACTAATGTCACAGCATTTGCTTTCTTTCTTAAAAGACTTTTGTTCCATCAATTGAATTCCAAAAATAATGGTCCAGTTTTGTCAGTCAAGACTATATTTGGGCATTGAAACTGTCATTATGGTTTTTAGGGCTACCTGATATGAATTCTCTGATTTCTACTTCGTAACTCTACAGGTCACATTTTGTGTATGAGTAAAATGCTTGGCACCAAGTAATCACTTCAGTGCAGAATTGACCTAAAACAGCAATATCAATATCATTGTGACATAGTCCCTTTAATTGGAATGAAAACAAAATATGACAATTATTAAAGAAGTTTCATATCTCATTTAATTTTTTTTGTGTTTAACAAACTAAAATATATTATAATGTTATTAATAGTACCATACGAAAGTATCAATGAAGAGATAATCTTTTGGATGGGTTAATACTATACACCATATGATTTCATCCAAAGACTTAGCACTTTCACTCATAGACTATTTTGTGGTGAGATGAACAATTGAATTTGTTGCTCTAGAATCTTTTGAGGAAATGCTATGTTTTTACCTTTCAAAACTTTAAGAAACCTCTTTTGCAGAACTTTTGTATGATACTCAGCGCTTGAAAAAAGTCCTGTTCACTAGTGCGGGACAAGTAAATTTTCTAGCATGGCAAGTGACCTTTTAAGCTTACTTGGTATGCTCAGTGGACAACAGTCTGGGCAAGTCATCCTCTTAGAACAAAATCATTAACTAAGACAAACAAGAAGTGACCGAGCTGCTTAGCCAAAGGACAAGCTCCATTATTACAGGGGTTTATTTATTTCCTAACATTTAAAAAAAAAACCTGGATTTTTTTTTATTGGCCCCTTTCAGGAGTGAAAGCATTTAAGTTTTAGCTAATTCACCATGACTGACTTTTTGGCAGATTGAAAGTGGCCAAGCTGATGTAGATGAAAGAGACACAACAGGTGCTACACCTGCTCATTATGCTGCAGCACAAGGTAAGCAAAATAATGTATTAATAATAAATAATTATTAGTAGGATGATCAACAATGCAGGGCTGTCAATAAGGGCCAGTAGCCGGCCAAAACCAGCGGCTAGTTACAAGGCTAGTTTGCCATCCTTAGCTGGCTACTTTCATCTCCTTCCACCACAGGATCTAACAAAAAATAAGTACCATTGAATTAAATAAGTATTGTAAAGCATCTGTTTCCCAGTTTTGAATGACATTGAACGCATATTTAAACATGATTAGATCTGTGAAACATTAGAACCATGCAATGTTGTGGAACGTCTGGGACATTTCTGAGACCGTAACAAAATGTCCCTCGTACCTCGTCCCTTAAGAACTTGAGCCTTGGGTGCGAGTTCCAAAGCCGCCTACTATTTATTATCAGCCTGCTATTTAAAAACTTTTTGACAGCCCTGCAATGTAAAGTGTTGCCATGGGAAAAAGCTTTTAACAAGGTTGTATTTTGCAGTTCTCTCTGTATGTTTCAGGACATGTGAATGTTTTGAAATGGCTGAATGCCAAAGGTGACATTTCATCAACTGACACACTTGGTGGCTCACCACTACATGATGCAGCAGAACAGGGTCAATTTGAGGTTTGTTGTTAAAATGGCTACACTTCTCTTACACATCAGTTCTTTGTGTTAAAAATTAATTTTTTCTTGCTGTGGAGATGTTTGAATGTTGAATGAATGTGTTAATTTAAAATTGTTGACATACAGTAAACATGCAAATGTAAATTATAATTATGTATTTCCTGACTTTTTTCTTTCTCTTTTTCTTTCTCTCTTCCCCAATTGTCTGGGATGGTTGGACACACATGGGGGAGGGGGGGGAATTGGGAGTGTTCTATTTTCTCGAAGGTTCCCAGATTTCTGCTAGAATGGCTGGAATCGTGCCAAACATATAAAAACTCAAATTTATACTGTCTGGGATGTTGGGTATCAATGGCCAATCGTATTTGTACCTATCCTCAAACTGCTTAGCTCTAGTCTTTTCCCTCATAAATCAAAATGGTGTCTGGGACAGACTCCGAGATTTTCCTGACATAATAACCAGGATAATCGGGAAACAGTAAGGTTGCTGATCATCTGGGATTTTCCTGACATGAGAAAGCCATGGTAATTAATTGTGATACTGTTATTTATCTTTCTTATTTTAGTGCATTAGATACCTAGTTGAAACCCTTGACTTGGATGTCAATCAGAAAGACAGGGAAGGATTGACACCATTACATTTGGCAAAAATAAGCGGCCACCGAAAGTGCACAGATTATCTTAAGATAGCCACATCAAGGGTGAGTGTTATGTTAATCCATTGCAACATTCTTAGCAAACATGTATTGATGCAAGTTTATGCTACTGTACTTGTCATATTTCTACTAAGAATATATTGTTGAACTGCTGGGAATGATCATTATGTCATAAAACAATCAGGTGTTCTTGCATGTAAGTGTAAAAAGCACAGTTAAAAATACAGTGGAACCTTGATATGACAAAGCACCAAGGAAATGGCAAAAATGTTTACTATAACAAGGTTTCATTATATTGAGGTTCTTTCCCTCATATTTTACAATTGGGGTGAAGAATTTTGTTTGTTATACTGCAGACTTTATTATGTAGCTCTGGGTTCATTAGTTGAGGCTCCACTGAACACAATTTCATCATTAATTATTTGAGGAAGCTAACTTAAAAAAAGGATAGAATTATTTAATTGCAGGAATGCAAAGCTAAGCTCATGGACAGTAAGTTGCTTCTCCAGTCCACTCCAAATTGACGTTCAAAAACAATAAATTGTGTGATCATCTCTGAAGTGCCTTAATCCACTGTGATAATGTCTATTTTCTTCAAGTTCTTTTTTTCTTCTTTTTTAAATCAAAACACTCTTTTAGAATTTTTTTTTTTTCATGTGTCGATTTTGGAATAGAGAAGTGGCTTACTCTAGGAAAGGTTTTTCTATGCCATCAATTTTTCATTCTTTTGCACTTTTTAACTTCAGTTGTTACTTAAAGCAATGCTACTTAAATAGAATCTAGAAACACTTAAATTTCATAACCAAGGAAATAACATTCATATTCATGCAGTAATTTCAATATACATATTCATTCTACTTTCATCACGTCATTGAACAAAGAACCAAGACTACGTTAGTTGACAACAAAAGCTAACTAAAAGTAGAAAACGTAAACGAGACTGACTAACAATAAAAACAAACCAAGAAGATTATTATTTCAGATCAGTAAGAAGACATATCATCAAAAGTGATGCACCCATTCTTAACCTAAGTACATCTTATGCAAAGAAATGGGGCAGAGAAATTCTTCTTGCATAAACTGATTCGGTTACGCCCTAACTGTTTTATTAATTTGTGTGTGTGTGTGTGTGTGTGTGTGTGTGTGTGTGTGTGTGTGCGCGCGCGCGTTTTTTGCCTATATATCACAAACAAGAAGTCTACAACACTTGATATTTTCAAGCAAGATGTTAAGCACTGAAAGCAACAAGAAAATGAGCCTAAAAATAAATAGAAGCAACAGCCAAAAATTGAAATTTATTTGATGTCCAAATTGCGATGTGAATGAAATTAACTAGGCTTTTGGCAATAGTTGGTCACATGATCAACTTCCTGTAAACGCGGAAACAGGCGAACCGTTTTCGTGTTTGCAGAAAGTTGATCACGTGATCAACTAATGCAAAAGGCCTTATAAGCCTTCGAAAGATAGATAAGACTATTATAAGTCAATGCCAAGTTAAAATTACTGACATTGTAAAGAGAATAAAACTTCACTGACAACCAAGAGAGTCGTTAACACATGCATGATTCAACCGATGACCTTTTACAAGCTTGCACAGTGCACAAAGTTTGTAATGCAATATTTTTTCTTCTAGAATTAAAAAAACTGATAAATAATTGTATTTTTTTCGGCTTAAGCGACCTTTTAAACCAGAAAAACACCAGATAATACCAATGAATAGACTTGTTGTGAAACTCCAAAGCAACTGGATAACAAATAGCAAAGACTGTTTTTCCCAGCTCAGTACAATGTTATACAACGATACTGGACAATCTGGACATTCTCAACTGTCAATCACTGTTACGTCACCCATCAGCAAAGCAATGCTCACTGATTTCGCCGTTCACATACACCACGCTTTTATCCACTCTGATACTTTTTATATTTCGTCAACAAATACGCAGGCAACAAAGACCCACCGCAAAAGCCACAACCAACTACGATAGCTGTTAAGCAAGGCAAACTCTAAGTTAAGTTTTTAGCACACCATAGTTATTAGAGGAGACTGGCTATGAAAAGCGGCAAACATCAATGATAAAAACAACAGTGCTGCAGTTTATGTTGGAAGCACCCTGAAAGTGCACAATCCTTTGTTTTCTGTTGGCAAATTGTTACGGAATAAATTAATGCAACGTTTTTATTGGTCAATACAATCAAAATGATAGGAATTCTTTTGAACGTTGTGCACTTTCAGGTCCACAAAAACATATAACAAAGGAGTCTGACGGGTTTCATAACCATTCCACTTCGTCATTTCGTCTTGAGTGAGCCTAGGTGGACATTGCTGTTTTGTTTGGCTTTGTGCCTTAGTCGTATAATGCCTCCTTTTAAATTACTTTATCTTTTTCATCGTACAGTATGTAGACTGTTCACAGTCCTCTATTTTTCCGTACGATCGTCGAGATCGAGCGCTTTGCATTACGGGCCGCTATCTTGCATGAGTGTCAGAACTACTTAGGGGGCCGGGGCGGTTTGGGAGGAAGCGAAAAAATAGGCCCCCCTCCCCCTAGAGCTGTAATCCCCGACGCCCGCCCCCTAGGTACATTTGAAAATCAAGATGGCCGCCATTAACTGTAAGACGCGCTATATCTCGACGATCTCACGAAAAAAATAGGGGACTGTGAACAGTCTATACAGTATACGACACAAAATATTTGTAACCTCAATGCCTATTTGCTCAATTTCTTTTCCAAACGGATAATGAATCTCTTAATCATATACTCTCGACAAGGATTAAATTATCTAGAATGGGCTTTTTGTTCATTTATTGTAATACACGTAGATTGTAAATATCAATTATACATTCCTGGTGTTACTTGAATGTTCTGAAGTTTACAGAAAGTTGATCAGAGTGAAAATAGTTATTTCAACCTAGCTGGTTAATAACTTACATTAGACAAAAACGTCGAAATTTTTGAAAAATGGTTATTTTTAAAAGCAGAAAACTACAACAACTTTCTGCGAATTTGTATATAAGTGAAATGTGACTGTAAAGACTCTATTGCTTTTGTTTATGTGAGTTAACCGTAACGTTTCTGAGGAAAATAAATAGAGAAACTGAGACTTGTTAGAGACTAAATTAAAGTAAAGTAACCGCAATTGACACGAAATGTTAATATCGTAATATGTTGTATACAGATTAATAAACTTACAACTTAATCTTTGTTTTATTTATTCTTATGTTAATCCTCGCATTTGCTGAGTAAGCTGAATCTGAAACAAAGTCCAAAAACATTCCTGTAAGTTGTTGGGTAATGATGTCTGACCACTTTGTTGCACCATAAAGAGGTTGAACACAACACTGCACTCTTAAATTAAAAGAGAGAAATAATTGATTTTGCTTTTTTAATCATTAGCAAAAGACGGTGATTTAGAAGGCATAAATGTTTGTAATGCTTTATAACAATTTTGTTAATCCTACGCACCTTATTTACTGTTATCAGAGGGTTTTTTTTTTTCGAGGATTTGGCATTGAATCAAATTTGTTTGTACACTGCCTTTATCTATTTATTCATGTGTTTATTTATTTTGGGGAGGAGAAAGGTGAAGATGTTGAGATGTTGTATTAATGATAGACTGCAAAACAGTCGTTTTCCATTTTTCTCAAAACTATTCTCGTTGAGCGCTGATTGGTGGCGTAAAATTCTCATGCAAAGCAAGCGAGTTTCGTCCTTCGTTTTTCAAACCTGACTTCCGTATGACTAGCGCAAAAATTTGTTTGACAAGCGAAAAAATCCTGCTGTTTTGCAATCTAGGTGAATCCCCTTCCTTATATGAAATTATGATTGTGATTCATGTGTTATTAGAAACTAACGTTTACGTTTCAGAAACTTCCCCCAGACATGAGCCATGCAGGGCTTGAAATGCTTCTTGATTTTGTTAGTGTCCATTTATTTTAATACCTGTAGTCAAAGCACAGTTGCACTTAGAGATTATTAATATTAGCTTATCAAATTTAACACTAACACATGTAGTTTGTTATCTGGCCCTTCCTTAAGTACTTTTATTTCTGTAGAATTAGGCAAATTTGGCAAAGACAACGAGTCGACAGTAGCGACGGCGCACGCAAATCTAAAAACTGCTTTGAACCTGGCTTTCACAAATGGAAGAGCGGCAAATAATCGAGCCGCGTTTAGTCCTTTCCGCGCGTTTTGGCATTCTCGTCTCACAACAAAGAAACAGTACCACAGGAGAGTACTGCTCAGTAGCTTGCATGAAAATGATCACACTTTTGGATCTTCCTTTAAAGACTCAAACTAAATGAACTGAAAACCACCTTATACAGCGCAGCAAACAGTGTCACAGGAAAGTACTGCTTCGTAGCTTCAATTTGAATGGTCACACTTCATGATTTGATCCACAGACGCATAAGTTAGAACCACATTGTACAGCATAATAAATTGTATCACAGGAAAGTACTGCTCAGTAGCTTCAATTTGAATAGACTGCGAGCAGACTCTTTTTCTTCAGATTTAGTAAGGGGAGTGCACGCGTGCGCGAGCGCGAGCGCGGCAGCGGCCTCTCCCGTCTCGCGCCTTCAGTCACGCGCGTGGTCATTTGCGTGTTTCTGGCGTTTTGCTCGACGGACCAAGAAAAAAGAGAGACTGCTCGTAGTCTACGATTTGAATGGTCACTCTCCATGATTTTATCCACAGACGCATAATTTAGAACCACATTGTACAGCGTATTAAATTGTACCACAAGAAAGTACTGCTAAGTAGCTTTCATTTGAATGGTCACAACATAGGATTTCGTCAACAGACTCGAAAGTTAGAACCACCATGTACAGCATAATAAACAGTACCACACGAAAGAACTGCTAGGTAGCTTTTATTTGAACGATCACACGTCCAGAGACTCAAACGTTAGTATTAAATCACTTGCCTCCATAACAGACTGCGTGCGTGGAAAGGCTAAACGCAAAGCGACGCAAAAAGCATTAAAAACTGACCTCCTAAAAGCGAGTTGCTCGAATAGCACAGGTTTACACTTTGCCCAGCCTCATGTCTGCCCTTTTATTCTTCTTTCATTCTACAGCAAGCCAAGGCACAAAAACGACAAGGGCAAACCAGCAAACGGGTTAATCAAGACAATAGCAATTCCTTTTCATCTTTCGCAAGTTCAAATGAAAAGGTTCAAGAAAGAAAATTTGTTTCTGGTAAACCAGCCACAGAAAGGAGCTCCTCAATAGTGAAGGAGGCAGCTCCTTGGCAGCAAACTACGAACAAGGGCGTCGTGAGGCCGAAAAGTGACAGCAGCAACCGCAGTAAAGTAGATGAAGGGATGGAACAAGCAAAGATGGAATCAGTGAATCACAGGTCAAAACACGTGCACTCTGTTGCTAACGGCAACAACAATTTGAGCGACAGTGGTAGAAAGGAGGGATCTAACAACAGCAACAACAACAACAACAACAGAAGCAGCAGAGAAAGCAACAATATCAAAGAAAGTCTAACAAAAAAGAACTCTACAGATAATTCTTCCTCATCTGCAGCAGCACCAAGCTCCCACGGTTACGATTCTCCACTGTACGCCAGTCTGCAGTCAGAACGGGTCAAACCCCTCAGGGAAAGACAAATGCAACCCTTGCCTCATTTTGGTGACATTCTTCCTCCACCGGTCGAGTTTTCAAAGTCCTCAGGTAAAGGGAGTTTATTTTTATTTCCTTTAAGACAAAATTGTAGCAATAGTTAAAGTCCCCAATAGGTTCTTCGGGTTTCTAGGTTTGCCTCATTTGAAGGCCGAGATTCGGGATTGAAAATCAATGCAAGGGATACGGGATGCCAAAAATAACCCTCGGGATTACGGGATTGAGGGAAAAGATGACGGTATGAAAGAACCCTAGTGGGGACCCTCGAGACAGAAGAGCATCACCATTTTCTTGACGGAATAACAAGGGGTGGTGATAAAATTACCCGGTATGTATGGGGTGGTATAGAAGATCAAAGAACCAGTGTTAGTGAACCAACAGTCAATCAGTAATCGACATTGTAAACGACCTTTATTGTAAACAGACCGATACCCCCTTTTAGAGAGTAAGGCACAATAAAGATTTACTGTTACTGTTAGTCAGTCAGTTGGTCAGTCAGTAAGTCAGTCAGTCTGTCAGTCAGTCAGTCGGTCGGCCAGCTGGCCGGTCGGTCAGCCGGTTGGTCAGTCATTCAGTCAGTCAGTCAGCCAGGCAGTCAGTCAGCCGGTCAGTCAGTCTGAAAGTACACTGTAAATCATGAGTCATAAGTAAGACGTTCAGCGGTAAGAGGGCAATCAGTCGGTACGTGATCAGTCAGAAATTCATCAGTCAGACAGACAGACAGACAGACAGTCTTTCAGTCAATCATTCAATCAGTGAGCGTCAGTCAGACAGTCAGTGAGTTATCTTTCCACAGTCATTCAGTCAGTTTGGTAGCCGACAGTCTGTTACAAGTGCAGCAGACGTTTGTCAATCAGTTAGTCAGTCTGTTAATCTTCAGTTAGACAGACAGACAGACAGACAGACAGACAAAAGACACAGACAGATAATCAGTCATTCAGTCAGTCAGTCATTCGTTTGCCAGTGGTTGTAAGTCAGTCCAGCCTAGTCCCTAGGCGTTCACGGCTTGGTTAAACCTGAAGTCTAGCGTGAGCTGTGACGTCACCAAGAGATACTCGCCCACCCTTTCCCAACGGGACTACGGGACAACGGGCCAAGAGAACGCCAAGGGGGGTCGGCTGAAAGCTTTCTGATGTTTAAAATGAAGCCTACAAGTTGCCATGATATGCAAAGTTAACACAAGCCTAATCCTCTTTCTTTTTATTTACGACTGATTTACTTAGTTCTTACTTTACTGCCTTTTTGTTTACTTTTTTTGGTTCCTTTTCTTTTGATTTGTGGCTTATGTGTTATTAACCTTTTTTTTATGTTGACAAGTTTGTACGCGACTGTAACAGCATGCCTTCGACTTCTTGTTTGGAAATGTTTGGACTTCACTGAACTATGTATCGGCAAAAACCTGAGAAAGCATGTGGATGTCCTTCCAACGAGTAAACAAACTTGGCGAACGTAGGAAGCTAAAAAATTAATAATGCATCCTTACTACTAACCTGGTGGAAACCGGAAACTACAGCAACTAACAGCAAGATGGGGTTAATACGTTAAACACCCATCGTTTTGTACGTTTTTAGTTATTTTAATTTGCTGCTTTATTTTGATGCTATTATTCAACGTTCATATCTGAATCGATTGCACTAACTCTCTGCTATAACGCGACTAACTGCAGTTTTTTTTTTCATTTTGTATTGGACCAAAGAATTATATATAGGAACTATACAAAAAGAACATGCAACTTTATAGACTTGAACCACTACAGAATACAGAACGTTGTGGACAGTGTTATTTTGTTTTTAGCCTGCGAGCAAGCTCTTCGGGGCGCTATGGCGACGGGGAGAGCTTGCAACTACGTCTCTGGAATTTGAAGTCCACCTCCAATTCCCCTGTGGCTCCCCGTCGACTGAGCTGTCAGATTTCCGCCAATCAGCGCGAAGGGGAAACGAATGCGAATGTAAACATACGTTGAAAAACACGTGCTAAGGGTAATGACGTCATTACTAATGTCATCTCCGCTAATCAGCATTTCGCATCGACTTTTTCGACGCAGATATTCAAATTCCACAGACGTTGTTCCAGTTTCTCCTTCCTTTTCCCGCCCCGCCGCCAGAGCTTGCTTGCAGGCTATTTTGTTTAATTTTGATTGTATTACGGTAGTACTTTTCCTTTTCGACATACAAGAATTATAACTTTGAAAACGTTTATGGGGACCACCAACTCCACCTTCCCTTAACAGGTGCTTATTGTATGTGACAAAATGAAGTAGTCAAAAAACTGACGCACTAATGTTTGTCTGGCAAAAAATCATTCTCATTAGCTCTTTTCATACCGTAGTGTCACCGGTCCAGGGTTTACTCTAGAGTGAGGCTTTGCGGGATTTACGCGATTTGAAAAATAATGCCGCAAGAAATTTGTGACAGAGCAGTAAATGGGGCGCGGAAATGAGGCCCTCATTGGCCAATTGCTAGAATAAACCCTGCGCTCAAGCTACAACCTCGAGAAACACCCTTGAAACAGCTGCTTTTTTGAATTTACGCGCGATGCGACTATGTCATCAAACTAGAACAAAGTTGCGCCCTCCTTGCCCCATTCAATGTTGTTTTTGCGGGTGTTTTTGTCCCCGTCCCTCCCAAAAAGAAAGCAATGCGTACAGTTCTTGTGCTACCCAAAACAACATTGGGGGAGGGGAAAGGAGATAAACAGCCATTCATTCTGCAAGCTTGCACGAGCGAAGCCGAAAGCGTTAGTGGTACGACCTGTGTACCGCCGCACACTAGTTGTAATAGTACTTTGTAATTTACTCTTTATAGCGGTTCACATTTTCCGCGCCTCGCGTTCGGCCTTTTCAGCTCGACTTGTACTTGCTGTCAAGCCTAAATACATAATGTATATCGTTACTATTTCTTTTAGTTATCGTAAAGCATCCAATTTAACGCTTTTGACTTTATTAAAGTAAATCAACTGTTATTTGGGATTATTTGTTTTGTTTTCCGTTTGTTTGTGTTTTTGTTCCTTCGTTTTGAGTTTACGGCAGATGTCATAAAAGGTTCCGTAGTGAAGTTTTTGCCTAGTCCCTAGGCCTCATTATTCCGCGCGGCCTATGCGTTTCGGGTCACGTGGTGCGAATGAGTTTTTTTCCCGGCCGTCTCGGATACGTCACCGAGATGCTTTGACCGAGAAGGCCTGGGAAGACGCCTTACAGGGACTAATCAATTCTGATTTTATTGCTGAAATGTTAAGTGAAATATGAACAGTGCACGACTCAACTCCACACATGTATAACCTACAAGAACAGCCTTCGTGACGGGCGTTGAAAGGGAGTGGGAAGTCTAGGGGAAGGGTACTTGGGTGAATTTTTGCTGGATGTGTGTCGCTGGCCTCTTAGAACCCCTGCCACATTCGTCTACGCTGTGGGCAATTATAGACCCCATCTTTGTCACCTTTGGGCAAACGTCATTTTCGTGACCCCAACTTTGTTGCTTTCTCTCACTTTTTTAAATCCCCTACTTACCAGAATTTTCTATTGAAAATGCAACCCCATTATAGTCAACCCAGTCGTGAAAATGCGACCCCATCCAGCTGCACATCCCCATTAGCCTATTACTAGGAAGTACCGTCCCCCCCCCTCCAGATGGAATAGTTTGTTGTCAGGTCTTCGCTTTGTGGCGCGCACGATTTCTCCCCCTTTTCAACGAGCTGTCACGCAAGCTGTTCGAAGAAAGGAGTCTATCTCTTTCACTCTTTGTGTCATTAGCATATTCCCACGGCAAAAGCCAAAAATTACAAGAAGCTGAAGTAAATACAGAACCAAATGAAAAATCCCGCCGAAGTGAACTCTCCAAGACAAGAGGGATAAAGCAGAGAGTCAGATTTGAAGAAGACAATTGTAAGGTGATTGTGGAAGTCCAGTCCGTGGAAAATAATGGAAACGTTTGGGAGACAAAGGACAAAGTTAAGGCAGCCCAAGTCAAAAGGATTGACCCAGAGACCCAAGAAAGCCTCGTAAAACAAAAGCAACTTTCTGATGATACGAGTCACGTGGTCAGTACAGGCAGTCTTCACAGAGATGCCGAAAGACCAATAAGCGGGCAGTTTGAAAGTGATTTGCCACCATGGAAAAAACAGATGTTGATAAATCGAACGCGAAAGGACAAAGAACAGGAAAGGAGAGAACGAGAAAAGGTATTAATTGATAATTCCAAGGGCGCACCGTTTTTTTGGGTACTTTTCAAAAATAAGCAGTCGATTGATAACATTGTTGTAAGGCATGGAGGAAATTACATCTTTTATTCTGCTTCCGATAGACCATTTTACTACGTGAATACCTCAAGTGGGGAGGAATTAGCCTCTTCACAGACCCTCTATTTTCTCTTTAAAGTACATCAAGCGCGGGGGAAAATATAAACCGTAGGGGATTTATTAACCTCCAGCGCAAGGGGGTAGTGGGAGGGGAAGAAGAAAATGTTTCTTTCTTGCGCTCCGCGCTCGTTCTCGGGAGCTCGCCGGGATGTTTTTGGGAATGAACGAAAAGATAAATAAAACAACGTTTGTGTACAGGCTAGGGAGGAATTCGAGCGTATAGAACGGCTGGTCGAGGCCGTGTTACCACAATTGGAAGGAAAATTCAGGGAAATTATGATTGGTAAAAAATATTTAAATATTTGTTAAGATTGGGTGACATTTGACGGAGTAACAAATAGAGAAACGCATTGATGGGCCTCTTGTCCGAAAACTGTCAGATCTATCATGGTTTCTTTTGTTTGGGTTTTGTAGAGAGAAATCGAAGGAAGAAAGTGGATCGGTGTCCCTTCATGGAAAATTCCTCTTCTGGAGAAAAGAGAAGAAGAGAGGTTAGTAAAATTTTTGCTTCAGACGCTGAGCTCTGGTCAACTAAGGACGTTTTTGTTACTTCAAAGTTATTTCTGCGTTTTCAGATTTGTTAGGTGGTAATCGTGACAAGCACAATTTAAGAAGAGACGAGTTGATATAAGTTCTATATTGAAAGAATTTTTCAAACCATTAAGTCAACTGGCCGTAGGCAGTGGAAATTATGCGGCACTGTAATGCGTTTAGATACCTGATGAAAAACCTCCTTCGTATCCTAAATGTTTTCTTCAAGATCGTTTTTTTTAAAGACGTTATAATGTCAAACACTCGACAACTATAGCAGGTAAAACATACTCGGCTACGGGTCGTGTTTCTCTTCATGTTTGATATCTAATGAAACACCATTACTCGTGTTTGTTTTGCTGGTTGTTTGCATTGCATCAAAGTATTTTTGTTTTCGTATTTCGTCAAGGTTAAAACAGGAACAGCGCTGGATAAGCATGCCACAATGGAAGATAAATCTCCTGAGTAGAAGAGGTACGGAAGAAATTTATGCTAAATATCACGATTCTGGGACGTCGCTCAAGTGTACAAGGTCAGAGGTCCTTCAGTAAATTGAATCAAGTCCACAGAGCGAGTGATAAAGAACTACATGCGGACGAAATGATAGTGAAGTTTTAACATTGTAAATAAGTTGGTTTGGCTTTCAAAAATTGAAGAGCTTTTGGTGCCAAATACTGAACACGTTTAAGTAATTTATTGCCGGTTTTATAGTTTTGTTCTCAAACGGATGCCTGAAGCCCTTGTGCAAAGAATAATATCTCGAAATATAGCAGCAATTCCCTATCCCGCATTTACGACCTCACAAGTCATGGTGGAAAGAAGCAAGAGAAATCAAAGTGTGGGAAATTCGCATGTTGCAACCATAGCATAGAAAAGACGCAGAGAAGTTCTTCAAATGCTCGATATTTTATTCATATGTTGCGCTGATTTAGAGTGCTCTACAACACTGTAATTTTAGTCAATTATTTTAAAAATCTGTTTACAATATTTTGATCACAAAATTTGAAATTATCAAGTCGTCCAAGAATATCTTCATATATAGATCATAAAAAGCGCCATATTTGTCAGGTGAACTCAGGAACCTGAAAAAAAAAGAAGAGAGATTGTGAATTAGATTATCTCTTTGAAAACCAAGATTGTGGCCATGAAGCATTTTTTTATCGTTAAAATAGTTTAAAAACGTGTTAGTAATTCTAAAAGTGTATAACCCACAGACGAACAATGCAAATTGGCTGCTAAATTTCATCTTGTGATGGATAAAACTTGGAGAGTAGCTAACAAGCTTCGATACAATGACTTCATGGTTTCTTTATGAAAGAAGGTATTTTTTGACGAATTTTGAAATTAATTGTAGAGTATGCAACTCATTATTTGGTTTTAGGGATCAATTTGAACTCAGATCACTATTTGACATCTGGTTTAAACTTGTGCTTTTTTTGTATAGGGGACTGATTTCAAGATAGGCCTGGTCTTTCAGAGCTGTTAGTTGTTGTTTGTTTGTTGTTTGAAGATCCACAAAGCAGACCAATTACTGACAATAGAAACATGTCGTCTAAAAAGATAATGTGTGAAATCTGGAGTTAAATTTTATTTAGTACGGCCGGATATCGCCAAAAAAACTAAACACTCACCAACAATCAATGCCGTAACTTTAACAGGGTCATAGCCATTTGGATTGTGAATTTCTTTAACGCACAGTTGGTAGTAAGTTCCGTTAATGGACTGAAAAAGATCACATTTTGTAATTATAAGATAAAGTACAAATTTTTACATGCCTGAATTAAGACAGATGTCCTGCTCATGAGGAAACAGCGCCTACAAAATTACAACAGTTTGCAAGCAAACCAGTTGATCATATATATGAGCGACGTGTTTTTGTTCGCCTTCTGTGGAAGCCCATTTTTCTTAAGACTTTCTAAAGGACCTCAAGACTTCGTCGCTTGCTCGATCGCTGCGCGACCTCATGCAGAAGAACTTACGAGAGGTCGACTTGTAGCAAGACTAATTTTTCTTTAGACAATGGTCTAAGGAGAAAAATTGAGCGGGAAATAACGCACAATTCCCTAAACTGACTGTCGCTAGTAAAACATGATGTAACGAATGATAAACGCAAGGTGGCGAGTGGATGTGCGACAATCATTTAGCTCTGAAAGAAGAAATTGCTTTGGGGCTATCCGTTAAGTTGCTAGTTTGTTGATTTGAAATTCTGGTCAGATTCGTACTTGGACTAATGGTTAAAGTATTTTAATTTGCGATATTCAGTACCTCTATCCAGGATGCAATGCTGTTGTACTCGGGTACGACTCCAGGGGTGTGAGACGCTGACACGATGATCGTGGGCGTTTTCGAGTAAGACTTTCCTAAGCTAACCTCCTACAAAAAAAAAACAATTTTGTAATTTCTTTCATCAGGAAATGCATGTTATAGAGACTGTCGCGCTTATTCGAAATGTAACTTAACTCTAGCGATGACGAGTAGTCCTTCACTTTCTCCTCAGGGATAATAGAGCGAGCGAAACGCGAGCGCGCGTGAAAATCATCGCCTTTCTCGCGTGGGGTGATTTCGCGTTTCGCTCACTCTACTATCCCTGAGGGAAAATGAGGGACTACTCGTAGTATACTTTAGCGACGAAATAACTAGCAAATTACAAAACCACAGGCTCATGACAAAGTAAACATCTCCCAAGCATCAAATTAAACGTTACTTACAGACAACAAAAGTAAACCTTGAAAAACTGTCAGGCAAACAAGTTTTCAAAAACCACAAATTTGCTTCTTCACGTTTGTCTATCCGTGCCTCTTTTCGCATTTCATTTGCTCTGTTATTTATACTTTATTTTAATGTTTTAAGCTGTTATTCTTATGCTTCACTTAATTTGGAGAAGCTCCCACTGTTCGAAATTTGATGAATTTTGTGACACAGTTCCTTTAATTCATATTCAAATTAAGGTCACTCTCTTTCCAAAGCTAATGCAAAGAGTTTCTCACCTGGCAGAAAGCGTTGTGATATCCGGGTTTAGGTAATACGTCATCATTTTCAAAGTTGATTCTCTGTTGCGTGATGTTGAGTTCTGCAGCTTTTTCTAGAGTCTGGTAAGCAACCCAGTTCTAAAACAAAGCAATAAATAAAGCGTAGTGAATCTACGAGTCAACGGGCTCGAGCGCGGGCTCATTTCCCCAACAGCGGCTGGTCATTGAGCCTATTGTAACATGCGCGTGCATGCAATGATTTTTTACACAACTGTCTGTGGTTTCGATTTGCTGACAGATGTGGACTCTACTCTTGAATCAGGAGACATGGGTGAAATCTTCATGTTGTTATCCTTTAATTTAAAACGCTCTGGGTCGAATTTTCATTGGCTAATGACTATTACGCCGTAAAACTCGCATCCAATTTTACATTTGCATAAGAGGTCATGTGACCGTACTAGTCTTAAAACCGACCGCCTCGATTAGTTTTTCTGCCACTTTGCGGGCCAGCATCTCATATTTTGTAAAGTAAATAAAGGTTGTTGTTATTGTCAAACTAGAGAAAATTTAATGTTTTGGCAACTGAAGAATTGGAGGGTAATTTTGTCGCGATGAACGCATCCCTACTCCAGTGAACAGTTCAACTCACCACTGTGATGTTTTCGTGTAGGCCATCAAAGTTCTGCAGTTCTCTCAAACATGCCTGAAAACCCTTGGTATTCACGTTTTCAACCCATACAGTAGCGGCATCATGCTTGATTCCCTTGACCGAGTGTTCAGCGCTTAGGAAAACATAGGGTGTCGTGGAGTAGCTTGTCTGTAACATAACAAAGGAAGAGCGTGATGAATTTGTATGTGCGAAGCAGTTCATTACGCTGCCGAGTCGGTAGAGAAACTCCTCGGATGTGTGACTATTCAAATGAAAGCTATACTGAGTAATACTTCCCTATTCAAGGTGGTTCTAACTTTTGTGTATAACACTCTAAACTGTGAACATTCAAATGAAAGCTACTGAGCAGTTCGTTCCTGCGGTACTGCAGTGGCGGATACAGGGAAAAAAAATTTAAGACCGCCCTCCCCCTTCCCCAACCCCCTTCCCTTATCTCAGTATCTGGATGACCGAGCCCCCTCCTTATCTGAAGGTCTTGATCCGCCACTGCACTGTTTATTATACCATACGAGTGGGTTTTAACTGGAATGACTGGACGAAGTGCGAGAGTTTGACCGTCCTGATTACAGCTGCCGTCAGCTTTTATTTTCTTTTTTATGTTGTTTATAATTCTGTGAGAGAGGGTTCTAACTTTTGAGTTTGTGCATGCGGATGAAATCTGGAAGTGTAAGCATTCAGATAAAAGTAATTGTAGACTAGCTCTGTCAGTAATTGTGCGTTATAAGATGATTCTAACTTTTGATTGATTGGAATAAAATCCTGCCTTGTGGCCATTTAAATGAAACTAGCTGTTGAGTAATGCTTTCCTGTAGTACTATTTGTTTAGTTGTGCAAGGTGGTCTTCACTTTTTGATCCCGAGATAAAAATTCCAAATAAAGGCTATTGTGAACTGATTTCTCTTCCGCTGTTGAATGTATGAACAATACTGGACCACTAGTATTACAAGCGTAGTTTTTACTCACATCAAAGGTAACGGACTTGCATGTTGTTCCATCCCACCAATTGTCCATGCTCAGATGGCTGCTCTCTGCGCCAGCAGGCGACTCTTGGAAAGCGATGTAGTCCACAAACGTTACGCCATTGTCAGGGGTCAAACGTTCAGCCCTCCCTGCTTTGAGAACGCACACTTTAAAGCTAGTGAAAGTCACACTTTCAATCCATGTAACCGCGGCGTCATGGATGAAATTGCCGGAATAGTTGAAGTAGTTGATAGATGTATGTACGTTGATTCTCGTTTCGTTACTCTGAAAACTTGCAGGATTGAAGTTCACCGTCTTGCATTGCACATCGGTTGTGCTCAAACGCAATGCCACGCGCCCACGTTCCATGACAAATGCTAAGAATAACACAAATTTACACATTGTTGAAAATCGTGTTGGCAAATTATTAAAGAGACTACTGCCTTCTAAAGAATTGAATTGAATGGTGACGTAACCCGTCAGACTCTTTAGCTATGTTTTTGTGGACTTGAAGGTGTACAACGGTAAATAGCATTCGTATTATTTTGATCTTACTGACCAATAAAAATGACGCATTAATTTATTCCGTCAATTTTTGAACAAAAAAACAAAGGATTGTGCACCGTCAGGGAACTCCCATCATAAACTATAGCGTTGTTGTCTTTTATCTTCGCCAGTCGCCTTTTTTAACTCTGCTGACACGAGCTTCGGTTGTAAGCAATTGCAAATTTCATTGGACAGTAGGGTCCATTTACTTGATTTAAAGTATGTGCAATGGACAAAACGTGCGTAAAATGATTCCCTAATTTCACGAGTTTGCCATTTGGTTATCTATTAAGAAAACGGGTGACACTTAAATTTAGCGCACAATCGTTTTTTTTTACTTGTTTTTTCGTATCGAGAACTCCAAGCACTGAAAAAATTAGAGCTTAAATTTTGGCTTAAGTTCACAAAAGCCCTGTCATCTTCATTCATAAGATTTTAAAACTTCGACGCCATCTTGGCACTGAGAAGTACGGAACGTTGCAATGGCACTTTCATAGATTGACGCTGAAATTTCGCGCCATAATTAAGGGGTAATTTGACATCTATGATACCAAACAAATAACTCGAGTAATACTCACGTGCGCAGGCTCCATCATGGTCTTTAGTAGCATTGGTTTTTTCGAGACAGATCAATCTGTTAAACGTACATAAGTTGAGATGCGTAACGCCATTTGTGTCGCAAACCTCTGCCTTGGTTTTATCGCAGTTGCTGCAGACGCAGGTATACGACCAGTTGTCCTCATTCACGACGCAGAATTTGTCCGGAGAACAGTTAGCTTTGTCACATGGATCAATTCCTGTAACCGACAGATAAGACCAGTTTCGATACATTAAAATTAGCGCCGGCTCCAAGGACTGGGTGAAATAAAACAAAGGATTTGTTATATTTATCCGTGAACGTCAAATTTCTACTGTTTCATTCTCCTAAGCCTCGGAGCCAAGTATAAAAATTAATATATCGAAATAGTTCTGTTTGTTGAGGGAAATTTATAAGTAACTCGTGCAAGAAAATTTATTATGTTATTTATTATGTCAATTTATACCATTGACTTCAATTTAGACTAGCAAAAAACGGAGGTGTTTACAACACCGTTAATTAAACCATGTTTTAATACAGAATAAACGTGTTCAGTCTTCCCAAAAAGGAGCGCGTCTTTAGTTATAACGTTAAGAAACACAGCTCTCGAAAGGAACAGAAACATTAAATACATCAAATTTGAATAAAGAACTGATTTCAATGAGAGAGCGAATATTTGCCATTTTTACAGCAAAATTGTATCGTGCTCTTAGTAAACGAGATAGTGGCCTTGGGGATCTTGCAAGCAATATAATATTTTATAGAGTGCTATCAGCTGATGATTCTGGAGATCTAACTAAGCACCTTAGAATGGCACTTTTTGGGTGAAAAAAAATTGTTGCTCTGCCTCTACTGAGCATTAGCAATGCAATCACGTGACAATCTTTATCTTCTAAGATTTGGAAACTTAAGAATTATCTTTGTATTTTGAATTTGTTTGCTACTATGTATTATGAAGGGTTATTATGGACATTGCTAAAAAATTTTACTCACGTCCAATCACCATAAGATTGATAGTGACTGCGTCATGTTGAGCATCATAGCGTTGGATGTCCTTTAAACAAACCTCGAACTTTTCCTTGTCCACAGACTGAAAAGGCACATGAAGAGACATGACAGCCAATAATGAAATTACCTAATGTAGCAAACACAGCAACCAAAATCCATAGCAACGACTTTAACTAATCACGGCAAACGAAAGCAAATCAATGAACCAATGAAATTTCGAGCTGTACCACCAAGTTACCCGCGCAACGCAAAACGTAATTGTTAATTTTTTTACATTTCGTTTCTGTTAGTTTAAAGAAGTGGAACGGTGTTTAATTTAGCCGTTTAAAACAGCCAATTTCAGTGCCAAAGCAAATGGTAAATAACCGTACGGAAAACGTGCTATATATTCAGTTGTGTTTAAGATATAGCTTGTTTGAATGGCAATTTACGTAGTCTACAAGCAAGCTTTTCTGGAAGGCGCACGAGCGTTAGAAATCATCGCTCGGGTTGTGCAGGACGAGTAAATTTGCTTGATCCTGGGCTCTATAAACGTACACCTTGGTCTCCCCAGTCTTCCTGTGTTTTCAAAATCAAAGACTATGCGCCCTCTTCCTCTTAAAATACGCCTTCAATGTACGCAGTGTAATGTCTCCCATAATCAAGGTTGTGTTATATCGACAGAGCTTCTTAAACTCTTGAGTTTGCAGTAGAGACCCTTTAGATTCGAGGGTGAGAACAACTGCGAGGACGAGACTTTAACTTAAGGTTTTAACGCGTCTTGTCAAAAAAAAAAAGACCCCGGAAAGCGTCATTGTACTTTTTTTTTTTACCAGAACATGTTTATTTTTATTGAGGGAGGTTAAACCCTCTCCCGATCACAAAATGATAAAATTAAACTTCTAACATTTGATGAATTGTTTCCGTCACTATATGACATTCTCTCGCTAACACTCTTGGTAGAATGACGACGGCTATCGCGTTTTCCCAAATGATGCGCACTACTTAGTATTGAGAAAATCTGGTTGTTGTAGTCGTCTTGTCTTAGAATCTAAAGGTCTGTGATATGTTACTGGTGGAAAGAACTCGAGACATTCAGGAAGAGTCCATCTAAACTCACCGTAACCCACTCAGTGATTGCATTGTTGTCAGGTTCAATGAGCAGCTTGTCATGAGCAGCTGTTGTCATAACCTTGGGAACAGAGTAATACTTGGGATCGAACGAGACCGTCTGCAAGACAAAATAAAGTAAAACTTTTTATATTTATAAAAAGTCGACCTCGGAAAGGAATGGCTGCTGTTGAAAAGATAAAGGCGGGTAAACTTATGTACTCCTTTCTAAACGAGTTTGAAGTTTGTGAAATCTGTAAGTTGCGGAGTGAAGTTTTCTTCTTTACCGGGATTCATATGGCCCAGGCTAAGCTCGACACGCCAGTGGTCCGAGAAAACTCATTCTTGACGCCTTTTTCAACTCTGAGGGATATGAAAAAGCTTGACCATCACGGCGGCGATACTGTACTCAAAGGAGGTGACATAAAGTCCATCACGCGCGGCCAATTAACTCTATTACGGGCGTCATTTCAGTGTGTTGCAGTCTTGTTCCTTTACTATATACTAGACCCGAGATGCTAGACTGTTTTTGGCTTCTTGCACTAACCTGACAAAAGCTGTATTCGTACTTCTCACTCGGAAATCCAGTATTGGGCATATTAACGTCATTCAAGCTGACAAGGTCCCAGGCACTTGGTTTAGCCGATAATGCTAACACGTTCTATGAGATAAATAATTAAGTTTAGTAAAACTTTGAGAACTAACTGGCCAAACTTTGCTTGCCTCACTGAAACACTACCCAAAGTAACCAAACTTCATGAGGACGATTATGGTTTGGTTTGGTTTTCGAAAAGTGTTGTGGCTTTGAGGGATCTTTACTCATAACTGAAACCTTTATATTAAAACCAGTAATGAAATAATTTCTAAATTCATTCGAAATGAATTTGATTTATGGCCTGAAAACGAGATTCAAATGCCTCCAATAATCGACCAGTTTCGAGTTCGGAAAAACCGCGAAATAAAAGAACTGAAGACGTATCTTAACAGTGTTTGCATCATAATGAAGTGAATACATTAAAAAATTCCACGTAGAAGAAGACCCTTTTGCAACCCTGTCAAGTTTCAGACAAATTTCTGCCGGTGCTTGTGAGAGCAGGTGACACTAGTGTTTGCATTCAGAAGTATTTTAAAATGAGCAGAAACACTATTGATAAGAGTTGTAATTTAGTATAGAGCGTTTTCACAGTGACGTCACGTCCGCCATATTGATGAACCAAAACAATGGTGTTTTCACATGACGTCACGGCGGCCATATTAGTGTCCCAAAACAATGAAACAGGGGGCCACGTTGGTGTTCCGAATCAATCCTGTGGGAGTTGAACTCCTTTTTATGAAAACGCTGTCTTTTATTGCAGTAAATTTGCACTCGATGCTGACCACGTGAGCAAAAACGCTCCATAGTAACTCTTGGTGAATAAAAATGAAAACGTTTCGACACTTACCACTCGTATGTTTTCATGGACGCCGTCGAAGTTCTTCAACTCCCGGAGACAAACTTTAAATTTTATTGAAGTAACCTCCTCAGCCCATACGCTTGTTGCATCATGGATATTTTTGGGTGGATCTGTGTGAACAACGGTAAGGAATACTTTCGGCTTGTTGCCGGAAAACTGGAAATCAAAAGAAATGTTGAAGAGATGATGAACTGTGGAATGGTCTTCACATTTAGGCCCTAGTAGTGTTTAAACAATATAGTTATCTAGCGAGTCGAATTGTATCCACCGTACGTTGCATGCCAGCTTCTCGACTGGAAAGTCAAACCTATAGGCTGAACCCACAAATTTCCCGGCCGAACAAAGGTGCGCGGAGGGGGAGGGGTGGCTGATTTACAGCGCCAATGCCGGAATATTACGATACTACGACACTAGGTAGGCTATGTTCTTGTGTTACAGATCAGTTGCAGTACAAAACAATCCGTATTTTGCCTATTCAAGTACGCGCGCGTGAGAAAGCGAGGCTCTTACGCTGTTCTTACGCTACGCTAAACCGATTAGGAGAAAAAACCGTTTATACAGTCAATAGTCCAGTAAATGACTAAGACAGCTTTTGAGTGCGATTTCCACTTTTTCGTACTCTGGTATAGTCATCTAAGGTGTAAACCACACCTATGACACATTTCTGCCCGCAGACAACACTCGTACACCTACATTGATATATTATAATTTAATTCCCCACTCCAAAAACTTGGGGGAATAGGGTAGAAGCTTTCGGCGCAACGATTTCTGGGATCGTGTTACTTATGATTGGTTGCCTTGAATATCATCGACCAATCATAACGCTTGTCCACAAACTATCCTAGAAATCAGAGACCTAAACAATGAAAAAAATTACCCTCTCTAACTCTTTGGCACACAGTGTAATATTTTTTCCAAGCCCATACCAATGTTAACGGTGAAATAATAAGATTATTTTTTACAGCACTTACCTGGTTCCCACTGTTAATTTCGATGCATGTGGTTCCTGTTGTCCACAGGGGAATACTCTCCTGTCTAACAAGACCCCCGATGGGGACTACATCTGAAGGTTCAAAAGCCATCCAAGTCAGATATATTGTTTTGAACAATCTCGGTCCGGAGATAGCGACACATCCAGTAAAACTACAGGGAAATTAAAAAAATTGTATAAGAAAACACCACGAGTCGAAGCACAAGTCCTCGCTCACTTTTGGCCCTTCCATGAGGCCTTTATTGGGCTTTAGCAGTTTGGCAATTAACGCTTACCTTAAACTGGGAAAAGCATGCACCATCCCCGAATAATCGCCGCACCGTCCCAGAAGTATTGCGGTTTATTAATTTGGTACATTGTTGTTGTTTACTGTGATATTTGTTATTTTTAATACTTGGTTTTCGAAGAGAAAAAGGCTTTAAAAAACAACCAGCTTTTAAATCTGCACTTATGTTTTCCTTTTTTATACGAACTTGAACAAAATAAGAAAAGGTTACTGACTACTGGAATCTACTATGATATCATTTGGATAGGAAGTTTCATCGACAACTCAGGCTGAAGCACAGTGTAGTTCTTTCGAGTAAATACCGAAAAACGTTGGCTTTATTAGTTGACGGGAAAACGGTCAACTTCTTTCCATTACTTTTAACTGACGGTAAAAAAACAATTTTTACAAAATCAAAAATATGATTATAATAATAATAAAAATAATTTCAACTGTAAAGCACTACCTTTTAGATTTTAACACTGTAGACTTGCGTCTGATACTGAGGCACACGAAACATTGTCATGGCAATTTTTTAATTTCACATGTGAAATTATAAATAAAAGCCCGCGAAATATTTTCAGCCAAAATTAAGGAGTAATTTGTGACCCATGACATTATAAACTGCTAAAGTGCTGTAAATTCTATCCAAGTCTTAATCTCATAGCTTCAGTGTTATAAGAAAATAGCGCTAAATTAGTCCCGCCATATCCTGGTTTTGCTTAATAGAGATGGTCAGCATTAGATCCCATCGGCCGTAGCCGCTCAAATTACACAAGGTAGAACTGTTTTTCTTTTGCTTTTATATCACACTTAAATGATATTTCAAGCCTGAAATGTTCATGAAAGTGCAAGTCTCTTCAATTTGAAAGAAGAAAAAATTAGCTAAAATTGATATGAAAAGCGGCAGGATTTGAACCCACGACCTAGAAAATCTAGTGTACCACGCTAACCACTAGACCACGGCGGATTTGATGAATGGAGTGAAAAAAACTAAATAGAGGATCAACCCCAACCCAAAAAAAGAACCTAACAATTCTCGAAACAGTGCTTAACCCTGACATAACGAAAACTACGTTGTGTAAATTTCATGTGTCCAAAGGGGCTCCGGTCGATAGGATATAGTGATGACCAATAGAGAATTGCAAAATTAATCTTGGACATAAGAGCTTACCCTTGTGCGGAAACCGACTCAACCCAGGTCACGGCCGCTTGGTAAGCGTCCAACAGTAATCGTAGCTGAACATGTGCGTTAGTGATATTCTCTTTGAACGGAAACAGTTTACACTTGAAGTCTTCGTCACCGGGGAAAGTGATGTAAGCTTTGTTTTCCTCCATTTTTGCTGAAAAATAAACGATTTACTACGTTAGTCAGTGTTAATATGTAGCCCGTACAAAGACGTTGTTTTCTTTTTCCTTTCGAAAGTCGACCAGCACACGAGCGAGCGCGGAGCGCGGCAACGAGGGTGGATCGCGACAAAGCTATGTGCTAGCGTTCAAAACCCCCTCGGTTTTTATTTTATACGCGAGCTCGTCGATCTCTGAAGAGAAAAAAAAAGGGTTTGTGAAGAGGGTAGTTAATAGGTTGTAGGACTGAAGAGTTTTAACCCATAAAGTATTTGCTGTTACGCTGTTAGTGTACATTGAGTTTTTTACTTGTTCAGTCCTGCGTGATCAAGGTGTTTAAAATTAATTTCAAAAAAATACATTCGGGCTCCAAATACCATCGAGAATTTTTTCGCAACGCATGCCTAAGTTTCTGAAACAATGCGAGATATTGCAGTCTGCTCAGTCACATTTTTCTCTAATACAGTATGATGATAAGGTATGAATGAAGCACTAACAAAAATTTCAACGAAAACGGGGAACTTCATAGCCCCACGTTTAAATTTGTCAGTTGCCAGAAGGCATTTAATTACAAAAATACAAAGTGCATCAGATTCATTCTTGAGGCAAGTGAAACTTTTCTGGGTAAAAGAGTAGAAATAAAGTAAGGAAAGTTTCAGTTTCTCGCTAAGGAGCAAATGCAAAGCCGGGAGCGAAACCCTAATGTGGTAAAATTGTTTGTTTAAACTTAAGATTACGCAGGAGTTTGCCAAACTGTCCTTAAGTTGAGCGACACATAACTACGGAGAGGTTCAAAACGGCTTCAAATCAGGGCAAGGGACGCACTTTTGAAAGACAAGCAAGAATTACTGAAGACATCACAATTGTTACGAATAATCTTACCTGAAATCGGCAATGCATAGAAAGTTAGGGCCAGCATGCTTAACAGAAGAACACAACCCATGACTGAACGAAAAAGCTACAGACCACCAAACGTAAGCTTGAAAGTTGGAGCAAAAATGTGACAAAGACGAGACAAACAGTTCTTTTTATAGCAAAAAAACAAAAGTCATTGTGTCATTTTGCGCACGTGGTTATACCAAGGAGGTGTGAAACGCTCAAGAGAGTGAAACAAAGAAACTATAAAAATTGTGCCAAAAACATTTCTTTGCTGTTGAGAACAAATTTACAGAAACAGTAGAATGCTTGTTTTTTTATCCCTCTTTAACACGAAAGCTCACAATAGGAATATCAGTAATACTGCACATCTTGAAACATAAATCAGGCCGCGCACTGGAGAAACTCGTTCTCCAAATTACGGTATAAAACCTTGGTATTTACAATGTACATCCAATCAGACACGGTTTGTGTCGGCGTCATCGTCCACAAAGCATACCAGAAAGTGTAATTTGTTAGAATTTTTTTACAAATTTGTTAAAATTTTAGGGTGATCAATCAAAATTCAACGGAAAAATCCCATGTCAAATTTTTTGTGAGATGCGAAAAGGAATCAAAGCCACGGTCAAAATAGTTTCATATAATTTGAATTTTTGAACGGCTATAGAATTTCGTCCCCAGAACTGATAGGCTACTTCCGAGTCCCTATCCTGCGAGCAAGCAGACGCGAGAAAAGTAGACGCGCGAGAGGAACGAGCGCGAAAGCCGGGCGCGGGGGGCTTCTCGCGGCTTTGGCGCTCGCTCGCGCGTTCTCGCGCGGCTTGCTTCGCTCGCCCAAATAGGAGAGCTTGTTCGCAGACTACCGAGTCCCAAAAACCCTCATTTTCAAAATGAGGCCAAGAGCACAACTTTTCTTGTGAAAATGAGTTTAATTGGCCTAAAAATGAAAAATCATTTTCGTATCAAAGGCTGAGCACTTACTTTGATACAAAGGCCCTGTGGCACTCGCAAATGGCCTATTCAAAACACCTTTTATGGAGCGTCTAGCCTGCTTGACATTTACTTTAATAACCGTAATTAGAATAGTTAGTTTGTTTGTTTTATTGCTATCTTGACTTTTAGAAATTGCATGTTTTTATAGTGTTTATAGTGTTCCAAACTTTGCAAACAAAGTTAACTAATGTCCTGCTTGCAATCTTCCCGGTGGGGGCTCTCAGGGCGGGGTAGAAAGGGAGTTTTCTCCTAACCCCACCCCCACCCCTGTTCCCCTGCAGAGCCCTTACTGGCACGCTATGGATCTACGTGATAGGGATGATAAAAGAAAGGTCTTTCCCAACCAAAGTGAACAAACGTGATAAATACGACTTAAGCAAGAATGGCCCAAAAAAAGCCTTTTAGCAAGAATGTACGTGTCCTAGCTGGAAAACTGTTTTATAGGATAGATTGAATAGCTGCCGGTTTGTTCGGCGCTATGGAAAAAAAAAACTGCAAAAACGCGCACGAAGAAACAGCCTAAGTAGAGGAAAGCTTTGTTAACAAGAGTCAAACAGGCTAGTGATGATTGTACCAAACTCAGCCCTAAAGCACACACTACCAACTTCGTGGTATGGTCAGTACTTTCACATGTGCAGATGCAGCCATATATGACCCGGGCGCAGCAGTGGTAGCCATGGACCAGGAGAGATCTCACTTGTGCCCAGCCCCATCGTTTATTGCCGAGGCGAGGGGAAAAGTGCTCAGTTTAAGCGCCAGCTACACCATACACATGAACAGGTCAGAAAACAAGTGACTGTTAGGCATACTGACTAACGCCTTGCGCCCATGGTCCTTATGCTCCGCCTGGGCGCGAAAGTGACAGCGACACTAGTTTCAGCGCAATAATACCATAGCTTAGGATCAAAAGAGGAAGAACCTCATTCTCTCTTCTGAGGATTTAAGACCTTGACAAAGTTTACGATAAAAAAATAAAACAAATGAAATAAAATGATTCAATGAAAGAAAGAAAGAAGGAAGGAATGACTAGCCTATTCTAGATGCAAAATATCAGCTTCCGAACTTTGGGTATGCACACAGAAAGCAAAAGTTAGGGTTAAAAAATGACACAGCCGTCTGGACTTTTTCCTTTCCCATTCTCTCCTCCCCTCTTCTTTCAATTCTCTTATCGTACCCGTTTTTTCTTTCTTTTGCCTGGCACCTCATTTGGGAGAGAACGTTTTTGGGAAAGCTTTTAGCAGACACGGATCTATAGAAGGCAGCGTGGCCGAGTGGTCAGCGCGTCGGACTCGCAATCCGGCGGTCCCGGGTTCGAGTCCCGCTCTGGCCACTTGCTGGATTTGTGCTTGGTCGTCCCGAGTTCAAATTCTCGGCCACGCTTGTAAATAGCCAACTGGTTGCCTTCTCCCAGTTGGTGTTTTTAATCCTGTTATGTTGTATTTGAATTATTTGTTTCTAAATATTTGAGTGGAGTGCCTGTAAATTAGCTGACTAGCTAAGTGCAATTTCCACTATAAATAAGCCTTTAACCTTTTTTTTTTTTTTAGGATCCCTAATCAATTTCCAAAATGAGCGCCGAAGGTGCAAGCCTCTAGGGCGGGCGGATCGAGGGCAGGCTCCCCCGGGAAATTTTTTGGATTTTAACTCCTTAAAGTCCCCTTTCCTGGGTTTCCAAGTCATTCAGACAGGATATTGGCCAGATTTGAACTTGGAGAGTGTTTTCATTATTAAAAGTATATTTACTATGAAATATCTGACCGATTTCCGTAAAAAGGTGGAAACCTGTGTGGATCCGCGCCTGTTCAGGATCGGAGGATTAGAAGAAAGGAAGTGCTGGAGGGTAGTCAAGGAACAAGATTTTCATTGGAATTTTTGGGTCAACATTACATATTTGTTTTGCCTCGTTCAATTCTCTGGCCTACTAAATCGCGCTCAATCTGGAATGCTTTGAAAGATCTCTTCCCCCTGCACAAGTTTCTATTCTTACGACGGCATTTGGTCACTTGCAGGACCTCGCCCTGCAAGACTACATAGAATGCTCGCTTATGCTTCAGTTCAATAAGAGATAGAAACATTCACGATGGCTAGGTTCATTGAACTTGAACT